TAAAAGCAGAGGATTTTTTGGGGATGGACTTCTTAATTGACGGATACAAGGTAATGAGGATGGGTAAACAAGGGGAGCAGGAAGATGGAAAGTGCACAATATATCGGGGACAGAGGGGTAGGCAACAGTGCAGTCAAGACGTTAAACAGCTTAGCAATTTTCCCCTTTTTCTTTTGATTTCTTTCTTTTTTTCGGTTGCGAGGAGCTCTTTGAATGCGCCAGGTAAGTGCGCAGTCATCAATTGTCAACGGTTCCGTTGATGCTCGGCCTGATGTCGCCGTTAACTGCGCTGTTGGTAGACTGGCCGGCGGCAGCAGAAATATCGCCGACCATGGCATCCAAAACAGTAGAGTTGTGATCTATACTATGCTTGCTGCCATTAATTTCAGCACCGGCACCCGCTGAGGATCCAACAATCGGCCCATCGGGGGTGGTTTTGGGAACCGTTGCCGACGATAGATTAGAAACCGCAGCCCTGACTCCATCCATACCTGTTCGCTCTTCGCCATCAACGTTAGAGTCGGGGATACCAATGCCAGCCCCGCTATTCTTCTTGGCCTTCTTTTTACTAGGCTCTGAAAAAGACGCCCTAGGAATAGAAAATTGGCCTGGTCCAGAAGGGGGTGGTGGGCGCTTTTGTGGGCTGGTCGTCAGCCCTGATGGCCCTGGAGGCGGGATCTTGCCCGATGCTGGAAGACGGGGTCGGGCAGCTGTTGGACGTTGTTTTGGAGGTAATTCCAGATCTTCAACCAGAGGCTCATCATTGTTGGACTCTAATTTGGCGCGGAAGAATGCCTGGACCAACCCAATTTGAGTTGGCAACGTCTCTGTGGAAATCCGAGGGAACGCAGGCGGGGGAGGGAAAAGCGTCGGAGTTTGGGTAGCACTAGAAAGGAATTAGTACCAAAAACGCAATGCACAATAAAAAAGAATATAGAGCGTCGAAGATGGTGGGAGATACCTGGTGTTTTGAGCCTGGGCAGCATTGAACATCCTGTTCTGCAAAAGGTGAAGGGGAACGCTGAGTGTAGCGAGACCAAATTCCCTGTCCAGTCCCAGTTCTTTGAATCCAAAGAAGTCTTCATCAATATCTTCGGCAAAATCGCCGCCAATGAACTGCTCGCTCCCATCGGCAAAAGCACGAGAGCCATCCTCACCACCATCCGCGAGGGCGGGTCGGAGCAGATCGGTCAGCAAGAATTTCAAGCGTTCATGCACGGTCGCAAGCTTTGTCCCAAGGCGTTCAACGTCCTCCTTGATATAGAGCTCCAGTGCCTCAACATCAATTCCCACTGAGGAGAGTGTGTGGAGAACCATCTCTGGCTGTGTGTAGGCCGGCTTCCACTGGGAACTCAAGGTGACCATATCTTGCGACTCGATCTCCGGGACTTTGGGGGTTTCCATATAAGTCTTCAGAGTCTCGCCAATTTTCTGGAAGAAGTCTGAAGCGATGTCGGTAACTGCATCAAGAGCAGACGGCTGGTACTCTTCGAATCCAGTGTGGTAGAAAATCTTGGCAACTGAACGGCGCAGAGCGGACTTGCAAACCCATGGAGCAACGATAGGCCCATCATCGTTCATCACGTGGGGTGCTACATCGCGCTCGATAAAAGGTTCAGGCTGATATTTCTGAAATTGGTTCTGATACATCTGGATAACATAATGTCAGATACTGAGAGATTTCGGTAAAGCGTATGGCATACCTGGGACTGCAACTGCATCTGCTTCACTATGCCGATCTTCGAGCAGATCTTTCGGGTCTCCTGCATCTGTCGCATGTTCGCATCCATCTTCCGAGAAAGCTTGCTATCCGGTTGGGTAAATGAGCCAGGTGGGAGGATACGAAGGAATTCTTCGGAGGCATCAACAACATTCCCTTGGGCGTCTTCTCTCCAGAGCAATTGTTCAGGAAGATCAGGAACCCCAGACATAACGTCATAGTACTCCGGAACCACTTTGACGTCCTCCACTTCGATCCCTTCGGCGAGAGATTCTCCAGCGGCTTCTGAGGCCTGCGCATCTAAATCGTGGCCTTTATCACCTTCTGCACTGACCTGTTTCTGGTTACGAAGCCATCTTCGCATACCAGCCTTGGTTCTAAGGAGCGCCGGTTCGTCAGCATTGAGCTTGTCTCCTTTGAAAAGTCGGTGTCGTTCAGCAGCAATAAGAGCTCGATCCTTCTTCGTTACTTGCTTCCAGACCTTATATTCCGGGTCCTCAGTTTCGATCCCTGATGCCGACAAAGCGATCATAGAATTATTCATGGCAATGCCGCCGTCGATTTCCATGGAATCGTCATGGCTACTGACAGCACCAGTCACAGTCCCAGATGGATCGGATGGCGTTTGCGTGCCAGGAGGAGGGGGTGTTGCGAAACCATTTTGCATACTATCCAGTGCGACGTCAGACTCAGATCGTACTGGAGCAGCCGGCTGGACAGCAGGAGCACCCGACGGGCCTTCAGATCCACTATGGGTGTTCCGAGCTGGAGCTGCACCCTTCTTGGACGTCTTGCCCGGGGCTTTTCTGCCCCTTGAGGACATAATTGGTTCGTCATCACTTTCCTCCGCACCATCCATCTCCGCGAGTTGAAGTCTCCTCTCCTCGGCTTCAACTTCAGCACGGTCTCGAATAACGATTTCCGGGATTAGAGGAACGAGCTTCTCGGTTTCCTTGCGCATATACAAAGCATGCTTGCGTAGGAAATGCTCAGGGTTGGTGTTGTACTTCAAACAGTTTGCCCAGATAAGATTGAGATCATCGACAAACTCCTGTTTCGACCGGTACTGCAGAGCCTTGAGTTTCTTGGTCATTGTTCCGAGGTCCATTGGGTGTTTGATGACTAGATATTTGAAATTAGCGTATTGAAGGTAGCGCCCAACCACGTTTCAGCTTACTTGTGTAATAATCAGGCGCGTCCCTTTTGTTCACTCTGGTCAAGAAAGCACTCGAGTGCTCTGTCATGGCTTTCAGTTCGCTCAGCACCTTTTCCGCTGACTCGTAAAGCTCCTCTTGGCCGATCTTATCTTCGCTGGCCCACTTGCTGCGATTCTTGCGCACTTCGCTCATGAGACTTCGGAGCTCAGCATCGGATGCCTGGACCATCGTGCGCTTCATGTCGATTCTGGCGATCAGGTTTTTCAAGGTCAAGCTCGAGGCTCCGAGGTTCGCGCTGCTCAACGAGCCGTAGGAGTTGCTCCCTGCAGACGAGCTATTGGTGCCGCCATTCGCCTGCCCTGACATCTCAGCCTCCACTTGCCTCTCCGACTCCTCCAAACGTTGTTGGTCCAGCATCGCATCTCTGTCATTTTCCAGAGTGTAGAATAGTGTTTGGAAGCTTCGCTTGGCGGCTTCCTCTGTCGCCTTTTTGTCTTCCTCCAGTTTCTTGCGAATGTCTTCCAGTGTGTCTTTCTTCACCTCCTTCGCACTCTCTGAGACAGTAGTCGGTGCGGGTATGCTAGGGAGATGGCTCGGGGACGGAATTCCGCTAGCCTCCTGGGAAGGCAGGAGCGACTTAGCTTTCAGCGGCGAGGGAGCCAAGTCAGCGGCGTCCGCATCGTCGTCTTCGTCATAGTCATCATAGTCATCATCGTCAAGGTTTCTGGCAGGCTTTTTTGGAGGCGCCGGCAAGGAAGCTGGTTCCTCGGCGCGCGTGATAGCAACATCCGGTTCATCGGGCGCGACGGCGACATCACTCTGCACCGGTTCCTGATCTGTTCGGTTTCGTCTGAAAAGAGCATTAACTTTCGCCTCACTCTGTCTGTATAGCTCGCGAAACACGGCGATGCGTGGATCTTCCTCGTTCGCGGTATCAGCCTCCGATATCAAATTCCCCGTCTGAGACCCTTCCGCGCTGACCGAGACGCGCATGTGCGGCGTTCGGGGCCCGGAAAAATATTTCGAATTGCCATTGACAGACCGGGCATCCTGTTGGTCGTCGGGAGGCCGCAGATGGCCTGGTGGCAGCCAGGTGTGGTGCTGACCGAGCGACATGGTCGCCTCGAAAACCCCGGTTTTGGGGTGGGCGAGGGGGGTCGCTTCTCCACGGTTATGGGCAGATCGCGTGAGGGCCCAACGAGGCGTTCCGAAGGGCAAAAAAAGGCATGTAGACAAAGTAACTAGCCTGCAGAGAAAGATGACGATATTTTTTGGCCTATAAATGATGGCACGGCAGCCAGCGTCGATGGCAAAATGCTAGCCTTCTGTAGGAGGTTCTTGCGCGAACGGAAGAGGTGAGGTCGGGCGTGAAGGCGGAACACTTGCCGCAGTTTAGACCAACCGTGCAATTCGTCGTTCGCAGCAGCGAGAATGAGGATGTCCTTATGAATTACCACCTCGCCCTTTATAAGATGCTTCTGATGGCAGACTAGGGTGTTTAAGATCTAGTACTATATCTTGCAGACTGTATGTTGTTTTGGTCTTCGGTCTCCTATTTTATTACAGTCTCTAACTCCGCAAACCTAGACATGGTCGTGGCCATTTCTTAGCAGCCTGCGATCAACAGACATAAGGAAAGCAACAATCTAAAGCACAACCTCGGACACCTATCCTGTTCGCCGCTATGCGAATCCGATACCCTTTTGCGGGTCAGTATCTCCTAGTAGAAGATCATTCAGTCCTTATTTAAGATATGCTACCAGTGATCACTCTGTGGTTTACTATGACGGCCACTCTTTCCTCTCTATCCGAAGTGACCTTGAGCTTCAGCTAAAGACATGATCTTTTACTTGTTTAGGCGCATTCGTCTTCCTCCTCTTCGTTGCGGCATACATCGGCCTCCTCCCGCACAGCACCTCGTCCTCGATTCCAGCGCAGTTGCAGCCCAATGACAAGTTCCTCCACCTCGTAACCTTCTTCCTCATCTCGCTCACCTTCTACTGGATTCCGGATACGTCGCGCCGGCGCACGCTGCAACTGAGCCTGCTAGTCTGCACGCTCATTCTTGGGATCGGATCAGAGATCCTACAGGGCCTCCTCCCCAATGACCGCTACTTTGATCCGTTTGACCTCCTCGCCAACGTCGTGGGCAGTCTGGGCGCCATCGGCCTGTGCAGCATGTACCACCGCCGGATGCTGGAGAGACGCCGCAAGTCCCGCTTCGGCTCCCTGATGGACCCGAACGGCGACGATGTCGAGCTGGGCCATCCTGGCGACCGTGACGCGGGAGATCTTGGCCCGCAGGAAAACGGCATCATGTCGCTGGAGCAAGAGGTTGATAATTGGGACGAGAACTCCCCTGACAACTGGGATGAGCCGGAAGATGGGCCGAGCGATCCCCATTCAAGTTCTCGGACCGATGATTTTGGGGAAACAGCGGGAAAGAAACGAAATGACTGATCAGCGCTGACTGCCTCGATCGACCTTGTCTTTTCCATTGTTTCTATCCTTTTTGTTTCCTTCTAATAATGACGTCTCTTGACATCTCTCTCTCTCTCTCCTGACTTGCAATGCACGATACGACTCACGGATTTATTTGTCTTATGTTAATTTGACCCTTCCCACCAAGTACAGGATTATATCAGCCCTTGATAAAATTTCACATCAAGCTTCCCTCGCTCTGACACTTTTGTACCCTTTCTCCCCCGTTCCAATGTTAATCCTGCCCTGTTCTTTGTCTTTAATATAAGGCAACCTCTGCTTTCTGACTGCCTATTTGCATGGGATGGCGATCACTCGATATTTGTTTCTGCTTCCGACTGCTTCTCTCATTAGTTCATTGCATGACACCATGTCGAACAGCTGTCTGTTTTATGGTTCAATAGTTGGTACGACATAATGGTCCATTACTAAATGTTTATATATGACTATTGCGCTCTCAAGTCATTCAATGCATTAAAAACTCGTTGCTAATTTACACAAATGGAATCTAGTCTTGTATTGGGTTGGGTATAGGTGGTGAACAGAATGGCAAGGGATTAGTGAGAAAGGGGTCGAATATTGTATATGCAGCGAGACAAATGCAGGATCAATAGAAATCAAAGATGCAGCAGAGCCTTTGCAAAAGAAAAAGAAGATAAGTATGCACAAGGAAGGAAGCAAAAAAAGGATACCATAGGCCTTTACTGGGCAGTAACCCAAGGTCGAGAGGCAAAAAAGGAAGAGCTGGGCACGGCCACACAAGGGTAAAAAATTGGCTCATCGAACAATCCCTGAAGGGGTGCATATTTGATGTCCAGTGTATAGTTTGCGGTGACATCACGCCATTAAATGAATAGGTCAAGGTGGATCATTCGGTGCTAGACGATTCGGGTGTGCTGGACAAGCTTCGTAAAGGTGTCACCGCGGAGACAGGCTCCAGCTCATATTTGGGAGAAGGCAAGTAATCGTCTTCGTTTGACAGCTTTGCCATCTTTGTCGACCGTTCATCCATCTTTGTAGGCTTGACAGGCTTACCCAGCTTGATCTCAGCTCTCTCCCGGATTATCTCATATATGAACTGGAATTGCATCTCGTTGTATACCATCATCATTCTTTGCTCACGCATTTGATTGACAACTTCGAAAATAGGGTCTTCTTCGGGGTCTTGAATACTGAGCAACTCTCCTGATGCGAGTTCTTGAAGCAGATGGTCAAGAGCGATAAATGTGCCGGTTCTCCCAACACCTGCACTGCAATGCACAATGCGTGGGTTTTCTGGTGTGCTTTTGACATCCGACTGCTTGATCAATTCAATAAGAGCTTCACGATCCTCCCCTTCGGGCTTTGAGTAGTCTGCCCAGCCAACGAAAAGAAAATGCCAGATAATCTTGGACTCCGAGCCAAAGGTCAGCTCAAGTTTTCGAATCTCAGAGCGCGACGCCTCATCGAATGTGGATTCTAATAGCTTCACTTCCCCAAAAATTTCTTCACCGGGGGACTCGCCATGGGTAAAGGAGTCATTCTCGTCGGCCAAGAGGGGCATCGGGTGCTCCACGTCAACAGGGAAGTATTGCGAGCATTTTTCTCTACCCAATTCAAAGGTTTGGGTGAGCATCACGATTACCCCCACCTCCTTACTCTCGTGGAAAACCATGTGCCAGAAATGAGTGAGATGGCTCAACTTGGGCCCCTGTGAGAATGATCGTAAGTAAGCAGAAGAGACGACCAAGACGATAGAGCAAAGGGATAACAAACCTGTGTCGCGATGTACTTTCGCTCCTTTCCACTGGCCGAGTCCCTCAATGTGATAGGCGAAGCATTGATGAAATCACATTCCCCTTCTGGCACCCGAAGATGAATTCGAGAATTTGCCCACGCCTGTACATTAAAGTATCGGTTTCTCGCTCTCACTTCAGGGTCGTTCTCCAGTGCCCAGCGATGAGACGGGTCGTTTGCAAGGTTTCCTTCGTCCATCCGTGTTTTCTGCATCCACTCTAGTTCTTCGAACTTATCTCGGATTGCTGCAAGCCATTCCATACCACACATTAATTAACAGGTCATTAAGAGTAACAGGGGGTATGCCTCAACTAACCTGGGTAGGTCAAACAGAGAAATGGAGGTAAGAGCTCGTCGTGGCCAGCATCCAATCCAAGTCTCTCCTCGTCCATTCCGGACCCTTCGAAAGCGTCGAAATCCTCGTCATTGTCGTCAGGAAGCCCTCGTTTGTGTGCCTGGACATTCGTATCGATTCTAATGGAGGTTTGCGCCATTTTAGCTGCAGCGATCCTGTGGAAAGCTCGAACCTTGCCGAGGACGCCGCGTGCCTTGTTCGACACTCGCCTCCGGGTCGATCTGAGCTTTCCTTTGTCGTTCTGCAGGCTGGTGTTATCAGGCGAAGAATATGGAGGGGACTCAGTCACGAAGTCTTTGTGGACACCGCCCGATACGTCGACGCTCACAGCGCTCTGCGTCTGGGGCAAGGATATCTGCAACGAGGACAGATCGGGACAGCTGTGGAAGCTGCCCCAGGGGCTGCTGTCACCCGGTGACGGTTGTTTGGCCACGGTTCCAGATCTCGCCGGAGCAGATTGGTGCTGAGAATCAAGTGTTTGTACAGGGTGGGGGAAAGGGCGTGAGGTTGAGTAGAATCTGGAAGGCGCTTTGAAGGCCGTTTTGACAACGAGGATCCGTAACGGCAGGAGACAGGAAGGGAGAAGTAAGGAAACCGAAAAAAGAACCCTAGCTTTGAATATGCGAATCAAGGTTATTAATAATTCAAGGAGAGAAAGGAAAGAAAGACATGATAATGTGAAGGCAAAGGAAACTATGACACGCTTGGTTCTTCGCGGGACAGCATCCTCTCCCCGCACCCAGAGTAATTTCAGACGTGGCGAACGCAGGCCGCCGAGCCCAGATTAGATAGCAAGCTGATTAATGCAAATACAGTCCACTGCCAGTCAAGCAGGGGTTCTGGAGTCTTTAGGGACTTGTCGTCTCAAAGGACAACCTGATTTACAACATAATCTACAAAGGCCCTCTGTCAAGCCATCTACGACTCGTGTGCCATCATCGTTCACTGCTGCCATAACTACTACATACCAGAGCCAAATAAGTTTCGTAGTGCCAAGCCCGCACAAGCAAACTACCTACGCGCCACTTCAAGTTTCTTCACCCCCAAGCCGCCGCTTGGCCTTCTCTACCTCGTGCTTCAGCAACGGCTCGCGTCGCTGACAGCTTCGGGGACATCACGATTCTCTTCATTGCTTCACTTCCCGTTCAATATGTGGCGTTCCTTTGGAATCCGGGCCTTAGAGGTAGGTGTTAGCATCAGCTATGCAGCAGCTTGGGACTGTGACTGACCTTCTTTTTCAACTCAGGTCTGGCTTATTAACCGGGTAAACACTTTCTGCTCAAGTTCAATTCCTTTGAAGGCACATGTTCTGATCGATACAGCTGCTGGCCAGCCCGATTTTTCACAGGATGGTTGGTAGGGTCCACCAACAAGTCCAGCGCCTCAAACACGGTATCCCCCCGGAGGAGATGGGGGGTACCAAGTTAGAACGACAAGGTAAGGGTTCATACCATACCAGCCTTCTGTTTTCTTCATTCTTGCTGATGCCCGAGTGCTAACTTGTTGCCTGGTAGGCCCTGATGTAAAACGTTTTATCAAGCTCTTCAAGGAGGAGGTTCAGTATCTGTTCTGGAAGCCACCGGGGAAATAAAAATGTTGCTGATGCTGCTTCTGTTCGGTTTGGCCTCAGGATTGATGCTTGACTAAACCCTCCGTGCTTTTTGAGATACCCAGAAATACGATTTTCCAGTCCATACCTTGCCTCCCGTCCAGATATTCCCACCACTATCGCAAGTCACTGCTGCAGACCTGGGAGATTCCACCATATTAAATAATACTGGATATAGATTGGGCTGCATCTATCTCTCCCCATGAGATGTTTCCCTCATTTCATCCGGAGAAAAACTTCTAAGGGCTTTTCTTCTACTATTTCCGCCTCGGTTTTATAAGTCAGGCTGGAAGTTGATCTTCAAAGCGGACAGTTGTATCAAAACATACTGCTTTCGATTTCTTTTCTAGTTCCTTCTCTCCATCCATAATTTCCCGACTCCCTTCCGTAGCATAGTTACAAGAAGTATCTTCTAACGACCTATGCACAGCCACGATCAGGCCCTCTGCATGGTGGCAAAACTCCGTACCAAGATGCAGGGCAGGGATCCTGACAGTTGTCCAGCAGGTGGTGTCAACGCTGCTCCATATGTTACACGTTCTCCATAAGCAAGTGCGTTGTTTCTACATATTGATAGTCAATAATTGATTGGCTTATATCTACACAAGAAGCCTGCCTCCAGTCCGCAAGGGGTGAGGTACTGGTCAGCGTTTACCAGCGATTTAACTTATAATATAACTACCTAGTTATGTTCAAAGTAAAAATTACTCTATAATGTGATAAACTAGCTATCATCACTATTCTTTTATACATATCTGATCAGCTAATTAGATAGTCACTATGTAGTAAAATTAGGCGAGTACTTCTTTTCTATAGTTCGTCTATCAAAGCAAACTACAGCTAGAAATAATATGCAGTAATAACACCCAACATGGAACCTCTGTCATTTGTGCCGAGAGACCGGCCCAATCAATAATACCTCGACAGGTACCTAGATCTATCAGCGCTTCTGACTCGACTCCTAGAAACCCGAATCACGGATGCACCGGCTAATATTCCCACAGAGGACAGTTGCACTCCACGGTAATCTGTGCTCCGTATAGTAATAATAATAATAATGCGTATAGCCAATAGTTATTAATTCCGAAGGATTCGGCGTAAGTTCTAGACATTCCGGCGGGTAAGGGCAGAATTTTACTCTGCAGGATGTGTTTGGAACAACCACCCTGTACATAGTCCTGGTACATAGGTACCAGGTATGAAGTCTGCTACCTAAGCCGTCCCAAATAGACAATAGTATGTAGTAACTAGTGTCCTAAGATGGTCATACTGGAGTAATAATGGGGGTATTAATTAACTAGGTATTATTTATAGAGACCCTCTGTGCTCCGAAATCAAACTGGCTGGCTAAGCCTTATTATTACTAGTCTGGAGGGAAATCATTCCTTTCTGGTCTAGTTCAGCCAAAAAATGCAGGCAAGTGACACAGTACCTGAGTAACTCACGTGAAATGAGGTAGGGTTAGTAGTTACTAGGTTAGACGAGAGGGACTCCATCTTTCAACGGAATTAGGGGTACCTCAGTATGTCTTCCTAGGTACTCTGTATGGACTCTGGAGTACCTACCCAAGATGTCTACCTGGGCCTCTGTAACCAGGTACCTAAGGTATGTAGTACTAGACCTAGGTACGCAGTCAGTAAAATACTCGTCAGTAAATCAATAAATCCGCTGCCAACTCAGTGCCCGCTTTTTGTGTATTTTTTTCCATTCCCGTATTGTTCCTTTGCCATTCTGTGGTTACAGCACAGACAGCCGCCCATGACGACTTCTATGACTGGCCACGACCGCCTGCCTCCTGACCCGTCCTAGCGCAGCTAGTCCCCTTTGGGCCGCTGGGTCTTGCGCCGGTGGACACGCTTTGTTTCGTCCGGCGCAGGCCAAATACCAAAAGGCCACCCCCCCTCTTGGCCCTGCGGCCTCTTCTTGTCCTCTCCAGCCCGTGTCTCACCCTCAACTCGCCGTCGTCTGACGCTCTCACGCTCTCTTCATCTGCCTGCTAACCTTTCCCCCTCCACAGTCATTCGTTTTCGACTAAATCATAACAAATCACACCAACCGTCTTCTCCTTCCATCAACGAAGGTTATTTTCTGTCAACTACATCCTCTCGCTCTCCTGATTATTCTCACGTGCACACACTACCGACTGGATTTCCCCTGGACTGCTGCAGACGACCAGCTCGCTCATCACTCCGGCCCTGAGCGCCATCTACCCTGATATTTCTCGCATCTCAAGGAGTCTACCGTGATGAGGTTCATCGGTCTTTCGTTTGTCCTGTACTGTCTGGTCCTGCTGGCGGCTGCAGCAGGCGACGATAGTGGCAGCGTGACGGACGTCGCCACGTCGGCTGCGGCAACAACAACAGCGGACACTACCACTAGTACGTCGACCACGGAACCCACCACTTCGACAACTTCCACCTCTACGTCGACGACCAAAGAGCAAGAGCCGACCTCGACTTCGTCGACGTCGACGACGACATCCACCTCGTCCACCTCCACCTCCACCTCCACTACCACGACGGAAGCGACCAAGACTTCCGACGAGCAAGCGCAGGCCACCACCACTTCTTCGTCGACCACGGACAAGAATAATGCTGCTGCGACTACGACCACCACTGCCGATTCCAGCGCTGAGACCTCCGATTCTTCCACCACCGCCAGCGATACCGTGATTGTCATCACCACCTCGATGACCATCAGCGGTACTCCGGTGGCGACGACCATCACCACGACTGCGGCTGTCACGGCGGCGGCCACCACCTCCCCTGGTCTGTCTGGCGGGTCCAGCAGTTCTGGCGGTAGCTCCGGCCTCTCGTCTTCCCAGAAGAAGACCATTATCGGCGTGGTGGTCGGTGTTGGTGGCGCCATCCTCATTGGTGCTATCGGTGTGGTTGCCTGGAGAATCAGAGGCCGCCGGCGCAATGGTACCAACGGTGATGAAGATGACGACCTGATGAGCGGCACTGCTGTCGGCTCTGGCGCTCGTGAAAAGGCCCCCAGCCCCGGGGCCACCGGTACCCCGTTCAAAAGCACTCTGGACCAATATCATAACCCGGGCCCTGTCAACGCCGCGTCGAACTTTTAATTTGCAAACGACAAGTCTTCTGCGGTTCATTGCCTGTTTCTGCTTCAACTTCCCCATCCATCTTTCCGTCGAAGCAAGCCCAGTCTGGCCATAGAAACAAGAGGTTGCAGATTTGTATGATCACCACGCAATATTTAACAGGCGCAAAATGGGTTGAAATTACTTGGGTTATGATTTGTTCCTGCTTTCTTTCTTTTTTTTTTTCCTGGTCCTATTGCCGACATTCTCTTGACTCGTGTCCGTTGCTTTGCCAATGGTTCGCCCATCCTTTTTTGACTGCTATAGACCCGTCAACTTGGCATACTTGCGTCAATTAGAGCAGCAGCGTCTTCTTTCTTTCAACTTTTGACTTTTATCACTCGCATATTTGATTCTATAACCCTAGACATTCCTTGATACCACCCACCACCACCACCAAAACACCCCTCCTTCATACTGTCGTCGTTTTCTGCGCTTCGATGGTCGGTTGTCTCTCTACTGATTCCCCCACACGTCGCACAATTATGTGTTTGTACCCTGATTCTCTCTTCGTCTTGACAGTCAAGCGCTCAAGCCATCTGGCGCCTCTGCCTGCAAAAAAATTTCACCGATACATATGTAATTGAACTATGGGAACACCAATTCAAATATTCAGTCAAATGAAAAGGAATGCATTCAATGTAGTCGTATGTACTAGTAGGCGGTGGGTAGACTAGAAGAGACCCGTATGGAAAAAAACCAACCTAGAGCAGTTACAGTTTAACCCGAAGTACAGTATGGAAAGAACTCATTGTATATCATTATATCGAGTTCAAGATACAGATAGCCATTAAGGTGTAATGCAAAGAATGCGTCATCCAAGTCGCGTGGTTCCGCGTCGTGGCAACGCGAAAACTAGGTAGTCCCGCTTCGGTATTCCAACCCTCCCGCAACATCTCACCGCGCAAATCGCGTCTGATAAGACCTACATTAGACTGCTTGTTCTAGCATATTCATACATCATCTCCTTCTATACACGATTCATACATACATACCTTAGGAAGCAAAGACTTCAGCTATCACCTCAGTATGTTCGCTCTCCCTCATATGCCGATACAATCATCACCGCTGGCTCCACGAGAGCCTCTCCTCCCATTACAAGGGAATGTTCCCAGCTTTCCTCTCTTCGCGATGGATGGTGCCAACAACAAGAACAACAACCCGCCTTCCAGCCCAGACCACACAGCCCGAACCTTTACCTTCGCATCTCCATCTCCCTCTCCGTCTCCGTCTCGCTCCTCCCCATCCTTCACGTCGTCGCGAAGCAAGTCCTCCCCGTCCTTTGCTCATCGCTACGCCGAGCAGATATCCAACCCGCTCAATAATATATCCCGTAACACCCGGACGGGAAGACAGTGCGCCTCTTCTTCTTCTTCCTCGTCGGCATCCCCGTCGGCGCGCGACAAGCGACGCGAGATATTCCTCAACCGCGTACGACAGGACCGGACCGCGGACCGCTTCGAGGCGCGCGGCGAGCAGATCATGCGCATGGAGTATATGGCTGAGCAGAGACAGTGGGGGGAGTCTATGCGGCGGTATGCAGATCGGTACGGACGATTACTAGAGGAAGAAGAAGAAGAGGAAGTTACGTCGGAGGATATGCAACAAGATATGCAAGACGATATGCTCCCCAATCCGGAAGATATCTACGAGATGCATCCTTCGAATGATACGTACGGCGACGAAGAGTATGATGGGATTTTCATGGAAATGGTTGACCAGGGACCCTCTAGTCAAGGGATGGATATGTCGGTTGATTAGGGATTGTCTTTTATTTAGAGATGGTGTTAGATGGTGTTCAGGGTTCTATCCGATGGGTATATATGGGCATGGGTATGACAGTCAGTGTACAGGAGTGGACAGTCCAGGTAGAAGTAATCAGGAATACCGATTCTATTGCTGCGGACACTCCGGGGCGCCTCCTGGCATTTTGAGATCTTCCATCAGCGGGTTCGAAATGAGCTCTTCCGGCGGACTGCCTTGTGCTTGCATCTGAATAATTAGCAGGAGCCTTCAGATATATATATATATATATATATATATTAAGAAAAAGGAAAAAAAAAAAAGCCTACCTCTTGCATCTTCTCCCAGATATACTCCCTACACTTCTGATCCTCGTCAGTAAATCCCGGCTCCTCGAACTTGGCGACAATCAAGCCGACGACTCTGGACTGCGCTTCGTAACGAGCCATATCCTCTGCGGGGACTTTCCCCGACCCTCTATTCTTTTCCAGCCAGGGGGCGAATTTGCCGTCCAGCTCCTTCATGGGCTCGTACAGCATCTCCTTGTTGGACAGCTGCTCCATCATCCCCATGAACATCTTGGTGAGGTCGCCGTCGTCCCCTGCGCCCGCGGCACCGGCCTCGACCGCCTTGAGCAACTGCGCGAGCAGGTCTTCGGAGATGTCGTCGTCGTCCTCCTCTGCCGCGGCGGTGGCTTTGTCGCCGGACTCCTTCATGCGGTCGATTGTCCGTTGGATCGCTTCGTTGAAGGATTCGGGCGTTTCTTTTTCTTTCACCGAGGAGTCACTTTTCTCTTTAGAGCTAGATGTAGCCTTATTTGACTTCCCTTGTCCTCCTCCTTCTCCCCCCTCTTCTTCCGCCATCACATCCGCAATCAATTGCTTGAGAAAGTCGCCCGGGGGGATCCCACTCTCCTCGAGCTGTCTCGCAAATTCATCGGCCCCCTGGTCGATTGCGGCTTGGAATTCTTTACCCTGCTCCGCCGTGGTGGCGCCGGATTCCCGCGCCGCGTGGCTCATCATGCTGGCCATGTCCTGCTCGAGCTGTTTCATGAATGCATCTTCGTCCAAGTCATCGGTGCTTGGCGCGCTGGCGGGCTTTGTTGTGCTATTCGTAGTAGACGTCGAGGGCTTCGGTTTCGAAAAGTTATCCAGTACATCTAGCAGTATGAGTATTTTTTTTCCAATGAGTAACGGCTTTGGGGAGGGGTAACCCGTTACCGTCAAGCTCGTCAAAGTCTGAGTCCTCATCATCCTCGTCCTCGTCCTCGTCTTCGTCTTGGACTGTAGGTTTCTCCTCGCTCGCTGTAGATACCCTCGGTTGACTCGCCTCTGCGACTGGCGTTGCGGTGATTGTGGTGTCTGGACTGCCATCCTGCGGGGGTAGTTGGGACCCCGCTTCCACGGGCGAAGGAGACGGTTTCTCCATGGCGGTTCTGTCTGGTGAACAGTCGACAAGAGGAAACCTGAAGTTATCAACTCGGTCAAGAGTTTTTTTTTTCTGTTCTTTCGCCCGTTCTGTGTCGATGTTGACGCCTGGGCTTCAGCTGACTCGGCCCGGGCGCATGTGAATCGGGAGATGGTGAAGATGTGGTGCCGCGGTCATTATCGGAACGTCAACTTCTAGAGAAATATCCAATTACTTGTTGGTTTTAATGGTTTAAAGTATTTCAATTATCTGTTTGTCATTTGTTTTATTTATGTCTTCTTTTGGAAAAAAAAAACAATGTCATATATAGTACCTTCGTTGGAATATTGAACTTACTCGGCTCTGCTTTTATATAAAGCCGACTCATTGCATAGCGGAGGCAACATTAGTGGCACCATCTCCATAGTAATAGAGCCCGATTACAATCGGCTCGATCTCGTAGGGAAGTATACTACGGAGTACATGCTAACTAGAACTGCATTGTAGATCATAATGTCTTACCTCTGCCTGTACCTGGAGATGGTGGCGACGTCACGGAGGTTTCGTATCTAGAAGCATGGAAGATCAACAGAATTGAGCCTTTGAATGTACTATGTAGAGGTCTCTGGATATGTAGAGGAAATGTAAGACCACCTAATTCATTCATGGCGTCTTGAGTTGTACGGAGCATGGACTAAGAGGTAGTTAGTTAACTAACCACCTAGGTAGATTTCCATCACCTACGGAGTAGGTCCTCCGGAAGATAAAATCTCTCACGCCGTCTACACAATGATGACGTTGCATCTGTAGCTACAAGACTAGGCTTCAAGTACACCGGCCGAGACTTGCTAGTCCTGAAAAACTGACCGGAGATGCCTGTCTATCCGCAAGAAGTGATATCGTTCGTTGATCAGGGAGTCAGACCAGGACGCCTCCGGGCGGAAATTTGAGGTGCAGCAAGACCGATTTTCCCTGCGTCTGGCGCGGTCAAGATCGTACGGAGTAGCTGTCTGAACTATGAACTAACCGAACTACCACGGAGGAGATGCTACTCCGTCCCTACTAAGACGGTAAGAACCTGCATAAGAGCGAGAAAGGAAGGGGAATGGCCCGTGGCGGCTGAGAAAAAAAAAAGCAAAAGAACGTCGACGTGGCGGAAGCGTACGATGGGGCCTTGAAACCCCGGAAAAAGTTGCGATGAGTGAAGAGAGCCAGGAACCGCATCCTTTTACCCTTCTGGGGACGTCATCACGAGGATTCCGCCGACATCTCGAGTTGATTTGAGTTTTGACGGAGTACACATGGTTCGATGTTCCTACTGGAATATTTATATCCAACCAGGTACGGAGTGCTACATAGCATCGTGTTGCCAAGACTCAAGAGCAATCCTGGTCATGTGCATTCTATCATTCATCCGTCAGGGTTACCGTACCGTACACGTACTCCGTACAGCCTTGCTGCCCCTGACCCCGCCTGGCGGAGTCCGCCGACGCATAACACTCTACCGACTTCCGGGTAAGAGTGCCTGGTATCCATCGACCATGAGGTTCTCCATAGTTGGTGCGCAAGAGGCAATAATGGTTGGGGGGATGGTGTATCTAAAGGGGTTGTTTATGGAGTATATAGAGCCGTCGAAGCCGAGGAGAGTACTACCTACTATATACCTGGTACTCTGTCAAAGTTGAAGGAACGACACGTTGTAGAGATTTCATGAGGGGAAGAAGCCGATACCGGCAGTAGAATCTGACATCCTGGTACGGTGATCTCAACAGCTGATGAACATGCTATACATACTAGTTACATACTTATCTACTACCAGGTATAATTATAAAAACTGCCAAATAATTCTGTATTATTAGAGACCGTCTGCCATCAGTTGCAGAGTGACTATCGGCAACAATGCCCACCATACCCTGTGGACGCTGCGGAGCATTTCCGAGGAGGAACGAAACACGAAGATCTTGCCTGATCGCCTGTGACGTCTGAACCTCTGATCTTACCTAGTTAATAGTTAGTTAACTAGCTAACTAGTTGGTGAATACCTACTAGACTAACGCAACTAGAGGCCCGAGTCCCGCCTCATACTAAGTTGGTCAGAAAGTAGAAAGACTAGCAGTTCGCTAGAGCCTGACTACCAAAGGTACTTTGGCGGTTAGACAATGGACATGGACATCCTCTCTTAGGTACATTGTAGTAAGCGTAGGCTTTAGCCACAGCCCGTTAGCCTCCAGTTGCCCTTTGAGTGTCTCCCTCAGGTGGTCGTGGTCCGAAACACGGCATTCCCCACCTGCTGCCACCAACACATGGTTGAGGAGAAGAAAAAAAGAAAAAGAAAAGAAGAAAAAAGGAAAGAATCCCAGACAGTGAGCGTCGGCGTACGTACCACGTACCACGTACCGCGTACCAAGGTAGAAAAACCGTGGAAGTAACCTCTGCACCAGTAATAGTAGTAGGAGGCGTAGGGTTCGGTACCAGTCAGTACCAGTCAGTACCAGTACTAACCAACCAGTACCTGAGGCAGCCGGGCAAAGAGAGAGAGAGAGAGGAAAAAAAAAAAAAAAGAAAAACGCCTTGGCTGGAGCCACCCACCCACCCCAGCATGCGATGGCCTCTCCGGCCTGCCTGACCCGGCAGCAGACTTTTTCTCTCCTCAGCAAGCCGGGGGGGAAGAGGGGGGGGGCCTTGTCCTGCCGCTTTCTTTTTATTCAATAATTTTACCTCACAACTTCCCACTCTTCTTCCTCTGCCTGCTATCTGCCCTCCCTTAACGCAATTTCCTTTATGTCACAGCCGCCGCTGCTCTCCTCGTGACTCGCTCGCCCTGCTCGCACGTCCCCTTCCCACCGCCCAGCCGCGCGTTTACTGCGTCTGGAATTACCGAGACAGACCGCCCATCTCCCGCGCTTACCCGTTGGCCTTGGACGGGCGTGAGAACGTGTTGAACGAGCAGACACCAGATCAGATCGAACCCTGCCTTTCCCCTCTTCTCGTGCGGAGGATTGTTCCACAGGGGAAAGAAATCGACGAGGGGGGAGCCTTCAATGGTCTCGATGGTCGAGGCCGCCGAGTTCAACAATGAGATGGCCATGGATTCCGTGATGCCCAAGTCCGAGCCGCCTCTCGACGGTTCCATCAGCTCAGCGGTCTCAACCCCCGAACCCGACGCAGAAGCCCTGACACGAGACCCTACTCAAACGCAGAAAAGGAAGGGTGGTCGGAAACCTGTATGTTAGCCCAATAAATCGCTTTATCCCTGCTGCTGGCTGTTCGCCGAGGCCCTGTTCTGCGTGACCCCGCAACCCCTCATATTTTCTTTTTTTTTTCTCCTAAAAAAAGAAAAAAAAAATACTAACGTCGTTTGTCGGGGATATGTAGATCTATGCAACATCAGAAGAACGTAAACAGCGCAATCGACAGGCGCAGGCTGCCTTTCGAGAGCGACGAACAGAGTATATCCGTCAGTTGGAGACGACAATCAAGCGCAATGAGGAGACGCTGCAAACCTTGCAGCAGAGTCATCGCAGCGCAGCAGATGAATGTCTGATGCTCCGATACAAGAACTCTCTTCTGGAACGAATCCTAATGGAGAAAGGTTGGTGTCGGGGAACTATTCCTAGCCTGAGCCAACAATATCTAACCGCTGCTGTTGGCATGTACAGGAATCGATGTGCAGGCCGAGCTGAGGATGAAGACGAGTGCCTCGGGGGCCACTCCCATGAAACAACCCAACCCGATGGCCTCCAAACCCACGTCCACCCTGGAACGCGCCGCGGTCAACCGGAGCACCGTCCAACGCCATCCAGCAGGTATTGCCCCCAAATCGGACCAGTTTGGCATGGCGCAGCACCGTGAAGGCGCGTACGGGATGCCTTCTCCGCAGTTCCAGGCGACCCCGCCTTCCCATATGTCCTCGCCATCGCACACTAAATCTCCCGGCTTTGCCTTCCAGGGTGCCCTGTCACCCGCGGCAACGGACCCCCATGTGCGCTCGCAGCTGTTGCCCCAACCTCGGAGCTTCGGAAACAACCACACCTCCCCTCCGATGGGAATGCCGCAGCAATCCGATGTGACCGAGGCAAAGTCCATGTTACCTGGTGGTACGGCCCCCTTGGCTTCCCGTGTCGCGTCTGCCTATTATCCGTCGCCATTCCAAAAGCACTATGATCAATTAGGCAAGCGGACCCGTTCTCTACTGCTGTGTCGGCCGCCGAGAGCGTCATAATATACCAAAGACGTATAACGCTAACTGATCGTCTTTACAGAACAGGAATACGATGCCCAAGCCGACATGGTCGACGAACCCGACCACGAAGATTCGGCCGATCCATCCTCTTATGTACCGAGCTTCACATCTGGCTCGGCACAGGATGCTCATAATTTGCCATCCTACACATCGCAGTCAGTGGTGGGAGCAAACGGGGTCTATGGCAATGCCAATCAGCATCTCCTCGGTCAGTACGAGCCTATGCTGGACACTGATCCGTTTGGACTCAGCGCCAGCATGCACTTCCAGACCCCATTCAGCTACGAACAGAACAACGCGCGCCATTGAACCCTTGACGACTCCGGTCGATGATGTGCATTTCTCAACCCCTTTTATCTATTTTTTGTTTCTATTTATTCTTCTCTCCCTACTTTTTCTCTCTCTCTTCTCATGTACAGATTCTGTCCGACTGGCCGAGGGCAAAAAAGTATATTTGTTCTGTGACATCATTGATTGGTCCATTACTGGCATCGGAAGACAAAAGTGAATCTCTTCAACTTAAAGCATTTGCAGGCGTTCGAGATTACGGTTTGATACTATCTTTGCTGGAAAGCGCCCCAGGAAAATCGCATTTACCCCTTCTCGTGATATACGAACGGAAACGGCCGTTGCACAGCCATCCCCGTGGGACAGTGTCTGCTGAGCGCCTCTGTCTTGATGATGGAGACCCTTTTCTTGTTCTCTTCTCTCTGTGTCTTATTTTCTACATCTTCTCATTTTTTCTCCTCTTATACTTTTCAATTTTTTTTCTTTCTTTTTTTCTTGCAATTGTTTGGGTGGTGTTGATGTGTATATGATTTGTCTGTTCACATAGGTACGGTTGACTCGAGCTGTTGGATGCATTTCTTCTCATGGAATTGGGGGAAAGGGGGGGGGGGGGGGGGGAAAAAAAAAGGGACCAATTAGGGTATTTGCAGCTCTGTAGGTAGCTACCTACTAAATGATTGCAAAAAGAATTATCCATTGAGAGCTGAGCTGAGCTGAGGAGAGCTTGCCCCGGATTACAGCTGTAACCACCTATAGGTAAGATAAGTAGGAACTGGAAGAGATGATTCCATGACGACTCAAGAGTGACGCCAATACCCTAAGCCCTAGAGCCAACCAGGCGACGGCCCGCCCGGATTCGCTTAGCAGCAATTCCCACCTTTCCCCATTGGGCCGGCCATGGCGGGCCACAACCACAACCCACTCTCTCGCCAACCCCTTCGCTACTACTGCTGCTGCTGCTGCCACCAACGCTCTCCCATCCCATCCTATTCCATCATCCCACCTTCCCCGCTACGAGAGGCCGAATACCTACCATCCTGGGTTTTCGCCTTGCTCGATCTCTCGCCCTCCTCGCTCATATCGGATTGCTGCGATTATAGTAAGCCTTCCCAGGAAGGCTCTCTCCACCGCCTGGCGTCATGGCCGACGTCCGGTCCAAGGTACGACCCTGTTTTTTTTTTCATTTTTTTTTCACTCAATTGTTATTTTTCACTCTTTCTGGATGATTTGCTTTGAATGATATGCGAGTGTATTGTGATATATAGCAATGGCTGACGAATTCGCGATAACAGAACCTCTACGAGCTTCTTGGTAATTTCTCCCCCCCGCTCTTCCGGGCCGACCCTGTGATGAAAATGAAAAAAAAAGAAAAAAAAGAAAAGAAGTTCCGTCTAACATCGCGCCAGGCAATGACCCTGAACTCGACCCCGAAAGACCTCCTACTCCCCCTACACGAGCCCTCGATCGGCCCGTAGCTCGCCACGGCAAGCGTGAGGCTCCCAAGGAAGCTCCCAGCCAACCCCGTGAGAACGCCCCTCGTCGTGCCGGCCGCACGACTGGCAACGAGGCTGCTTTCCGTGACCGCAATGCTGGCCGCGACCAGAACCGCGAGAAGCCCACCGAGGAGGGCAGCCAGCCCCAGCGCCGGGCTTTCCGTGGCGAGCGTGGCGACCGTTCCCGCAACGACCGCCAGTCTCGCACCGGTGTGACGTAAGTTATCTCTTTTTATTATCTCTTGTTTTTTTTTTTTTTTCATTCACTTTTACTAAGTGTTTAGCGACACCCGCAAGCAGGTTGAGCAGGGATGGGGCGCCAACAACGGCGACAAGAACTGGGATGACGAGCGTGCCGCGGAGAAGATCGCCAAGGGCGACGAGAACGAGCCCCAGACCCCCGCCGAGGAGAAGCCCGAGGAGCCGGTTGACAAGTCCAAGTCGTACGCCGACTACCTGGCCGAGCAGGCTGCCAAGCTTAGCTTGGCCGCCAAGCCCGTCCGCGCCGCCAACGAGGGTAGCAAGACCGACAAGAAGTGGACCGCCGCCAAGGAGTTCAAGCGCGACGAGGAGGACGAGGAGTACATCAAGGCTTCCTCCGAGAAGGCCAAGCGCGAGAAGCAGCGCAAGGAGAAGAACTTTGTCGATGTCGACATGCGCTTCGTCGAGCAGCCCCGTGGCGGCCCTGCCCCCCGTGGTGCTGGCCGTGGTGGCCGTGGTGGCCGCGGTGCCCCCCGTGGCGCCCGTGGTGCTGCTAACGGTCCTCGTGGTGGTGGCCGTGGTGCTGCCGCCGCTGCTGGTGCTGCCGGCCCTACCGTCGACGAGAAGAACTTTCCTACTCTGGGCGGCAACTAAAAAAAATGAGGATACCTCGCCCTCTACTCCGCTCAAACAACATCTTTTTTTTTTGAGCCCAAAACTTAGTCGGGAAATCATCCCTGATTCATTTTTTTCTATTTTATGTACTAGCTGTCCAACCCTCGCACAGCCGACACGATAATATGGAACGATGGGAAGATGATCCGCCTCTACGGAGTATGCCATGCCCCCCTCCCCCTTTCTAACCCCTCGACGCCCAAAAAAAAAAGAAAAATCTTGCATTCGGCCTGACCATGATATGACTTGGCCTATGTATTTTTGATTTGCAGGGGAAAATAAAATGTTACGTTTACACATGTTCGTAGTTGAGTAACCGTAGAGAAGAGGTATTTTAAGAAGAAGTCCATATTCCAAGCAAAGATCTTAGCTATATAGTTATACCTCCGGGAAAAGCTACATATACTCAAGGACAGTTACAACTCCCCACCCTCATGGCGATAATACGGATGATCAGCGAACTCAGCGGCCGCGCGGACCGCAGCCGCGCGATCGTCCTCGCGAGCGGGATACTCGTCGTTGAGAAAGGACAACCCCCTCATGGCTTTCCCGTCACAAGCGCGCTGCAGGGCCAAAAAGGCAAAATGGCCGCCGACGACGGGGCGCGCGAAGAAGGTAACACCGGGATACCCGCCTTTCCCCTCTGTGTCGTGCAGGTCTGTTAGCGGGCGGTTGGTGACCGTCTCGTTGACCCATGTTGCGACGGACTCGAGGATGGCGCTGCGGGTCTCCTTGCTGGCCACCGCCATGGCGAAGAACTCCCAGTCCGTCTTGGTGTATAGGTGGCGGCTGTCGAGGGGGAGGCCGTACCGCTGCCGCACGGTGTGGTACCAGATCGATTGCTTGCGGTAGATGTGGCGGGGGACGAAGCCTGTTTCGGGCCCATCGTCTCTCTGCTTCTCTTGAGGGACTCTACTACGCTTCTTTGCGAGAAACTCGTCATCCGTCCCCTCCAGGTGGAAGCATAGCTGGGCGTCTGCGTAGAGGTTATAGATCGTTGTCCATGAACCGTACCAGTTGTATGCCAGTTTGGCGTGTGTCTTGTCGCGGGACATGCCGAAATCTTCCCATTTGGAGATGTATGCCTCTGAGATTTTCTGCAGCTAATCAGAAAAAATATCCAATAAGGGGCCGATTGATCTCTACGTACCTTGTAGTGCTTTGCGTCGCCGTCGAAGCCGGCAATCTCGGCAAGCTTGCTCATTGCGTTGATGCCAATGATGCCCTTCAGCGCCAGATTCGTCTGCAGGGCCAGCCAGCCAGCGAAGTCATCGGTAGATACTTGCGATCATCAGTGTTCATCGCTAATCAAAAATACCAAGGTCAAGGGGATCAAGCTTACATTGGTTCGCAGGCTCCAAAGAGAATTCTACCAGGTAACCCGTCCATTGTGTCCAGAGTCGGTAGCTTCTCTGGATCCATTTCGAAGCCAGAAGCTCACCTACTTCGCCACCGCCCCATCTGCCATCCTGTTTGTCAATCCCAGCCAGTTCCTGGAGATTGTCAAGCGGGAAGAGGCCGGAGGACTCCCCAGAGACCCTAGGCGACGAGCCCGGCATGGACCAGATCGAACCCGCTGTCGAGTCCTGAGAGTAGCGCAGGGAATTGGCTACCGCAAGACCCATGATCAGAATGTTGCCGCACTCCTCCACAGGCATGTATTCATCACGGCCATCCGGATGGCCCGTTGCGTTCGGGAAATGAGTGCCCAGATCATGCATTGCGTACGTATTGGGGTACTGCCCGCTCAGCATGTGCTCGATGAGAGGCTCCAAGAGATACGCCAGCCATCTCGGATTGGTGTACAGGAAGAATGGGAAGGAAGGGAAAATGACGTCGATCGTCTGGAAGTTGCCGTTTGAAGATATCTCTTTTAGGAACAAAATCGGATCGTCCGGTGTGCCGGAGAAGGTGGTGGCTCCCAACACCTGCCTGGCAGAAACCGCGACGATATCAACGTAGTCATCTGCTCCAGACAGGTAGGCGTCCTGGGCTAGCTGCTCAGAGTAATTGGAAGCTAAGATATTGGCATTGGCAAAATCGTGGTAGTGGAACGCAAGAAGCTTTTGCTCATCGGGAAACCAGGATTTCCACAGTGGTCGCATCATGGTCAACCCGCGAGCGGACGCATATTGCACGACTGGATCCTGGGTATGGGCAATGGTGAATGTGACGCCGTCACTCTTGGTCGATGTGTTCCCACCCAGCTTGAACGTCTTGGAAAAGGCAAAGACGGGGTGCTGGTCTCGGATGGGCCGAAAGCGAGAATCAACAGTATTCCTCACGGTTCCCTTCTTTGCAAAGGCTTGTCGAACTCGTGAGGCCTCGCCCGACTCGTAGCGGACGTCCTAGAGACAATCAATCACGAAATTCCCGAAATAAGAAGATGAAGGCATTCTCTTACTGCAGGTCCGGTAAAGTGAAGAGTGCCCCATTCGGCACGATCACGAATCTCAGTCAAGAGAAGCTCGTTTTCCCGCCGAACTTGCCAGCGTTGAAGAGAGGATCGACCGTCCTCAGCTTTGACATCATCGAAGCTCCAGACGATCTTGCTTCCGGTATCCCCGCTGACCCAGCGGCCGTCCACATCCATGTATACGTTGACTTCGCCATCACCCTCCACAAAGACCGAGACGTAGGATGCAGGAATCGCCTGTCGCAGCGTCGAGCTGGGAGTAATAGGAGATAGGAACGAGACTGTGATGTCGAGCGGTCTCGCGTCGAAGGCGGCCTCAATGCGATACGTCAAATTGGTGGTCGACGCGTCATAGCTTGCCCCTAGATAAGTCGGGATCTCGGAGGAAGACCTTGCAGCTTGTCAGTTGATAGAACCTAAGGCCGGGGGGGGGTTTATCGGGGGGGATGCTTCTACAAAAACTCATGAGGCTTTCCGAGTAGTGGGTATACAGCACCGGAGCTGGGCACCTGGACCATCAACGACAAGCCGACCTCTTCTCCCGTGTAGAATATGGGCCATTTCGACCAGGGGACCTCCCGAGCATTCCCCAGCCACGTACTGAGATATGGATTGCGAACAATCAGGGGGAGGACTGGAGGAGTCAGGACGGAAGCTGCTATGCCAACCGCTGCCTGGCACAGGGTAATGGCCAGCACCGACACGCCGATCCGCATTGCGGGCGTGATACCAGGAAAGAGGGATGTTGGATAATGTGAAGCCACTAAACGAATTTCGAAAGAGAGAAAAACGAACTGGTTCTTCTGTTGGAAGCTCGGCAGAACCGTGGAAAGATCCCTTACCTTGTCCGTGTTTTACCTGTGCGGGGGGGATGACGAAGACTGCGCAGTTGCGTGGTTATTGGACGACAGCCGATGGAATGTTGATCTACAGACGGATAAACCGACCGAAGCAGCTCTAACACTCAAGACCAGAAGGGCCAGAGAAAGATCTTGGATGAGTTTTCCCTGCTGAGAGCTGTTCGTTATGTTTCAGTTCAAAGCGCGGGGATCCTAGGTGGCTGGCGCATGAGACCGCAGGGATTCTCGGTTTACTGAACTCGTACTACATAAGCAGGAGATTCATTTTATTCTGCTCGAGTGTTCTGCTTGTCTCTAAAGTACAAATACTTGGCTGATCTCCTCTTCTACGCTGTAACCAACTGAATGAAGCCGTGAGAAGGAGCTGAGCTGGAGTTCCTTCCCTAAACAGAAAAGCGCATGATGTCATGCGGAGATAATGGGGCTAGTCCCAAGTGGGCCAATCACGGATGGAGAATACTGTATATTGTGCCTCAGGCATGAACACCTGGGCACCATCAGTATTGAATGCCTCCAGGAAATGGGGACTGGTCTTGATTAGACACTTTATAATAAGACCATTTGTCGTTTAGGGCAGCTAGTCAAGTGCCTGGTTCCCTTGTCTTTGAAATGTCGTTCTGGCGATACACATTGTCGCCGTGGACACGAAGACAGCCAAGTATAGATATTACCCCCGTACTGTTGTACTCCGTACTGTCTGTCTGAGGTATCCTTCCTTCCAAGCAGGACATCTGAACGCGTACAGCTACTGCAAAATCTGATCCAGAGTATCAACCGTGAGGATGTTGACAAGCGGAGAGACAGTGTCCATCTGGGATACCAGGTCGGCCGAAATCTGTGCGGAAAGCGAGCAATTCTCCCCCATGACTTGACCCAGAACTATGTTCATGTTCGTCTTGCGGCCTAGAAACGATCTGGGTAAATCAAACACCATTCTTCTGCTGGAATAATATGTATGGAGTAGGAAGGAGTGGAAGGGAAACACGTGTGTGTTGTAACTGCCAAGATCCGATAAACTTGAGAGGCATAAAACTGTCAGGAATGTGGAGAGGCTGTACGTAGCACGTAGCACGATGATTTGAGCGACTTTGTTCGCCCCTGCAGCTCTTTCAGCATGTACTCAATGCCTCGCTTCATATTGCGATGCCAGCGGCTGGTCGTGCTCGCGACGGGAGCGGCCCGCTCCAGCGTGTTCCTTGGGTTTGTCAGTACGAGCGTCTCTTGAATGGTGATAATCCTCCAAAGAGACGACCCAAATGCAGCATATCTCTCAGTCTCTCAGCTTCGGAACAGAATGGTGCTCAGTATCGTGAGTTTGAGTGGTTCAATCCGTCTCGAACGCGTCGGGACGAGAGACACGGTGCGACTCTCCGCCTCGTGGTTTTTCCGCGCGGGCCCTTTTCGGAGAGAAACAGCCCCATACAAAATCATAATTGGCAGCACGCGAATATCAAGACGCGTGCGATGCTAGTTTCTCCCCTGTGACTCGTGCTATTTTCCCACAGCCACAGACCCTTCTTCCTACTCCTCTTCTTTTCCTTTGGTATTTGTCTACAACACTTTCTCTTATGGTGTCAAGTGGTAGTATTCCAGATTCTATCCTGGTTCCGCGTTACCTGCTCGTCCCGTAACTACCTCCCCACCAACCCCCCCGTCGCTCTGTCTCCAGTCCACGAGCCCATTTCCTGCCATTGTGCCTGTGACTCTGCTTGGTTTGCCCTGGACACCGTTATACAATGCCGCCTACACCTCTACTCCCTAGTCCAATGAAGGACGGGCGTCGCGTCCTGGGGGCAAAGAGCGTAAACGCGTGTCTGTCACCTGCAGGCCCTCGAAACGCGGATCGTCTTTTGACCGGGGACTCGCCCATCAAGAGGGCTCTCTTTGAGAGCTCATCGCCCAAGAAACACTTACTGTCTCCTTGCCGCATCGGCGAGAAACGCACGATAGACCAGGTGGAGAAATCGGAAGTAAACAAACACAGCAAACCAGGCAGCCTGCAGGTGAGGCCGTCACAGTGTGATGACGGACTTCTGCAGGAAGGCAGCTCGCAGGGAACGATCCAGAATAACAGAGGAGTTAGTTCCGTCTTGATGCTTTTTTTTTTCCTTTTGCAATGGCCAAAAGCCATGACTGACTGGTCGCGTCGTTACTTGGAACAGAACCACGCGCCGAACCTGGACGTCTCGAACCCGAAACCTACACCAGCACCGCAATTTCAATCACAACCAGAGCCCACTGAATCAGTAATTGATTCCATCCACGGGTACGATGCAGAACGATACACGAGAGCAGTTCCAGAGGACCCCGAGGCGCGCAAATCGTTCATTGAAGAAGTAAGACGAGCCTTAAAGTTGAGTAACTCGACTGAAATGTGATCTGACTGTTTTGGTTATCAAATAGAAAGCCACTCTTCTTCGAAAACGCATTCAGACTGCCATGCGTCATGTTCGAGACCATCAGTTCGACCGGAGACTCTCCGACCTGGAAGCCCACAGCCGCAAGATCCCACGGTTAACATTACCACCCACTACTCCTGTGCGAGAATCTGTCAGAAAGGCCACAACCCCGCCATCAGCAAAGACCGTCACTCTCGAATCCGCCGCAGAAACGCAAGCAGTGTCCCCGCAGATTGCAGCCACATCTGGCGGCCTATCGTCTCCCCCCCTCTCCGCCGGAAGTGGTATCCAAGAGCCGGTCAAGACCCCGCCGCCTCAGTCGGGTATTGAAACAGCGCTCATGCAATTGAGTAGCCCTCCTGCCACCATAATGCGGCGGAAACAGGACAAAGAAGAGTCGGAACAAATGATGGTAGAAGGTCGGAGTCATGAAGAGGAGCCGAACAACCCCGACACGCCATCCCACAGGGTTGATGCGCTAGATGCGTTGATGAGGCTCAGAGAAACAGCAGATAAACACGAGAAGCCCGAGACGTGGGCCAGCTAGATGTGAAGACACAATTTGGCACGACCCAGAAGACGTCTCGCTGTCCGGAAGCATCACCAGCGATGCCGAGCGAACGAGGACGACTTAAGTGAATTGACTTGACACGGTCGAAGAGTCCAACACCTCGAGAAAGTCAGAGCCAGAGTTTTCTTTTCAAGAGGCGCTTGGGCTGGGCAATCGGACGATGCGCTAATAATCGGGGGGCTGAAGGGGGCAGGACGCCCCTTCCACCTGCCATGTGCATATCTCGGAGTCACATGACCTGGAATGTTCCCTTTGATGTCACGGTGATGAACGAGGAGAAAGAAGAGGAAGAGGAGGAGGAGGAGGCCAGTCGGATATATCTATACCTACACCTATACCCATGTTGATGCAGTCAGACTAGATGTGAATGGTGCGAGTTCGACCCTGTACAATCACGGCAGCTCTAGCCGTTCTATGTAATTACATAGCCTAATAGATAGAAAGAAAGACTAGACTTGCCCAGGATGTGAATGTATATGTATTGAGAATCAAATCAAGAGGTACAAGATACGCTTTAGATACAGAATGGGGTAACGAAGTTGTTGTAGTACAGAGACAAAAAAATATCACCGCACCTTCTTCAGCTTGTTTCTCTTCCGACCCAGGACGTCTCTCCCCTCTTCGATCTCGCCCGCCGCCTCTCGCTTGGCCTCGCCGACCTCCTTGAGCACACCCGTGCGCACGACCCGGCCCTCGATACTGACCCCGTCCTCGGCCCACTCGACCATCTGCCGACCGACCCGCTCCTCGATCGCGAGCACCAGCTGCACATCCCGCTGGCCGACCAGCGTGACGGCCTCACCGGATCGGCCTGCACGCGCCGTTCGGCCGACGCGGTGGACGTAGTCGTCCGGGTTGCGGGGTACGTCGAAGTTGACCACGAGGCTGACGGCGGGGATGTCGAGACCACGAGACGCGACATCCGTGGCGACTAGTAACCGGGCGGCGGCGGCGCGGAAGCGCGCCAGGTTCGCCGTCCGCTCGGATTGGGGCAGCAGACTGTGCAGCGAGGTCGTGCGGTGGCCCAGCCGGCGGAGCATGCGTTCCAGCAGGTCCGCTGTCTTGGTGTGGTTGCAGAAGATGATGGCAGGTTTCGTTGCGTTGCCCTCGGTCGACAGGAGAACGTGCAGGAAGGCCTCGCGGTGCGTCAACGGCACCTGGAGGTATGTCTGCTTGAGGGTCGGGGGGATGTTGCCCTGATTTTGTGTCGCAATCTCCGTCACGAAGACGGGCGGCTTGCCAGCGGGCCGCGGCATGGTTTTCAGCGCGCGCACTTCCGGTGTGATGGTCGCCGTGAAGAGAAGGGTTTGCCGCTCGCTCGACGGCGGGAGGGCAGACATGCAGGTTTCCACGTCTGGAAGCATGCTGCCCGGCCCGCTGGCGAGAAGCCGGTCTGCTTCATCGAACACCACCATACGCACCCGTTTCAGCCCACAGACTGTATCCTCGCCAGAGGTTTGAATATGATCGGCTAGCCGTCCTGGAGTCGCAATGACGACATGAGGTCGTTGCGAAAGTGCAATGGCTTGGGGTCGCATGTCGGTTCCGCCGGTGATTAGAATCGGCTTCATGCTCTGGGGGGCGGAGATGGCCTTAAATTGTTCGAATATCTGTAGCGCAAGCTCTCTTTTCCCACCCCCTTCATTAGAAAACTGTAGAAAAGAAAGGGACAGTAAAGAGGAGACAAACCTTGTTGGCGTCAGAACGATAGCGAAAATGCCTACTGGATCCTCCGCCCATTTCTGCAGTATCGGTACCGCGAAAGCCACCGTCTTACCAGAACCTGTCCGACTCCCACCGATACAATCTCTCCCCTTGAGAATCTCCGGTATACATGCCTTCTGGATAGCCGTCGGCCGCCGGATCGCCATCGTCGTCAATGAGCCCACCAGCCAAGGCGCGACGTTCAACGTCGAAAAGGTCGATTCGGCACTATTCAGCCCGATCTCCAGCGCATCTTTGATCGTGACCGGATCTTCTTCGGGCTCTGTACTCTTTTCGGGCTTCGAAGCGTCTTTCTTCTTGATTCGAGAGAGCGTAGGTAGCGGTGCTGACGCGACGTACGAATCATCGGACGATTCAGAGAGCCGTCTTCGTTTGGGAGCCCGCGCTTGAAGATCAGCGGTTTCTTGGTCAGAAACCTCTGAAAGAGAGGCCTGGGACTCGTGGTCCTCATCAAAAGGGGCCTCCGTTGGTTCTGAGCGCCCCATGATCTGTTTGAGCGTCTTCTTCTTGTTTTTATATGAGTCTTGAAGAGCAGTATAAATAATTGTGATAAATATTGCAATCGTCGAAATTCTTCGGCAGAAAAATCGCGATACGCAGGCGGTGAAGCTTATTGCACATGAATTAATCTTTTATGCACATAACTAAGAGGCAAACAAAGAGTTGGTTGATCAAAGATTATTAATTGAATTATTTAAAATATAGCTACTAGTAGTGACTTGGTGGCTGCAGAGAACCTTCGTTGTAAAATAATAAACTGCTTTAATCTGGAGTACTGTGGAGATCTAGATGACTACTACGGGCAGACATAGTGAACGGTGAACAGTGAACACCGAACCGCGATTCATGAATCAAGGTATTGGTATACCAGCATCTATTCAAATTCAATTATGGCAAAGGAAAAGAACCGAATAGATCGTTGCGTAGGACGTCGCTTAGCGCGGTTCTGAGACCCCAATCCTGGATGACGGACTGCGCGGCCTCGGATTGCATTCTGTTTGGGCTCGTGGCAGAAACAGCCCTTAGGGCCAATGTTATCCAGATATATCCGACACCTGTAGGTATACTCTGATCCGTTGCGCAGTAGATAACTAGATCACAGTGTGTCTCGAGCAGGAGTCTGTCCAATTCGTCCGTTTGAGGGCTGACCTTGGCCAGGACCATGATCCATGAAAGGCTGTAGAAGACCACAGAGATTAAGGTCGAAAAGTTAGAGTACTGCATTGCAGGTGGCACCAGGCGCCAGGGGTCTGCTGGCCTATTCCCACAAGGTGATGTGGCAGTATTCAGCGGTAGGTCAGGGTTTTCCGCAACGATTGTATCCCATATGTGCTGCAAATTTTCCACGAGCCAAGCAACAGATGTGTTTTGACGACTGGAACAGAGAACAGGTAGAAGGAGGAGGAAGTCAGAGATTAAATCCAAGGATTTTTTGGTTTTACCCTCGAAAGGAACCGTCATCCATCGATTCGACGCCAATAATGACGGTTTCCATTGACTGAGAGCAACCAAGGCCTGACGAATGATTAATAACGAAACATGCCTTGGTTACTTCGGGTTTTTGGAGGGGGAAGAGCTCACATGGACGGTTCGTAGATCGCAGAAGAGCGTCCACGCAAGGCCCCCCTGGCAACTCTGCGGGCCGATCCTGCCCAGCAGATCCACGGCCATAGTCAGATGACATTGCGCAGCATTTGGAGTCGTGACCAGCATTCCCTCCGTGTACGCCAATACCATCGTGTTGACAACGTCATCGAGAGTGGGGGTGGCAGTCGAATTGCCGATTCTCTGCATGAACAAGCGCTGGTGCTGCAGCCCATCTCCGTAATATTTCCGGTATTCGACGAGACAAGGCCTGTGTCCAGACACTTGACCATTGAAAATTAAGCTGGCCGCCCATGTGCTAGAGCGCCAACTAGAGTGGAGGTCGATCATATCTAGCAGTCGGATAGGCCAGGTCGTCATGCCCCGGCCTTCGGTCATGAACGTGAGGAATTTGCCCAGCAACTGCTTCCCAACAATGATACCGGTGTCTTCTAGAGTTAGCGGATAGCTTGGATATCAAGACCATTCTAACGTAACGTACCCGGAGTGTATATAATCATTCGCTGGCCTCCCCCCGCATCTCTGACGCGGCCTGTCTTCTTTTTGGGAGTCTCCGCGTGGCTCGGGGAACTGGTTCCTTTCCGACGGCCTAATTTGCCAGGATCTACTGCAAGAAAGACATTCCCTCGGACAGACCCAGGGCAGTAGCTGCCGACCTGGGCACACTGAGTACAGATTGGGTAGTTCTCATCGCACTACAGGCACAAACGTCATTAGGGCGAGCTTCGTTTTCTTCCTTTTTTTATTACCAGGGGTATCCCGACCTTGATCTTCCGCGTGCGACATGTCTGGCACGCCTTTGTGCGCCCTGTTCGTCGAACCATTGTACTCTGGGTTATTGAAAATGCCCGAGGGCTGCAGCTTCTAATATCTCATCATTTCGTAAGGGGGAGGTGGGAGGTCTATCATACTGTGATGCCCTAGGGTGTTTTAAATCGGGGCTTCGTGAAGGATTTTCAGCTCAATAGTAGTATTCTTATCTCCATTTCTTGACCAATTGGCCAGTCAAACTCATCACAGGGAGCCCCCATGGCCAACTAAGCACCAAGCTGAAGAATCTCACCGTCTGAGGTGGGGGGTCTGACGTCCAAGTGAGACTGCTTTGATATGCCGGAGCTCGGAGCAGCTTTGATCCTTTCATACTAACCGTAAAAGGTATATTTTGCATTAAGCTAACTGAATTTGGCTAGATCGGCAGATCCAGAAGGAAGCAACGACTTCAACAGCAAAAACGACGACTTTCAGACTAATTATCGACTGATTTCAAAATAGCTTCAAACACAGCAGTTGAGTTAGCTTCTTGAAGCCGAGACCGCCAAATCTGCACCACCTGGAAACCCGCCTGTTCCAGCAGGTCAACCCATTGGCGCTGAGTCCGCTCGAGAGACGAGAAGATCTCCATCATGGTGATATCTACGACCGTTGAATGCCAGGAGACATTGGATTCCGGGATGCAGTTCTCGTTCAATATCAAGATGGAATCCTCTGCCATCGCCTCCCGGACTTGGGTGAGTGCTTTGACCGCTTGTTTCGCTGGCCAGTCATGGAGAACGGTTCTCATGTAATACGCCTTGGCCCCCCGGATTGGCTGCGGTGTGAACATGTCGTACTTGATGGCTTCGATCCCGTCTGGCAGTGGCTGGCTGATGTCGTCAATGACCTGGGGCAGATCCTGGAGAACCAGCCGCCCCGGCAGCTCGGGGAACTGCTGCTTGAATTCAATGAGGTCGTGCCCGATGCCGCCTCCAATGTCGACGAGAAGGGCGCGGTCAGACGACGCCTGAAGTTTCTCGCCGACGGGGAAGACTTCAAACCACTCTTTCCCTCTGACTCGGCGGCCGAGTGTCATCGTTGAATTGAAAGCCTTCTGATCCGCCGGGTTTTTGGCCAGCCATTCAAAGTAATGGTCCTTTGTGTCGAACGCCAGCTGGAAAGGAGCGTCATAGCTGTCCGTTGGGTTCTGGTACCCGTTTGCCTCGAAGTAATCATATAGCCTGGCCGACGCTCGCATATTGGCATAACTGCGTCTTTGTCAGCAAGGGATTCCCATCCACGATCTAGGGAAAGGGACAACCGCACAAGTGTTTGATGAGTTCGCCGGTCGGCATCCCATTAACAAACAGGAAAGCCAATTGCAGGGGACAATATCTGTCCTGGCCTGTTTCCTTGCAGACGTTTTTACAACATAGAGAACGCATGATGCGGACTTTCTTTTAATTAACAAAACCGACTAGACTAGGAGAAGAAAAGAAACTTTACCGAGGAGCCCCTTTTCCCCTTTGACCTTGGAGTGAAGCTCGTCCAGCGTCAGTTCCTTGTCACCAGAGGCTGCAAAGGCATCAAAGATGCCCATTCCCTGTGCCAGACGGATAGCCGAGAGATCTTGGGGCTAATGGTTTAGGGGTTGTTTATACAACATTCAACTGATATGTATGCATGGGCCTACCGAAAAGATGAGCTTCTGGATGGACTCGACATATGTCTCCAACCTCGCCTGGAGCTCGTTGACGACCTGCAGCAGCAGGACTCGGTCGTCATTCGGGATTTCCTGTAGCGAAGGGAGTTTCTGCAAAACCGACGTCAGAGTGGACGCGAGTTCAGATACAGAAGCCATCGTAGTGTAGTATGTAAATAGAAGATATTAAGTCACTGTAAGTAAAACAGAGGCGGGCAGAAGACAATGGACAATGGACAATGGGCAGATGAGTTGCAGAATAACAAACAAGGCAGATACATCCTTATGTACGTATTATCTGCTTACACTTCCTCAGGCGAGTTTTCCCAGAATCGCTAAATCTGCGCAGAAGTTACCGTAAGAGGAAGTGGATCCATTCTGCTGAACTAAAGACTCAGCTGTTTATTATTATCGTTTCAACCATTGTTAAATATCAGGGAGCTCATGAAAGAACCGGTTCTTTGATATTATTCCATGAATGATGGTTTTACAAACAGGCCCTTGGAATTTACCTGCAAAGATTTATTGTGAAAAGCATTATCTATATCTACTATATCTTACCTAGGCTAGGTAAAATCAAATCAGCTCGTCCGACTGGCCGTGCTTCGTCTCCTGACAGCCGATCGGGCCTGTAGCTCGTATAGTTCGCCGCGTTCCAGCTCGTCCTCGACGGGCGATTCCTCTGCAGAAGACCATTCGCCGCGGCGGTTCATCGCGCCAGACCCGGGTTCACCGAGGACGGCTGCTGCAACTGCTGCCTGGCGCTTACTAACTGGCTGTCCTCGTCCTGATAGAAGGCCGCCATCTCCCGTGTGGCTGGCTGGCTGTTGTTCTTGTTGTTGGTGATGGTGTCGGGAGAGGATTTCTTCCTCGCTATCGAGGCCGTGGGTGCCGCCGACGCTTTCCATGGTGAACGGGCTGGCTGTCGGGGCGTCGAGGGCGGCGAGCTCCTCGCGGGCGAACCAACGGGGTAACACGAACGAACGCACAGGGATAAGCAGCAGGATGATGACGGGAAACCCGATGGCGGCGATGGTCTGGGTGATGGCGAAGGTGGCGCCGAAACCGAGCAGCTCGAGGAGGACAAAGACCCAGATGGCGGCGCGGCGGTCGAGACGTTTAAGCGGGTTGGAAGCCGGGGTGAACTGTTTATCTTGCGCGAGAAAGATGAGCTTCTGCGTGATGCCGTTGCCCTGCAGGGCTTGGACGCCCATGATGAAGAAGAGGCCCGCCAGCACCCCCTGCGGGATTAAATGCAGCACGATCAGCAGTGGGCCGGACATGGTGCCCAGCGTGAGCAGACCCTGCGCCAGGTTGCTGACGCGCTGCTCGACCACATGGTCGGTGATCCGCACGGCTTTCCCCTTGTTCGTGTCGTCTTCGTCGGCGACATGGCGCGTCACACAGAGCGCCGATGTGTGGAATGGCGCCTGGGGGATGAGCCCATTGGGGAATGGGATCCCCAGCAGCCCGGCCACCCCGGTCGTCAGGCCGAGCAGGAATAGGTCCCAGTGGAATCCGGCTGGTTTGCGGAGGGGGAATTCCGTTCCTTGCGCAATGAGGGAGGAGACTAACCGTTAGTATACATATATGTAATAATAATAAAACGGAGCTTACCATTGTGATCAAAGTAGAAGAGAATGGTGAGGAGAACCGCGAAAGGAATCGCAAGGAAGACATCACCCACGCCGATGTCCCAGAAATGGACGAGCCAGGGCCGGTCAACGGTGGGAGTGAAGGCCTTGCTGGTGGGCAAGGTAGCGACGTCGACGTCACGCATGTGGCCGATGTGGACAAAGCCCGTGAAAAACACGATGGTCAAGGGGGTGCCGTAATCCTCGAGGAACTTGCGAACATAGCGTTGAAACAGGTTGCTGTTGCCGAGCTCGCCGCAGATCCAACCGCTCATCAGCACTAACAAAGCAACCATGATGGCCAGGTAGGCCGAGGTCTCGCCAGCAGACCCCCACTGCCGAGTTAGAACCTGAATACCCTTCTGCAGATAGATAAAGGCGACGTAGAAGCCGAAGATGTCGCACGAAAAGCGAGTCACGTAGGTCAGGCCGTTGCACGCATTGGTAATGGCCAGCAGCCAGTGCATGATAAGCGACCATCTAAACAATCAGCATGACACAGTAGTGATCATGATATATAATCATAATCTTTTTTTCCCTACTTACATGCCAATCCATGTCATGAAAGCGAGATAGTTGGTCCCTCTCGGGGAGATGATATCATAGACCGTATAATTGAAGACAGTAATCGGTCCTTCTCAATTAGACTAGACTGAAACAGAAGAAGATAGGAGTAAAGGATAAGAAGAGGATCATACATACCGGTCACACCAACAATCACCAAAGGCTGCGCCGCAAAAAGCGAAAAGACCACTGCCCCGAGCACCGAGGCCAGGAGCACCTCATTCACGCCATAACTCTGGTTCGTCTTCTCGAACATGTCGAGCGAGAATGCCAGAGCGGGCAGAATACTAGCATAAAATGGTTATACGAATGAGTGATAACAATGGCGATGCGATGAACTCACTTGGCGAAATACATGTATACCGTCGCTGGCACGACACGATAATCCCACGCATCCGTCCAGTCACTCGCGTAGAACGGCGCCCTACGTCTGATATCATTGATCATGCCTCGAAAAAGACGAACGCGCCACCATCTTGCTTCCTTTCGCGATGAGGATGAAGAACTAGTAGAGGTGGTAGATCTGGGCCGACTCTGCTGTTGCGCCGACGGTGACGGCAATAGGTGGCTGTGACGCCCCGACCGAATGGACGAAGTATGCTGTGCCTGATTCCATGGCTTCTGTGGCATAATTGATGACGACGGGCCTGCTCCTGGTGCTACAGTGCCAGGCGACGAGGAGGCGTGCATATTCAAGCCTGAGTGGATGGCGAATTCCCCGCTGGAGGAGGCGGACGGCGGTGGAACGCCGGGTCCCTGCATAGAGAAGCTGGGGATATCAGGGTACTTTCTTTCTTTCCTTTTTGAGTTTAATAATATATTCGAGAGTTTCTAGAAATTAATGGCCGTGAGGGTGATGAAGAAGGGGAAGCAGGGGATCAACTATGACGGCGACACAGTTTTGTTAGTGCGGGATGGGCTCGGTTGATTAAAGAGCCTTGGGAGAAATTTTACTGACTCGTACAAGTACAGTCTACTTTAATAGTATAGTATTTTCGGCGTATAATTCAGACAATTGATTACTCTACACTGGACAGAGGTAAAGACTGTATACACAAGCAAAAATAGTCGAAACTCAGGGAGAAAAAGAAGCCTAACATTTGCCTAGACGATTGATTTCTTATATTCTCTCGGTCATTCTTTAAGCCGGAGGAGGTGGCGGGGGAGGTTGGTCGCTAGGAGGCTATTAAGATAGTTAGCAATGGTTTTCTAGGATTCAAACTCTGTTCCCCTGTTTCTTAAAAAAAAGAAAACTTACAGGAGGGGGAGGACCCTCGCCCGGAGGCGGAGGAGGCGGGCTGCCAGCGCCGCCATAGTACATCGAGCCCATGCCTGGAGGAGGAGGAGCAGCAGCCATCCCCGGGGGCGCGTAGGCATTGTAGCCTCCATAGCCGTAGCCCGACTGTCCTCCCGGTGGACCGGAAGGAGGAGGGGGAGGGGGAGCCTGCTGATGCCAAGGGGCAGCGCCTGGCGCAGCACCTGGCGCCGCGTAGCCGCCAGCGTGCCCACCAGCGTGCCCACCAGCGTGCCCACCAGAGTGCCCGCCGCCATATCCACCGTAGTCGCCACCACGGTTCTGCCAGGGAGCAGGTCCGCTCCCACCACCGCCGCCGCCGCCGTCGCGGCCACCGTAGTCGTCCCGAGAGCGGTGGTCCCGGCTTCTCTGTTGCCAGGGAGCGACGTCGCTGGGCGGGGGACCGCGCTGCTGCCAGGGCTTCACGTCGCGATCGTCGTGATAGGTGTGGTCAGGTCCGCCTTCAATACGGAGGGGAGCGTGTCCATCACCGGCGGGCGCGCCACCAGACAGCTCTTGCATAAGTTGCTGTATATTTGTTAGTATGGGAGACAGAATATCAGCGAGAGGGAGAGGGCAAAAAAAAGGCGTCTTACCTCCATCTCGCGATCGACAGCATCGCCAGCACCGATAGCACGGCGAGGGCCACCACCGTAGCTGCCATTATTACGCCAGTCGGTACCACGCTGGCGATCGGGACAATCACGGGCCATGTGACCGGCGTTGCCACAGACACGACAGATGATGTTGGCTGTAAAGTTGCGTTGCTCGGGGCAATCGTACTTGCGATGTCCGATTTGACCGCCTAGAAAACACCATTAGCACTATAGCCGGTTATGTGTAATGACCAGGGAGTAACTCACAGTTCTGGCAAGCCTGGTTCTCGTCGTCACGAAGAGTACCGTTCAGAGCAGCCAGCTCTCGAAGCTGGTTCCGCTTGAGCTCGTTCTGGCCTTCGGGGATGGAGGCAGCCTAGAGTGATCAGGAATGACTTATATATCGATCAGAAAGGATGGACATACTGTTTCGATAACGTTATGGACCAACTTCTTGGCCTTGTTAACCTTTTCCTCGGTGTCTGCCATGATCAGGCAATGAAGATCTTCTTCCTGGTTACTAGCGTGAGCGGCGTCAGAGCGACCTTTTCCTTCCTTGACGGAGCCTTTGCCTCGAATAGCGATCTTGGCGCCGGATTCGGCCTCCATCTTCTTCAGAGTGTTGCCACGAGGTCCTATGAGTAAGCCAACTTTGGGAAAGGTAGCAAGAAGCGCTAAGTGTTAGTCTTGTTCGGTATTGATCAAACGGGTAGAGCAAAGAAGTGTGTAGGATAAGCAGCAGCAGCAGTAGCAGCAGCAGTAGTAGGGTTAGCCAGAAGCGCGAGCCTGAGATCATTTGAGGACGGTGCCTCCTCAGACCCGGTTCGAGCAGCCGCAGAGCCATGAATAATCATGATAATAATAAAAGCAAGACAGTTAGGAGTTAGAGGGTTAGTTATCATACTGAAGTTAATCTCTGGATAGTCATTCACTGGCACGTAGACCTTCTCCTGGGTCTTGGTGGGCCGTCTGTAGTCAGCAGGCGGGTGGTAGTTAGGAATGGTCTTCATGGCCTTTTCGACCAGTTTGTGGCGCTCATCCTCGAGACGCTTGCGATACCGGAATTCCCTGGTGTTAACACGTCTACCAAAGTTATCGTACTGCGGAGGAGGCGACGGAGATCTAAAGAAAAAAAAAAAAAGGTAAGTAGAGTGTTATTTGTTTGTCAATGACATCCGAGTTCATAAAATACATACCTGTCACCATCGGCAGGAACGACATCGTTGATACGAAGCTTCTGGCTGATCTCTTCGATACGGAGGTGTAGAGTATACGCCTCGAGCTGTTCGTTGGTGAAGTTGGCCATGATCATGGTGGGGAGGCCCATCAGCCCAGCCGCCTTGTTCTCCTGCGCGTCGCCCCAGCGGTTGCGCTTCTTGCGCTTCTTGATGCCATCTGCAGGAGGATCAGCTAGAATAGTTAGTATTCTCGTTTCCTTTTTTTCCCCCCCAGAAAGGATAGTGATAAGCGTACCTCTAACAGGGCTTCTGCCTCGCTTGACGCCTACGTCCCCAGCAGCAGAGGCCGGAGTCGCAGTCCTACTCTCATCCTCGGGCTCGTCACCAGCAAAGCGGCGACGGCCCAGAGGGATGTTGTTCGAACCCGTCATGCCCTGAGTGCGCCACGACATGATGCTGGTTGTTAGTTTTCCAGTCGAGAGAAGTGGTGGGATGAAAAAGGGTTGAACCGGACGATACGCCAACTTTTATTAAGAGTCGAAGTGGCGACCTTGACATACCGAGCGGGATCCTGACTAATAGATTATGTAATACTGATTGTGACACCTTCAATAACAGGAACAAAACAATCCACTACCCAGGTAGTTACTGTTCAACCAAATAGGATTGAATAAAGGTTCAACTATTTCTTCGAGTCCTCCTTCATCCCCTGCTGGATCCACGCGCGCGACTTAGCAGCTTCTTTCTCCATGGCCGCCTTATCCTTCAGCAGATCCTTGATGGTATGCGGCGAGGGGACATGCCTCCCCTTCTCAACGCCGACGCGCTGAGCCATCAGCTCCTCCCACGCCTTGAGATGGGGGAAATCGTCGATGTCGACGCCCGCCCACCCGGCAGCAGCAATCCAGCCCCAATGCGAGATATCCGCGATCGAGACATGGTCGCCGACCAGATACCCGGAGCTCGAGGACGCCAGATGCTTGTCCAGCACGCCGTACAGCCGGCGCGTCTCGTTGGTGTACCGCTTCACCCCGTACTCGATGTGTTCGGGCGCATAGCGCACAAAGTGGTTCGACTGCCCCTGCATCGGCCCTACGCCGGCGTTCTGGAAGAACAGCCAGTTGTTCATCTCGTAGTACTCGCGGCTCCCGCGCGGGTACGAGATCTTGTACTCCGTGTCGTACTGCTCGACGAGGTACTGCATGATGCTGCCGGACTCGAACAGCCGGATCTGCTGCCCGTCGCTGAATGTGTCGGTCAGCGCGGGGATGCGCCCGTTCGGATTGATCTTAAGGAACCATCTGGTAGCCACGGTCAGCGTCCTTTCCATCTACCGTGACCTTTCTGCAGGTAAATCACTTACTCCTCCTTCTGGGTGTTTTTGCTGATATCAATCTTCTCGACCTTGTACGGCAGTCTACATTGTCAGCATGAGCCCAGTTCAATGGAACGGTTGGCGAAAAAAAAAAAAAAAAATAGAAAACAAGAAAAGCACACCCCAGTTCCTCCAAGGTAATGGAGATCTTGATCCCGTTCGGGGTTTGCGCAGTGTAAAGTGTAATGTCGGGCTGCTTGGAAGCCATTGTGACTGACGAAGATAAATGAGACGTAAATCCTCTAAAGTGGAACTTAAAGAAGTTATATGCTAGATGGTTGCAAGAAAAAACAAAGGTCGATAAAGCAATAAAGTATTTATTTATCTCGATTTCGATTTAATTACCCCGCCTGGGTCGATTGATTAGTGATAATGATGGCCTGCTACATCATCGATCCCCATGGAACCAGCCGCGATTTCTAATCCATCGCGCCATCGGCATCCGAGGGAAGCATAATTACATAAAAAGTATTGTGGTATACAAAAGCATCAAAGTAGCCATAGTATCTGGATACTTGGGTCACTACCTAGAGAGTCATTTAGTCACACTAGAACTATCCTCAAGCTAGCAGCTACATGCAGTGAAATACCAAGAGTAGAAAAACCAAAACACAGCAGTAATGGCGAAAGCAGTATTGTCAAGGAATTTGAAGGACAGCTGAATCACATAATCGAATTTGCATTGGTGAACGGCCATCACAGAACGAACAGGCTCGAGAGATATACTACCAGGTGAAACTTTCCTCGATGAAATCGATCGTAGTTCGGCCTTGTCGCTGCCGACAGACACGACGGATGTCGTCACTCAACCCCCCGTTGCCGCAGACCAACACCCCCATGGCGCCGATTTGGTTTTCCACCTCCATCCCGATCAGGGTGTCGATGTTCGGGCGGCCCGGGAACATCTGGACGGTCGTGCTCGGGCTCTGGATCTCCTTGGTGCTCCGGGGGCGAGTGATGAACAGCATGATGCGCAGGACCTCGCGGCGACGCTCCATGCCGAGAATGCTCGTCATCCAGGGACGGATCCACTCAAGGTGCTCAGGCGACTGGATGATCCAGACCAGGGTCACCCGTCGTGCGGCCACGGTCCCCTCGGCATATCCGCGCACCAGATGCTGCACAAAGGGAATCAGGTGGGTGACGCCAACACCGCCGGCGAAGAGCATGCAACTGCCGTACGAATCCATCGAATGGATGCTGCCATAGGGACCCTCGACCATAGCCCGCAGGACGACGCGGGAGCCGATGTTATTCTGTGCGCGCTGGAATAATTTGTCCGTGAAGCCCGTGCAGCGGCGCACCAAAAGGGATACCGTGGTCTTCCGCGAGGCCAGCACGTCCTGGTGAGTCATTGGGATCCCTTTTCCATCGATCGTGATCTCCTCGGTCTCACTCCAGCCGACCGAGAACGGGTGTGACATCCACCATCCCACCGAGGGGATATACAGGTACAGATGCTGTCCAGGCCGGTATTTCCAGGGACGAGCCATCCTGATGGTGACACGGAGGCAATCACCGGGCAACGCCTCAACCAAAGCGGTAGTGGAACCATTGCCGAAGTTTCGATAGGCAAGTATAACCAAGCGCGCCGTCCACTATCGTGCTAAAAGTTAGCTTTTCATCCCCTGTCAAGCAAATCACTTTATTCAGGGAGAAAAAAGAAAAGAAAAGAGAAAGGCTAACACTAAAACCCCAAAAGACGAGAGCGACGAGAAGATAGGCCTGTGATACAAATCCGTCCAGATGTATCCACAGAAAGGCGCAAGCGACGACCGCGAGGACGATATGGAGATGAAGAAAAGTCTCGTAAAAGGCATGGCGGAGGGCGGAAGGCGACTGGACAACGATGGCAACGAAAGCGACGCAAGACTAGAAGGCCTCGGTTAAACCACTTGACTTTCTCTGCAAGAATCAACATGACGATTTGCTTACAATAAATCCCACTAGCAGGAAGTTGTCTGAAAACACATGAGCCCATTCAGCAGACCAGCCCTCTAGAGAATAGATCAGCAATTGAAAATTTTTAGGAGACGGTTGCGGCGTTGCAGCGGTGTTACACACTTTCTTGGATATCTGGGATAAGACAAGCAATCACATGGGCCAGGGCCTGCAGGACCACGATGCGACCCAGCCAGCGGTGCAGCAGGTTGTATGTGTCAAACGAGATACAAAGCAGCGGAATCAACGGGTTGTTCCGGCCACCCAGGAGGATAAGGGGGATCATATTGACGACGGACATGGTCCCCGTGCGATTCCGGATAATACCAGCCGTGGTGGACTCTTCGGAATGGTACGGCACAGTCACGACACACAGGGTGACGTTCATGGCGAGGATTCCCAGCAACAGCAGTGTATGGAACCGACTAGGCAGGGTGCCCATGTTGACAGCGCGAGACAGCTTGAATTCACGGTTATGGCGGACGCGAAAGAGAGGGGCATAGATAATATGCTCCTTGATGTTGGCCCAGGTGCGATTTGGCGAGAGAAAGTACCGCTGCTTGTCATTGCTGAAGCTGGCCAGACGGCGCAGATGGTCAGAGAAATGCAGAGAGAGTTTCCAGACATACACGGCCGCGACGAGGCACCCGAGCGACAGCAGGGTGATGCGAGCCAAGTCATCGTTGAGCATCTCATAGAAGCTCTCGCTAGTTCCCCCGCGCTTATCGAGGCCGTTGTCGAGCTGCTCCTGGGCGACGGCCATTCCCACCACAGACAAAAACCCAACGAGATATCTCATGGTGGTTCACAGAAACGAGACCAAGAATTCTATCCAAGATAACAAAAACGTAGTTTGCGAGACCAGCTCGGCCATCGAAAAAAGCAAGGAGAACGAAAGAAAAAGATATCGATTGAACCCGGCTCTACCTGGGCGACTGCTGACCTGACACTCGACGCTGAAGATGCGCTTATACTGACAAGAGGCACCCAGCGAGAGGGAGGAAGCAAAAGAGAGACAGACCGGACCGAACGAAGTCAACGAATAAATAACCAGAAACCAAAAAGAAGCGCTCCAGCAAGAAGGGAGGGGCGGCTGGATGGGCAACGAAAGGAATGCGTAGTGAACCGGTCACTCCAAACAACAAGACAGACAGACAAAAGCCTTGTCAGTCAAGCTGGCCAGCAGAATGGAACAAAAGGAAACAATAAGAACAATGGTCAAAGGGAAAGAGAGGAGAGTAAAGAGACGGAGAAAAACCAGATCCAGTCGACTGCCCACGACGGTGAGGGTATATATTTAAACATGGTAGGGGGTGCCCCAGCCCCTCTCTGCATAGTATACCTAACCTACTAGTTACCTACTAAGGTAGGCACCTAATCAGTGCTTCTAGCCAGGAGCTCCCAGTCCACAAGGCCGCCTCCTGCATCCTCGATGGGTCAAGGAACGAGCAACGTCAAACAGCAGTGGCGGTTGCAGGCCTGCAAGGGGGGATGAAGCGACTGGCGAAGGCAAGAAAAAGAAGGAGCCCTGGAGCAATAGACGCTGTTTCCAGGCTTGGCGATCACGGGGGTCGGCGCTTGGCTTGTTTGAGGATAGAATGGTCCGCAGCCAATCAGAGCACGGGAATCAGATGACATATCACGCGACAGGAGGAGGCGACAGTGACACGCCGGCAACGACGAGAGGGAGAAAGAGAGAGACTCCTTTCTGTCTTCTACCTAACCCTCGACCTGGGGAACTGCCAGAGAGGAACTATCTAACAGTTACAATAAACTGACTTGATGCTTCATAGATCTCGAACAGGATCCCCTTCAAATTGATTAATTTAGGTGTGGACACAGCGGAAGGTGAAACAATCCATCAACTCCACTCTCGCAATGCCAAACTGACAAGCAGACAGGAACCAGTATAAGAATAATAAATGCAAATAACTAACTGACAGGGTATGAAGCATAGACAGAGTTCTGATGATACCTAGCTCTCGACGATAGTCCCCTCAATCCGGCGGCTACCCACACCCTCAGTTTGTTACTATTAACATTTCAAGATCTAGAGATAAGCAGCGCCAGGATCATGCATGGTTAGTGCCTCGCTATTTCTGTGGTTAATATGTATGGAGCAACTACGGGGTACTATATAACTAACTACTAACCACTCAAGTATACTACATGGTGCAGCCGCATCGTTTAGCCCATTGCTCCGGTAGGTCCATGCCCTGTCAATCTGCAGTCTGACTCAATTTGCCTCGGGAAAAAGGACACACCTACCTAGGTATGGATCGAGTACTCTATCCGCCGTATTAGAATGAACTTAATAATACAATGGAACACCACTAACTGCTCCCTGCTCCGTACTAGCTACCCCAGGCGTCGATGTCATTTATACTTGAAACCAGCGCCGTCGCACCCGACTCATCGCAGAACCCTGAAACGAGCCACCGGTCACACTCAGATGGAAGATTAAGCTATAACAGCGTTTATTATTGGAATGCCAATTGAAGTCAGGCATGTTCTATCGCTTTCAACAGAAAAAAAAAACCAATAAAAAAAAAAGCACAGAGCACCCAAAAATGTCCAACACCGCAAGAAGAATCCCCATCCAATAATCCGCCGGTAAAAAGAGATATCCCGGGTATCAACCATGAAGTCGTAAAAAAAGGGCACCAAAAGATAAAGAATTAAGGGTAAATAGGGTACTTGCTTTCATCCAAGTTCTCGAGATAGTGTCGGGGGTAAAGTGTCTTGCACTAAACTTTACTGATCCCAACCAATAGTTGGTTAGCCAAAAAACAAAAAACAAAAAAGAGATCTATCACAAAAAGCTAAGCTCGTCATCACTCTCGTCCTGTGAACAAGGTATGACAGCCTTTCGCCTAGTGATGGGTGTTGATAAGGTTCTGGTCCTGCAGCCCTGGTCAGAGGAGGAAACCCTTGAAACGTGTCGGGCCTGCATGCTGCAGTGCGATGGAATACACTGGTCCATATTCGCGGGCACGGGTCGGCACGACTCGCCCTGCGCAGCAGCTGGTCCCTGTTGATGTTTGTGGTTGATGATGACCACTTCCACTTTCGACGAGGGCTGTCTGCGCCGCGATAGACCCGGGTCGGTCAGGTTGGCTGCATGACGCATCTCCCGTAGCGCAGCGCGTTCCGAGCGGCGGTGCTTGGTCACTGTCGTTGTCGTAAAAGAAGACGGCTCTGGGACTGCTCTCCGCTCTGTTGCTGCTGCGACGCGGAAAGCTCGCAGTCTCTTCCGGGGCCGCCACTCCAGATCTTCTTCTTCTTCATCTCTTCCTTCTTTGCGAGAAGGATGGCGTTTGATCGACGGCGGAGGCGATGAAGTGACACTAGACCGCGACTCTAACGCCGATGCGCTGCTATCCGTGGAGCAGGCAATCACCACAGCTGAAGTCTTGCGCGTCACAGATGTCGTCCGAAGGGGCAGTAGCGTCTTCTTGGGACGGGGCACAGCAGGTGTCTTTGCCACCCACTCCTCAATGCTTTCCTCCCACCGGTATAGATCCATTGCTGCTGCTGTTACATGCCGTGTTTCGTTGTCGTCGCCGCTGCCGCCGCCTTTCTGCAGAGTCTGCGAAGATGCAACCTTTTCCTGAACTTCCAGTGCCCAGACATGGTCCTCCGTCTCCAAAGTACTCTCGGCATAATCCATGGCTGCTTCTACAGCAACCTTTGCCAAAAATTCCGAAACACCTCGGATCCCCTTCATTTCGAGCAGCTGGGAGATTCTGGTCCGCATCATGCGCGACACCGATGTTCCCTCTTCGCCCTTGGTGGCACGCTCGTAGCAGTAGAAGACTTGCCGGACCAGCACTGCCAGCTCTTTCACCGTCTTTTGCTGGGCGGCTAACGATGAGAAGAACGACTCCATCATCTGCAAGGGTCGCAAATAGATGGGTTCAAGGCCTCCTTCTGATGACACCCACCCATCAAACAGTAGCAAGCAGTACCCCAAGAGAATACAGCCGCATCGGAGAGACTGAGACGTGGGGGGATTGCCTGCCTTCGGATCAACCGAGCTCGCTTTGATGCTTCGCTGGACCATGAGCACGAGCGATCCAACGATAGATTTCATTTTCGCGTTGATGTCTTTCTGGTCAGCGGCGAGCGAGCGGCGAGACCGAACCATACACATCCCACAGAGGACCGTAACCAGGCTCACAGTGAGATTACTGAGTGCATCTTGCACAGGAATCGGGCAAGGGACCCTCTTTGCCAGCGAGGCCGCCTCACTGGCAGCAGACGCACGTGTGCCTCTCTGTCGTCCGACAGGATAACTCATATTCGCCATGTCAAGAGACCCGTCGATGGCGGGGAAGCTGCAGCTTGCCGCGACGATCACGGCCTCGATGAGATGCGCAGCCGCAGCCGAGTCGCCATCGTCAGTTGACAGAGACACAACGGCGTCATCAACGCATTTCTTCCACAAGGTCGTGATCATCCACTCAGGCGGGATCGCGCGGCGGAGTAGCAGCTTCGCTAGCTCGGCGAAGACATACGACAGGCTTCTTGAAGACTCAAAATAATAGGCATTCAATAACTGGACAGGATCCGTGCATTGGTCCGTCAATCGAGGCGAATTTAATGCGGTGGGATAATCATACGATTCGACAGTTGCGAGATACCCGGACAAGAGCGTCTCAAAGGCGTCGTATTCGGCCTGGTGCATGCACTCTTCCAGAAGTCGACAGGCAACCGGCCTAGTTAGCCATTTCTGCTTCAGCATCTCGGCCACCAGATGGATGCCCTGGGCGCGGACGGCTTCCCGTAGCGGCTGCCATCCGTTCCCACTGGGTGCGTAATGCGTCTCCAACTCGGTAAAATATGCGTCGCACATATCGATGTCCTCATCCATGTCCTCTTCTTCTTCTTGTAACCGTTGTTCCTCGGCAATAAACTCCGGCAGGCGCCGCACTGCCATAGATAGTAGCGTCCTGGTGCCTTGATTATGTTGCAACGGGCCGTTGCTGACGCGGGTATTCGTTAAAAACTTCAAAAATATGCGGTTGAGAAAGCGCGCAATATCGATGAGACCTGTATCTCCGGACTTGTCGAGAACCTCCTTCCATGTCCCCTGGTACTTGAAGAGACTCGGGTCCTTCTTCCTCCGCAGCGGTTTTGGTCCCTCGCTGAGATCGCCAGAGGAGGCAGCCGGTACCGTCGATGGAGGTGCAAAGAGAGACTTTCGGTTCTGCAGGCTTGTCGGCGCCACCGCTCTCATCGACTTGCCCATAATTAACGGTGTCGCGATCTCGATCGCCCCGGGAAGCGTCCTGTTCACCTCCGGGCTGCGCATGCACACCCTGTTCTTCCTCCTCTCGCCCTTCCCTTCGCCCCTCGTGGTATACTTGTGTCGAATCCGACGCTTCACCTGCCTCCCCGGCACCCACGCAGGGTCGTGGTCGCCACCCTCCAAGTCAGGGCCTTCATCCCCGACCTGCGCGCCATTCGACACAGCGGCGGGGGTGACATTGCGCGCATCGAGCTTCCCCTTGTACTTGGTATTTGCTCCGATGATCGACACAATCTCCTGGTGTTTCTCGAGGCGACGGTAGATGGAGGCCAGCGGGCGCAACATGCGGTTCGCCCATCGTGCTGTTGGCCGGATGTCCTCCATTTCTCGGGGCGGATGGACAGGGAGGGCAATGACTACAGAAATCGCAAAGGAGTCAGAGGCAATTAATCAACCGGGTAAACAAACAGTAGCATCTCTGTGCTTTACGTACGCACCTGTAGAGACTCGTTTTTTTTTCCGCGGCGTGATCAGCGCTCCATCTTGCAGGTCGGAGAGAGCTCAACCAGGGCGTCTGTCTTTCGATAAAAGGGCAGGAAAATATTCATGTAGGTAAATACTGTAAAGCTCCTATGTAAGCTAGAGAAAACGAAGCATAAATAAGTGTGAGTAATATACAACACTGGGGGATGGTGGGAGAATAAAAGAAGAGCTTCTGCAGAGTAAACAAAGAGGAGGGTTCTTGGCACTGCCGTGGAGACGCAATGACAACATGGGATCAATAGATGGTTCATTTAATATGTAATACTTGTCCGATTTTTTTAAATAAGAAATTCAATAGAACATTCCAATCTTCGATAAATATAAATCTAATGCCTGGGTACGAAACCAGTTCAGACTGTGTCCTCCTGGGAAAGAATTGCAGGGCATAATTTCATTATGAATATCTAGAACCGAACTGGTATATAAAGTACAGTACAATAAGCACGGTACTGAAGAGAAATCACCCTGACCTGGCTATGCACTGTCCATCTGACCGTAACATGGAACAACAAGACCAAAAAAAGAGACATAAGATAATCGACAGAAGGAGTAGAGAGATGTTTATAATACAATGGTCCGCTGGTTCGTCGTGGACCCCCTAAGAGACTTAAAAAGGTGCTTTTGCTGTCCAACCAACTGATAGTGTAAGAAAAAGAATAGAAGAAATTCCCAAGAAGAATGATGATAATAAACAAAAAAAAAAGGGGGAAGAAAATCAAGACCAGACACATCAGCAGAAGAATAACAAGTCATGATGGAAGTTTATTTAGGCCTTGGAAGAGGTCTTCTTCGAGCCTCGGAGCTTGGGGTTGCTCGTGGCGGCACGCTTCTTCTGCTTTGACCGGGGAGAGCTGGTGTCGCCGCCCTCGATAAACTTGAGCAGCTCGTCGATGCTGCGGGAATCCAGGGAAGAAGGGTTGGCTCCTCCCTCCGTGGCAACGGCGACCTCGGGTGCAGACTGGCCGACCTGGGGCTGGGGCTTGGTACCCAGGGAGACGCGGGAGTTCATGTTGATGCGGCGCATGCGGCGGGCCTGGATATCTTTGGCGTGCTTGGCGATGGAGACGGCGTTCTGCGTCAGCTGCTCCAGCCAGGTCTCGGCCTCCTTGGTGTTGCGGTCCTCGGGGCCGAGCTGGTTCAGGAAGATGTTGTACGCATCACGCATCTTGCCCACAGCACCCTTGGAGTCCTGGTCCAGGGCGAGCGCCTGAGCCAGCTGGAAAAGGATGGTGGCAGTGTTGATGGACTGTTTGCCGAACAGATCCTCGCAGACCGTCAGAGAGGCCTCGAACCACTTGCGCGAGTCCGCGTACTGCTTGAGGTGCTGCAGCATCACGGCCGCGTTGTTCATAGTCGTGATCGAGTCGGGGTGGTTGGCACCGTAGATGATCTTCCACAGGTTCATGGCGTGCTTGACGTAGACCAGAGCCATCTTGGTGTTGCCCACCGCATGCTCAAAGAGACTGAGGTTAAGGTAGCTCAGGATCGTATCCGCCGAGTCGACTCCCAGAGTGCGCTCGGTCACAATGACCGCCTTGCGAGCCAATTCCACAGCGGCGTCTTTCTCGTCGATCTGGTAGTAGAGCATCGAGAGCTGATGGTACAGCTTGGCAACTTCGGGGTGAAGAATGCCGTAGATCTGCTCGTGCAAGGACAGCGACTCCAGAATGAGCTCCTGGCCCAACTGCTTCTGGTTTTGCATGAGAGAGATACGACCAGCCTCCAGAGCTTCTTCGGCAAGAGCACTCCGGGGGGAGGCATCCTTAACAAGAGGGGCGATGTTGACAATGTCATCAGCTGCAAAGGTAACAGGAGGCTTCTCCTCGACGGGGGCGCGGCTGGGGGATGGGGCATTGCCACCCTTCTTCTTCTTCTTTTTGTTACCCTCGTCGTTCGAACCGTTACCATTGGTTGCCGAAGGCACGGCTTCCTTAGCCGGCAGCTGAGACTTATCGAAAGCGAATCCACGGGAGCCCAGCTGAAGGCCAAGCTTGATGGACACGTCGCGAAGCAGTTGCAGGTGGCGCAGGGAGTTGTACCATTCAGCCTCCAGGGTGAATCTGTACCGGAGGGTCACCTGCTTCTCAACCTCAGCCCGAAGGGAAGCGGGGGTCACCTTCTCAAAGGAGAAGTCTCCCTCGGGGTAGATCGCCCGCAGCGATTCATCAATCTCTGGGCGAGGGCCAGCGTTCACATCCGTGCCGAGAAGGCAGTTCAGGAGGTGAGCAACGCAGGATGAAGCGAAAGGCGCCGGCAGGTTGCGAAGATACTGGTTAGTCACATGCTTGAAAGCACGAGCAATCATTTCCTGGACCGCAAGCGTGGTCAGGGCCTGCAGGCGAGATCCCTTCTCTTGGGAAAGTTGAGCCAGCTTGCCCAGGTAGCGGATGTTGATACCACGCTTGTGCAACAGCTGGCTAAGAGACTGGCCATCCATAGGGAAGCCAACATCCCCATCGTGGAGATCCTGGATGAGGTCCGGCATGATCTTGGAGCGCAGGTAGTCGCAAGCATCGCGGACCTCCTTCTCGTCCTGGGCCCACTGCGCCTTCTCCTCGTCCGTCTGGGGGATCTGACCGCTGCAGACATCCGGGTTGAGCGCAAGATTGAACCCGGAGATGTCCACACGTTCTTGATCCTGAGCCTCCTCGGCCTTCTTCTCCTCCTCGGCCTTCTTCTCCTCCTCGGCCTTCTTCTCCTCCTCGACCTTCTTCTCCCCCTCGGCCTCCTCCTTAAACTCTGCAGCATCAGCAGACGCCTCGGTTGAAGCAGGGGCTTCGGCCTTGGCCTGTCGGCGGCGCTCAACCTCTTCCCGAACATACTGGCTCATCTTGCTTCTCCAGTACGACTCAACGAGCTCAATTCTGAGAGTTGACATGCGGTGAGGGTAAGTCTCGCTGCCCTCTTCCTCCTGCCAGACAATATCGAGCGGAGCAATGCGATACAAGTCGAGAACGTACTTGCGTCCGTCGGTACCCAACAAGCCCTTGGTCTCGACACTGCCCTCCAGATCGTGACGCTTGCCCTCCTTGTCCCACACGGGGTGCTTCTTGATACGAAGCGCCTTGGAGAGCTTTTCAAATACGGACACGAAGTCGGGGTGAGTGGCAACCACTTCCTTGCCTTCAACACCACCGTAGTCGATCTGGTGCTCACCGGGCTCCCGCTGCTTGAAGATACCGGGAACAATACTCTGACCGACAATACGCTTACCGAGGTAGTCGACGACCACGGTACCCGGAGTGAACAGGCCAGGGATGTCCAGCTGGTTCACGGCCTTGATACCCAGAACATCCTTACCGACAGCTACACGTGCAGCTTCATCGCCACCCTCGGAAGCGAAGGTGCCCACGCCGTCCGCACCAAAGGAGTAGAAGATGTTGTTGTACACGAAAATCTGCGCATCACGGCTTTCTGTGGGGTTGAGGGGAGCCACTTCGCCCTTGGCAACAAGGATAGCGCCACGAGCGGCCGCCTCGTTGTAATCGGCAAACAGCTTCGAGGTCAGGCGCTCTCTGAAAACTCTGTCTTGGACAGACTCGCGGGGCAATTCCCGGGTCGTCTGGAACTCCTCGTTCCAGTCACGCAGAGTCTCCGCATTGTCCACGCCGGAGATCAAGTAGCTCTCCTGGGAACGAGTAATGTCAGACTGGTGAGCATTGATGTTGGATGATGTTGCCGGAACGAGCCATGGGTTGTTAGGAATGGCGTTTTGGAAGGGGAAGGTGGTCAACAGGTCCTTCTTGTTGTTGGACTCCTGTAAAGCCTCAAAGGCGCTGTTGAAAGAAGGCGACAGTTGCGAGATCAGAGTCAGGAGCGAGTGGGCACTGTAGTTCTTGGATCCGGCCTTGGGGAACGGGTCAAACCTGGCATTGGAGCACTTGTTGACATAGAAACCTGACACGTGTGCGGTGATCTGAAACTGCTCTCCCTCGTTGGTGGTGGTCTGCAGATAGAGCAGATGGCCCTTTTGGCGAAGGTGGTACGGAGGCGGGTTCCAGGCGGATAGCGAGATGGACTTGACGGTCTTGGGGAGCGGGGTCTCCGGTTGGGGGAGAATGGTCTGCAGATCTGACGCCGCAGACAGGTCATACTTGGAGAGGGGATGCTCCTTCTCATCCTCCGTTTCAGCTCCCGCAGAAACAGCGTCATGTAAGGAGAGGCCGGCGTTGATGCCATGGAGGTTGTCAACGCGGTCACCCGCAGCCCCGACCAGCTCTCGCGTGCGCACGATGTGCATACGCGCCTCCTTCTCAGTATATGGGTCCTCCACCAGCACGATCTCAGAATCGGCCTTCAGATCAGGAACCTCGGAGAGTTCCACAAAGTCATTGATCCGAGCGCCATTGTATTCCAGGTGGAAGCAAGTGTACTGGAAGGTACCGGGCAATTCAACGATCGACTGACGCACGTCTTGGACTTGCTCTTGACTCGAAACCTGGAGAGAACCAACAATTAGCTCGAGAAGCAATCGTCTAGTGCTTATTGTCTTTCCACACCCACCATAACCTGGATCTTGAATGGCTCATGAGGAAGCTTCACGGAGATCTGGAAGAGACCTGTATTCCGGAGGCGCTGTTAGCTTGGCTGCCATCGAATCTGCAACGAGAATCTCATCTCGGATGAAAGGGCCTTCCCACCTCCGCCATTGTTCTCCTCCTCCTGCTCCGTTTCGGCGTGATTTCCATTGGTAAGCTGCTCTGTTTGCTGCTCGGGGACCTCTGCAACCACATCTCACTGTTAGCCGTGCTCTCTGCCACGCAGTCTTCTTTTTAAGAAAAAAAAATCTCGTCACGCCAAACGGACCTTTCGAGTGTTCCACTTCACCATTAGTTTGCGACATTTTGTTCGATTAGATCGAGATCGAGATAGAAGGTCTTGTGGGTTTTTTTGTTGGCAAAGCAGGGCCGCTAGGCGCACAAGAAAAAAAAGGGCTTGAGAAGGAATATAGTACAAGGACAAAAGGGCAATTGGAAAAGAACACAAGCACCCCAATACCCCAAAAGAAACCCAAGAACGGCAGACGACCGAGAAGCGAAACAAAAAGGGAGATACACGGGTGGACTTTTCTGGCAGTGTTGGAGAGATCTGGGGATGGGGAAACGGCAGCAGAAAATTTCGCCGCCGCGGAATACTTTCGGAAGGGCTCGGGGCAGGGCTGCTCCACCGCATACTACGATCAACGAAGCTATGTACAGGGAACTGTAGAGCTACGATGGTAATGATCGATCGGTATCAGAGTGATGGATATCATTCGGATGCATCGATGATCGAGTGGTGGTCTCAGCAGCTACCCCTGTGGTTTGCTACTCCAGACAGCTGTAGCAGCTGGTCTACCCGGGCCTTCCACTGGACTAGTATACTTGGTAATAATAGATTTAAATGCTTCTGGAGTCGACCAGACTCGCAGTGCATGGTATCAACAGAACAAAGCCATTTGAATTGCTCATCTCTGATTAGTTTAGTACAACGCTTGGTTGTCCTCGTAGAAACCAAAATACTGGGCGGAACAATGCCAAGCCTTAGCACAGCCACACCTCTCTCTCTCTCTCCCTCCCCGGTCAGTCCTTCAAGTCTCACACTCGTCGTCATCTCACGGTTGGCGTCTTATGGGTGGATGTTGTGCGTTTTTATTGCTCATTACGGTTATTTCTTGTAGATCTTTCTACATCCTCTCGTTTAAAACGTCTCTTACCGTGTTGTGACTACTAGTAGTCTAGTCTTTCTTTGAATTCGAGTCGAGTACAGTACACAGCACATAGTACACCGATATCTGGACTGCACTTCATTGGGGGGTTTGTTTTGGATATTATACGCAATCAGCGTTTACCGGCTGTAGGTACCTGCTGGGGAGATAAGTGATACGCCATGTCATTACTGTTGAGACGACATATACAACGTGCCCTTGGCCCTCAACTGCAGCTTCTAAGGCCTAATCTGCGCAGAGGCAATGGAGCTGTGTTGGGATACGCCAGGCGGCACAATTCGCAGAATGCTGGTCAGGTCTCATCCGGGGTCCTGGATCAGAACGCCTCTGAGGAGAACCGGGGGAAAGGCGAGAAAACCGAGCCGGATCCGACGGTGAAATCAACGATTCTGAAGATGCTAGAGTCCGCTGCGACGACGGCAGCGTCGATCTTGATTTTAGGGTATGGATGTTTTCCAGAAATGTTTTGTTAGGTTTCCTCTGCCGTCTAACCTACTCAATTAGGCTCGCAGGCTATTCATATCACAAGTATTACAAGTATCTGATCCTGCAAAAGATGAACAATGCTTTTGAGCCGGGAGATCCTGCGCTGGAAATGGCCGGCGTCACTTCGGGAAAACAGAACTACAACACCGAGGAACATTGGGTTGTCCGCAAAGAACAAGAGAGAATCAACGACATCATCGCAGGTAAAAGCAAAGGGCACTACTATCTGATTGTGGGCGAGAAGGGAACGGGCAAGACGTCGATGCTCCTAGAGGCGATGCGTAAGACCAACGGCGATGGCGTTGCCATGTTTGAAGCTCATGGAGATCTCGAGATTTTTCGGGTTCGATTGGGCAAGGCATTGGATTATGAGTTTCACGAGGAGTAAGTTCATTTTTTTTCTCATCTGAATCGCTACTCATTGTCGTCAATAGTTATATTGGCAGTCTGTTCAGTATCCGAGGTCCACGAGACACCACAGCCCTCTTGGACATTGAACGAGCGTTCAATAAGCTAGAGAAAGTTGCCCTCTCGAGAAGAGCACAGGGAAAACCGCCCTTGATTTTGGTGATGAACAGTTCCCATCTTGTTCGAGATGACCATGACGGTCAGGATCTTCTCGAGATGATCCAACAGAGGGCTGAACAATGGGCTGCCAGCAACCTGGTGACAACCGGTAAGACGCTGCCCTGAAACACGCGGTAACATTCTTCTCATTTTTTCTTGTTCTGACTATGATTCCACAGTCCTTAACAGTGATGACTACTGGGTCTACGAGCGACTGAAGCGCTACGCCACACGCATGGAGGTTATCCCGGTTTCGGACCTACCAAAGAGTCAGGCAATGGCAGCTCTCAAGAAGTATCGCCTTCGGTACTCTGGGGAGGAGCTCTCTGACAAGGTGTTGGCGGAGGTTTACGACTTGGTCGGTGGGCGTCTCTCTTTCTTGAACCGAGTAGCCAAATCCAAGGACATCATTGGGACGTGCCACTCGATCTGTACGGCGGAAAAGACCTGGTTTCTAAACAAATGCTGGATTCTCGGAATGGAAATGGATGACGACGTGATGGACGAACAAAAGTATTCAGTAAGTGGGCCATTCGAGTAACCGAGGGAGATGGCATATACTGAACAACCGATCCACAGTCTGCCGCTATGGTTCTCGCAAAGGCACTGGTCGACCGCGAAGAGGAGATGGAGGTGACCTACGATCCGGAGAAAGGGCATATTCTCCCGGAGATCTCCCTCCATAAGGCGCGCCAAATCATGACCCGGGCAGATTTCATCCAGAGCTACGACCACGACAACATCTTCACCATCGACTCGCGTGCCATGGTGCGCGCAGACTCGGTCCCCATGCAGATTGCCTTCCGGGAGATCTGCTCGCAGCCTGGATTCGACAAGCATCTGGAAGGCACCCTGCAGCGAATCGGAGACATCGAGAGCTTGGGCCGTACACGGGAGCTCACCATCAAGGATCTCTGGGACCAGGGCAAGTACAAGATCGTGGTACGCGATCCTCACGGCCGGGAGAGTGGCACTGTGGAGTTTTCAACCGTGGAGCGTCAGGATGATCAAAATGATGATTAGTTTTCATCAGAGTATATTTGTAAATCTAAAACTATTTGTACGTATATATATTGACGTCCTACAACCATATTCGATACTTTCCCTGTACATGACTCTCTTTTCTAGGCTGATGGTAACCCAACCTGGTTTTGCCTTGATTGAACAATTAAACAAACCTGAAACTAATCCCCAGCAATGACTACATTATTGTGATATTCGATTGTTGCCCAGATCTGCCGCTTGCGGTGAGTGACATCATCATCGCCGCTCACCGCTGCGCGACGACAAACAACTTCTTCCCCTCGTATTTTGACTGCCTGCCCTCTCTTTACCACGTCACGACCAGCACGCGATCCAACTTGGATACTTGTTGATTATCCTTTTTTTTTTCTTAAGAAAAAGTTTTTGCGAGAAGAAAACAATGCCTGCGCGCAGCAAAAAGCACGTCGCCTCCTCTGTGTCGCGATCGGATCGCGCCGCCCTGCAGCCGGAGTCGAGTCTCGCGCGAATCCCCTCGCCGGTACGGTTTCTGCTGGTTGTCGTGAGCAGCCTCGTGCTCAGCTCTGTGCTATTCACCTTCTCGGCCGATGTCACGCTGGGAGACCTCGGCGCGGTGAGCAAACATCTGGAGGAATGGTGGGAGGTCGGCGGGCTGGTAGGCTGGAAGGCGGTGGAATTGGGTCTGGCCTGGATGCTTGGATTTGACGGTAAGTACCTAGTAAAACGCACATATATTTGTTTTCGATGGCTGATTATGGCTGATTGCAAAGGTCGAGATGTTGCATCCTCGATATTCCTGACGCACCTGCCCACATTTACGCTTCTGGCCTCGTTCTACGGCGTGCGGCCGACGACGATGCTCGCCAGCTTTGGCATCACCCTCTTTTCGACGGCCGCGCCGTTCGCGCTGCTACGCCGCCCCTCCTCCGTGCATGATCTGTCGCATGCCCCCTCCGGCACGGTCTCGAACCGTTCCATCATCCAGGACCGCGCCACGGCCCTATACACCACCATGGCTGCGTCGTCTATCTTCGCCGTCGTTGTCTACCTGAGCTACGCGACATGGCTGCCGGCCCAGCTAGTCTTGCACTTTGAGAACATCCCGGACATCACCGCCGCGCACGCCGGCCCCGCCGGGCTGCCCGTGCTTTTCCTCAGCCTCGTCCCCGCCGGCTGGGCTGCGCGTGACTTTTTATTTGTCAGCTCGGCTGGCTCAACGGCGGATCATGACGAGAAAGAAGAAGGAGAAGAAGGCCAGGACGGGGAATACCTTGTCGAAGCCGTCTGCCGACAGACGTGGGGCCGCCTTTCTGCCAAAACTAGGGTGCTCGTCGCACGAACCTTCTACCTGGCCGTCATGTTGGTTCTCAACACAGTCGTTCAGGTCGCCGGGACGATCAGGGGCGTCGACCTTCAGGGGGCCTCGGCATGGGGCACCGTCTGGGCTGTTGCTGCCTTGGCCATTGGCTTTACCTTTGGCTGGATCGAGGCAGTGGATGGTGTATAGTTAATGAGATCAGTCGAGTCAAAAAAAAAAAAAAAACAATCAACCAGCTATATCATCGGGCTGGATTTATGGGTGAGCGATTCTAAGTCTGCCGTTTCCTCTTCACACGGGGTTTTCAGCTCGGGTGTATTTTCATTTACTCTTATTTTTTTTTATTTTTTTTATATGTTGGGAGAAGTGATTATTTATATCCAATGGGTATTGTATTCTATTCGGAGTGTGGGGATAAAATTGGAGGTGCAACTATTTTTTTTTTCAGTGTCGTCTGAATAGCAACTCTTGTACTCCTTTTCTCATGTCTGTTTAATTTGTTTTCTATAAAAAAAACTAATAGTTGAGGTAAATTGCGGGTATATCATATGCATCAATAGTAGGAATTTGAAATAGAAAAAAATAATCTTATGCGTGTTCCATCTCCACTTGGTACACGCGTTTAGCATTCGGCATGAACCACCCCGGGTGGACGAAGTTGAAGACCACGACTGCCAGGACCATCATGACGCCGTCAAGGACGACAAAGTAGACCTGGTGGGTGATGAGATAACCGGTCCAGCCCTGGGAGAGCTCGATGGTACGGTAGATGCTTCGGATATAGATGCAGACGACAGAGAAGCCCATAGCGACGAGGAGGGGCACAAAGGAGCCGTCGGCCGACTGGATGAGTCTGTGGCGCAGGGTCCGGCGGACAAAGTCAGCCGCCAGAGCGACGAAGACGGTGATGGAGGCCATCTGGAAGACGATACCGGCGACCATGATGTGGGTGCCCGGGGCGGTGTTGCCGTCGAGCGTGTCGTATGCCGACGCGGCCATGCCGCCGCCCACGGCCTGGATGACGAGCGAGAGGATGTCGCATGTGCAGAAGATCCAGAGGTAGAGCTTGGGGCTCAGCACGGACGATTGCGAGCCCAAGATTTGGATAAATCGGCCGAGCAGCACGTACACGCCCGCAGTAAAGAAGGTGGGGGCTTTGGGGGGAACAAGCCTTTGATTAGCCACTTTGCTCGGCCCATTGTACTCAAAAAAGATAGAAAAGGTGAAAAACTTGGAAATCTAGCAGAGTAACTGACTCGCTAGCAGTTACTAACTAGTAAGGTAGTAGGTAAGTACTTACCAATAATCAGAATGGCAATCTGCATCATGAACGCATTCGGATTGTACGGACATTCGGCTGCCCAGGTTCGAGCAGCCCAGCCGAGAAGTTCGCCTAAGAAAACCAAATCAGTCAGAGTCAGGTCCACAATAACGTATCCATAGAGTAGATTATAGCTAACTACTAGTTGGGTAGTAGGTGTGTCTATAACGAGCACTTACACAAACACCCCAGAGTGAATACTACACACCACCAATATCTTTTCCATACAAGCTGTACTGTATGGAGGATCATTGATAGACCGAATAGCACGCAGAAGGCGATGCCTGCGCCCAGCGAGGGCTTGTATCCGTATGAGGTACCGAACCCTTCGACCAGGGCATGGCAACCTTGCCTGAGGATTTCTTCCTCTTCGGTCCGAGTCGTCATGATACCGACTCTGAGCAATATAACTACCTAGGTGGGTGTAGACAATGTTTTAAAAGATCGAGATAGTTGTTGTATATGTGATTAAAACAAGGAAAAGTCCGAATGAATAATGCTAGGCAAGTGACCCAGGGAGAATACGATATCTTTAATAAATAGCCCGGCAGATACTCCGCACAGAACAGTCAGAGAACGGGTATAACTCCAAAGCGCTGGAACAGCGTGTCAGGCCCCAGCATTGCCTTCTTTCCTCCTTTCCCGTTGGCTTGGATCCACGGTCTTAGATCCACGGTCCTCCGTATCGGGATTTACGGAGTAGGACCTCTCCGTGCAAGGGAAGGAGGGCCGGGTGGGCTGGGAGCGATATCAAGGCTGGATTAGCCAGTGATCTTAGAGGCTGACTCTGCAATACCTGAGTGGTTCGCTTCCCATAATCATTCTTGTCCTTCCGGCAGATACCTAATGTAGCATTACCTACTACCTTAGGTACCTGTTAACCCAGCTCTAATTCCCGCCATGGACCCTGTGGAGCAACCTTTTTCGCCGACACGCGTGTGGATGTGTATCGAGCTCACTATCCGTGAGTCAACCAGTCTGTAGTGATGAAGTCGTAGATTTGGAGCCCAGATCCAGTGTTGGAGAGCATCGCTGATTCGCCCTGCTGGTTCCTCGCAAGCCTCGCCTGAATCGGTTTAGCGCCATAGAATATTCGACCGAGTGAGGCTCGGTTCAGCGTCAACCCACAGGATGAGCTGCAGAGGCCTGCTTTGCTGGAATATGTGATAATTAATCGCTAAATCCATATCTGCACCTCGGAACTATTCCTTTTTTCGTCAGTTTGCCTCGTCGATCTTGATGAGCTATGAGATCTCGCCAGCGTTGCGGAGCCTCGCAGGGAGCGTCGTCGTCGCGGTCGTCATCACCGGACGATTAGTAATCGGCACCTAGCGCCGGAAATTTTTACCATTCATGCTGCCTCAGGCACACAAACGGGCCCTCAACCATCCGCTCCGTTCCGTCCGTTCCGGCCACCCCGAATGGGTCGGAGTCCCACTCGTGACGCTGGGTATAAATCACGTGAGCGCTCGATTGTTTTTCTAGGAAAGGAAACTACGAGGAGTTAAAATCGCTCTTACTCTTTCTTCAGACCGCCAGTTCAGACACGTCAAAGCAACCGATGGGATTTTATTTGGAATTACTGTCCTACAAATTGATTAAGGCCCCCCTATCTCTTTTCCTTGAAGACGGGAGACGATCTCACGTAAACTTGGGCATGGAATACATGTCTTTGGGGTCTGGAGTGAGAGCGGGGGGGTTAGCATTGCGTATCATCCTGAGAAAAGAAAAGATGATGGCCTGCCCCTGGGTTTACTGACCTTCGTGGTGCTTCATGATATAGTTCCTTGTCTCCACGATGTCGTGATTGAGCTCGGTGTACAGCTCCTGCTGGCGGATTCGGACTCTCTCGTTGCGGACCGAGGCACCCCGGAGAGCCGCCTGAGCGACGTGGAATCGAGACACCCGGTTGACGATCATCATGTCGAAGGGGGTCGTGGTGCTTCCTTCCTCCATGTATCCGGCAATGGTTGCCCGGTCAAGCCGAGGCCGTCCGAAGAGCAGGCCCTGCAGCTCGGTCGGGTAGCCGTGGTAGTTGAAGTGGATGGGCCGGTCGGGCGTGAAGAGGTTATCAAAGGTCTCGGTGGTCAACGCGTGCGGGTGCGAGCCCTCGTTCTCGAGGATCATCAGGTCCGTCACGTTGATCACCCGCACACGCAGCTCGGGAATCCGCTCGCGTAGAATGGCCGCCGCGTAGATCACCTCGAACATGATCTCCACTCCGATACCGGCCAAGACCACGTCCGGGTCTAGCCCGTCGTCGGTGCTGCAGAACTTCCAGACGGAAGCCCCGGCACGACAGTGGCTTTCGGCCTCTTCGGGGCTGAGGTAGACTGGCGTTGGCTGCTTGGATCCAACCATCAGGTTGATGTAGTTCCGGGACTTCAAGCAGTGATGCACAGTGCTCAGGAAGGTGTTGGCATCAGGAGGCAAGTACACCCTCGCCGCCGAGGGCTTCAGCTTGAGCACAGCACCGATAAATGACGGGTTCTGGTGAGAAAACCCATTGTGTTCCTGTCGGGTCCAGGTGCTTGTTTCGATGTAGTTGATGCTGCTCACATCATAGTGCCACTTTGTCTCTTGTGCCTGGAAAAAAATCCGTCAACCAAATGAAAAGCTACATTGAGACCTAGGACGGAAGAGAAGTCACTTACCATCTTCATGAACTTGGAATACTGCACCATCATGGTGTGCACGATTCCAAGGAAACTCTCATAAGAAGGGAAAATCCCTGTGCGGCCGGTCAGGGTGTAGCCTTGAAGGAAACCCTGACACATATGCTCGCTCAGTACCTCAATGACTCGTCCGCCTTGCGCATTGGAAAACTGATCCCACTGAAAGTTCCTGCCAGTATGGCTCAGAACAGCACTGAGCTTGTTGCTCTCCAGCTCATCGGGCGAGAAGAGACGCACGCTATGCGGGTTCTTGACGAAAACCTGGTCAATCAGCCGACCGATCACCTTCATAGCGCTCTCCTGGCCTCCCTTCTGGATGGCAAAGTCCTTCCAAGCAGGCAAGTCAGGCTTCAAATAGCCCTTGTATGCTTCGAATCGCTGGCCCAGCTTTTTGGAGTCAACTGTGGGGATGATGGAAAGGATCTCGTCGATAACATCACCGGTGTCCCTGAAAAGCTCATGCGGCTTGTACGATGAGAGCCAGTCTTGCAGTGCCTGCAGCTCCTCTTTATCCTTCTTTGCATTTGGGAGAGGGACTTGGTGAGAATGGAACGACCCTTCGATAAACTCTCCGTGTAGCTTTTTCGGTCCAGACCAGCCCTGCAGGCGTTTCATTACGTTCAGGAGTTAGTCTCTTAAACCTTTTGTTCAAGGGTTCAAGAACAGCAACAAGTCACATACCTTGGGTGTTCGCATAATAAGGAGTGGCCATCGTGGCTTTGTGATAGGCTTTCCAGAGCGAGCAGCATGCTGGATCTTACGGATCTCACGGACCGCCCAAGTCATGGAGGCGTGCAGGTCTGTATCGATATCGTCGAGATTCTCCACGAAACGGACTTGGTAACCATATCCAGTGAAGAGAGCAAGAAGTTCTTTGTGATCCATGCACCCGAAAATGGTGCGTTCGCTGATCTTGAATCCGTTGACATGCAAGATTGGAAGCACGGCGCCCGACTCTTTCGGGTCAATATACTTGATGCCATGCCAAGACCTGTCACATCTATCAACACATGATTTCTCTCGATTGCATAGTCAAAAGAACTAACGTAGCAGTGGGACCGGACTCTGCTTCTCCATCACCGACCACACAAGTGACGATCAGATCGGGGTTGTCCATTACCGCGCCAAAGGAGACAGCCAGAGCGTATCCCAATTCACCTCCCTCGTGGATAGCACCGGGAGTTTCGGCATTGATATGACTAGGAGAGTGGTCAGCATCGTCAATCTTCATTCTCACACGGGTGGATTCTATCCAACCTGGGAAATCCGGCCGTGGTGCTGAATGTCGAAATGAGCCGATGCAGACCATCGGCATTTCGAGAGTACTGTGGATAGAACCGTTCCAAGGACCCTTCCAGCCAGAGCGACGCCAGGATAGCAGGGGCTCCATGGCCCGGCCCAACAACAAAGAGCATGTTCAAGTTCTGCTGTCTGATCAGATAGTTCAGATGGGAGTACACAAGTGTCAGCCCTGGACAAGTTCCCCAATGGCCTGCTAGAGTCAGCTATGATAACTACTCTTTTTTTTTTTTTTTTGCTCCACCAGGGAACTCTTACCGAGCAGTCTCGGCTTGATATCCTCGTGTTTGATCTCTCGCTTCAGATATACATTGTCCTGCAAGAAGATCATCGCTGGAGCCTAGGTATCAGAGGTTGTTTTTTCGTCTATCTACTAATTGAATGCGTACCAGCAGCAATGTAGTTGGCAGCCCGACGAAACTTCATCAAGGCATCACACGCCGATTGATCCAGAGTCGCATGTTCAAGCTGGATCCTGAGCTGATCGACAGAATCAGGGAGATGCGACGGCAATGGCTGCGGATTCGGTCGATCAATGACTTCTCCAGGCATGGTGATAACAAGATAGACTGTTAGTCCAACACAATGAGTTTCAGGAGCAAATTTTAGATACGATCAATTAGTACGGGCTTCGAGGCTTTCAGTCGATTCCTTTCTTCCCTTCTCCAAGTCTGGCTTTTCGAGGGGAGTGTGGCACTCTAGAACCTGGAAGTTGCGTTGTTCGTCCCATACGTCACAATCACAACGCGTTGACATCACCAGCAACAAGAGCTGGAAATCCAGCCATTTCGCACCCAAGGGGGAAAAATAAAAAAAAAAGAAAGGTGTAAATAGGAATTGAAAGGCCATGAACTGAAATTCAACCAGATTCATTCCTAATTGACTACGATGGCGCCCAAGTCTCTCCTCGCCGTCAACGCCGGATCTTCCTCGGTGAAGATCACCTTCTTTACGCTTGAGAAGCCTCCCCGGACGATAGCAGACGCGCAGATTTCAGGGATCACGGCGCCTCCCGCCCAGCTCAAGTATACACGCGGACCGGGATCGTCGACGCATAAGGAAGAGCTGGAGGAACGGCTGGAGACGCCGCAGGATGCGTTCAAGGCGCTGCTGAAGCGCTGCTTCACAGACCGCGAGCTCTCCGAGGTGGCCAGCGCAGAGGATCTGGCGTATATCTGCCACCGCGTGGTTCACGGGGGGGATTACCGGGATGCCGTTGAGATCACGGATGAAACGTACCACTATCTCGAGGAGGTGGAGGATCTTGCACCTTTGTGAGAGATATACACTCAACGATCTTCTATACCGATCTAACAAAAAATGTAGGCATAATTTCTCTGCACTGGAGATTGTACGCATGTGTCGCAAAGAACTCCCTCACGTCAAGAGCATCACCTTCTTCGACTCGGCCTTCCACCAGACCCTACCGGAGCATGTACGGACTTACCCGATCGACCCCAAGGTCGCAAAAGCCAACAAGCTGCGCAAGTACGGCTTCCACGGGATCAGCTACTCGTTCATCCTGCGCTCTGTGGCGGCGTTTCTCGACAAACGCGTCGACCAGACAAATCTTATTGCGATGCATCTTGGGAGCGGAGCCTCTCTGTGTGCGATCAGAGAAGGAAGATCGATTGATACTTCGTGAGTGAATAGGCCAGGATTACCCGAGTCTGTCCATATGAAGGGGTTTTTTTAACTGGCCAGGATGGGACTTACACCTTTGGCTGGGTTACCTGGTGCGACTCGCAGTGGGGACATTGATCCTTGGTATGTCTTCTTTCTATGCTATGGTGCTATAATACTTTATACTGACTGACAGTCTTGTGTTCCACTATACCAACGAAGCAGGCAATCTCAGTCCCACGAGCACGAAAGCAATGCACATCAGCATGGTATGGTACCTCTGCCTGTGAAAAGCTACGTTCTTCTATACTGATAGTAAGCTATAGGCGGAGGAGATTCTGAATAAAAAGTCCGGGTGGAGGGCACTCACGGGCACGACGGATTTCTCGCAGATAGCCGTGGCGGAGCCGCCGTCCGCGGCACACAAGCTGGCGCTGAAGATCGTGGAGGACCGCCTCGTGGGGTTTATCGGCAACTACTTTGTCAAGCTCGAGGGCCAGGTGGACGCCCTGGTGTTTGCGGGCGGGATCGGCGAGAAGAGCGCCCTCTTGCGCCGGCGGGTGGTGGAGAGGGTGCGCTGTCTGGGCTTCACGGTTGATAGGGATGCCAATGAGGCCGAGATGTCTGGGGATCGGGTCATTGATATCTCTGGGGCTGACGTTGGGAGTCGGAGAGTCTTGGTTTGCCAGACCAATGAGCAGGTATTATCTCCCTCCCTCCCTCCCTCCGTCCCTCTATCTTCTACGGAGTATCTATTCTGACCATGACAGTTTGAAATGGCATACCAGTGTCTGGAACAGAGACGATAGTTAACTAGTTAAATTGTCACCGTTACTTTATCTAACCAGTCAAATACCAGTGTAAGGAGACCAAGTACTAATGCCGATGGCCGAACAGGACCGGAAGGGATGTTATTCGTACTTATTCACCACTAATCAAGTACCTGCACTCCTTCCTGCCAAGCACTGATCAGTCATAGTATGCATTCGTGCTATCAGTACTAATTCATCTAGAACCTGGTATGTACTCCGTATCTAACTGGCTAAATCCATCTTCAGTATCTGTCAGATCCAGGAACCGGGGAGATCGACAGGGAGATGGGCGGAGGCATCCGAATACCAATAATAATAATAATAATATATGTCTGATTATTATTAATAGTACCCAGTAATTACTTTGTCCTGTCTGTCCGATCTGGAAAAAGGACCTTGCGAGGGTGGCTGGGCTAGTAATGCAGCGATTAACTTTCGATAAATGTCGACCTCTGATCTATGCAGGGATAGATAAAAAGTATTCTGTACTTATCTTGTCTTGCTGGCGGGTAATTGCATGACTGAGTCAGTGAAGTACATAAGCCAGAAATACTGTAGTTACCTTAGGTACAGTACAGAGTACTACATTACTAAGGGACTTTGACATACCTGACTCCCTTAGGTAACTACTCCCTACTCCGTATCCTCCATATAATGTACCCATACAAATCGGGAGATCAACGCACGTGTCCACTTTATATATGTATTATGTAGTAATAGAATCGGTCTAGACTGGACATTATATTATGCCTTGACAGAATGAGTAAATGAGCACGTACTCCGCTAACTACAGAGTACTATATTTCTTGTCTACGGAGTAGCTATGTAGTAGTACCTTGTTAGTTGGTTGTTAGGGACAAAAGTACCAGCGATCGGCCCCTGATCCTGGCCTTTTAAGGAATGTCGTCGGGTGGCGATGACTCTCCTGAATCGGAGTAGTCACTCCTGCCTCCTACTAGCACAGGTGTGATTATGTTCTATGTGAAACGATTAGCCTATTATTTATATGTAGACGGAGCAATTAACCAGTTAGTATTGTGAATACCTACCTATGTAGTAGGTATCTAGAATCTCTGAATACAGAGTACTCCGTGCTAAGCACTCTGTAGTAAAGACAACTCCGTATCGATGCAGCTAGTAAGCTCTAATGCATCGAGCCGAAACTCTGGAGATGGATGGATGGGTCGGAGGCTCAGCCCTGAAGTACGGAGTAACCTGAAATACTAAGGAGCTACTTCGTAATAAAGAACCAAATACTAACTACACTACTATGGAAATACCTAGGTAGTTACTTAGGTACCTCAGGTACCTACCTAAGGTAACTAGTTAGTTACTCCGTACTACAGAACCAGTAAATCAGATAAATCAGATTTCTCGCAGTGTATCCTGTACTGTCATCTATACCGCGGAAGCGGAAGCGGAAGCCAAGGTTCCCAACGGTTTCTGTATTAGTATTTTTGAAATAAATTACGACTAACTGGTTCATTATGGAGACAGTATGAACTTTAGCTACTCCGTAGGTACCTAGTAGTTAGTTACCTAGGTAGTTAGTTACCTAGTACCTACTTCCCAAGGTACCTACTAGTTACTAGTACAGTACTACTCCGTACGGAGTACTCAGACTCTGTAAGTTCCCGATTTATGGAAAGTTTCTAGAATGAGCACTGACTCTGTCTGAGCCTCCGTAGGTACTAAGTCATAGAACCAAACAGAGTTACGGAGTAAGTAACCATTTCTAGCTTGTTATTAGGTCAACTACCTAACGGAGTACTGCAGATTATTACTGCCGAGGTGACGCCGGAAATACGTAACGCAAGGCGGCTCTGTGGCGGTGGCTGCGGCTTCCCTAGCCTCATTGCCTCACTACCTAGCCTCAGGCATCTATCATGCATGATTATCTGGACTCCTAACTTTTCCTACCTACGTGCTTAGGAGGTAGTTAACTAGCTACCTACCGAGTTACAAAGTACTCTACGGAAATCCCGTACATAACTACTCCGTACCTAGATACGGAGTACTAAACTATGGAGTCCTTCTGAACCGGCTGTCAGCCGTGAGCTTCTGGACTACGCTAGAAGAGCTAGAAGCTTTTGAGAAGACCGTCGGTCGCACAGGATGGGTCTCTCTCTTCCTTCAGGGCCCGCGTCCGGCCCACTGCCCCTTAAGCATCCCGATTCCCCGGCGAGCGCGAAACGACGATTTCGAAACACGATTCACGACCGGTGGGGTCACTCTGTGGCCAGATGGCAGAATCAAATAGTAAGTAAATACGTTCCAGAACCTACGGTCAGTCGACCTGTCCTACAAGTACTAAAAAAGTGTCTTATCTGTATGGAGTAGTCCGGAGTAGTCCGTACTTACGTGTCTCTAGGTAGTCTCTAGTTAGTTACTAGGTAGGTAGTGGTAGTTAGTAGTTACTAGGCAGCTATCATTACTGGTGCTCCATACCTATTGATTAACGATGAAACAAAATGACATTTGATTCTACCTGTCGCTTGTTGAAAATACCAGTAACCACCTTGCCTCTATGAACGCGTACGACGTTCGGATCCATCCGCCTGTTCCTGAGAAGCGGCTGTTCTCCACTCCAGCCATGCAGGCTGCTGGAGCCTGTCCAGAAATTCGGTTCTACAATACGGAGTAGTCAGTCAGTTTAGTTAGAATGTACCTTCCCACCTAGCTTTGAGTGGAGCCCGGGAGCTCGATTTGAAGAGGAGGAGGAGGAGGTTAGTCTTCTCCTTTTCGAGCACTGCAAGATGAGCAGACAGGACTGACAATTCCGACATGGGAAAAAGAGTACTCTGTAGAGAGTACGGAGTAGGGAAGTGAGTCTACTACGGAGGACATAGAGTACTACATACACTTACTCTATACAGTAACAATAATGGAATGCAGACAAATAATGATAAGAGTAGAAAGGGGGATCGCCCCCGTTGCTTCGCGTACCTCTCCCCCGGGACAGGGACGGGAGAGCCGCGCCAGAAGCTCTGGGTCAGACCACTAGCGACACTAGTTGGGCCCAGAAATTTTAGGGATTCAAAAGAAGGATAATAATAATAATAATAATACTAAATCAAAAACAAATAAAACAAATAAAATGAAAACCAAAGCTAGTATTTTTTTTTTGGGAAAAAAAGATGCGACTGGTTATATTTACGCCATCAATCCCGCCCTCAATCTTCCTGTGACTGCTCTCTTTTTTCTTTTTCATCTCACTCTCCCCCAATCCTGTACTCCGTACCTGTTCCCAATTAACCAAATCTCCTCCCCCCCCTGGGTCTCTCTCCTTTCTCTCTCCCTGCCTCCTCCCTTGCGATACGTCTAATTCTTGCGTCGACCCCCCGGTTCGACGGACCCAGTTCCGCGGTGCTTCTCCTTTCTTTCCAGGGTTGACACCTCCTTGCCGTGCTGCTGCGTTAGCTTCCCGGATAGCTCTCTCCACCCACGACATCATATAAACAATAAATCAATCCTCAGCAGTACCTGACCATCGCACATCTCCTTCTCCACACGGCCGAGGGCGCACCGCTGAGGCGCAGGAACAAGGGGAAAAAAAAAGAAAAAGAGGAAGACAGATTAAAAAAAAAAAACACAGCATCGGTCCTGTCGAAGTCTCCAGCGCTCCACCCGCCTTGATTTCGGGGAGCCAATTTCTTGGGTCACATTCCTGCCCTACGTACGATCTGCCATCCGCCGTGCTGCATCGCTTCACTTGGGGGGTTGTATATTAGAGGGGATCGCCTTTCCGATCTGGCCTGCATCTGCAATCGGTCTGCATCCTTGTTCGCTATCCCGGTTCTTCGCAGCGCACACAGACACACAGACACACAGACACCTGCCTGCCTGCCCGCCTTCCTGTCTGTCTGCCTCACAAGCCAGACATAAATACTGCCCGTGACGGTACATTCTTCTCCCACCTCGGTGCGTTCTCCATCTCTCCTCTCCTCTCTCTTTCTTCTCTTTGTTTCTTGGTTTCTAAAAACCTCGACGTCGAACTTCGACTTTCAAAACTTGAAAAAAAAAAACACCACTTCCCATCTCGCAATCTCTAACATGGCTGTCTGCGCAGAATCCAATATGATCCTTCGAGACCTGTCGGCAACCAACATGGGACGCGGTGCCTACGATACCACAGGGGTGAAGAAGCCTGGTGCACCACCGCCGCCGCCAAAGTAAAGATGAATTATTGTTTTTCTTTCTTCCAGAGATACCCTCGTTCACCCTTTGGCGTCATACTTTGGTGGACTGGCCCTCCACGATCCTCCGCTCGTCATCATCTTCCTTCAGGTGAGATCTCTCTCTCTCTCTCTGTTCTGAACGATCACTGACGTTCCAACCAGCTCTCTGTAACACTACTTACTACCTACTCCTCCGTCACTCCCTTCTGGCCTCCGAAACTACTCCCTCACGACCGCTTTTAATAATACCCCCTCTCCCGTGGATAATCCGCCCTCGAACGGCCCTTTCATTTCTCTGCATGGCCACTACGCGTTTAATTTCGGCGACTTAGCGACTGATACTCTTCGAACCTACGGCTTTTTAATTTTTATTTTCCTCTTTCCCTTCTTGAGACGACTTGACTCATTTCTTTTCCGGATCGTGCTTGACCTCAAAAAAAAGTTGGCTTTTTGTGTGTGTGGTTTTCTGCTCTACTTTGACAAACGGCGTTTCAAATATAGACTGGACGGTATACTGCTCTGCGTTTTTTCTTTTATTTTTTTTTCCCCTTTACTGGCTTTTTTTACCCTGGGATACATTGGTGATACCATGAGATTAGACTCGGACCTCGCGGTCTCTATTTTTCATTTACTCTTCTTATCTTTCCTTTGTCTCTCTTCCCGCCCCTTTTTTCTTTTTTCTTCATTTCTGATGAGTCCTCGTGTATAATATTATAAGCGACCAGGGAAAACAATCCAATCCTCGCATTAATCAGTGGACGTGCCCAACCTAAACGGCTCCCTACGTGAGAGGGAAACAAAGCGGTCACCCATGGTCAAGGGTTTCCTATGTACTCCGTTAGGTACCTAGTACCCTTGACGCCGTTCTTTAAATCCTTATTGGACGGCAACCACGTCAACTAATGCAGCTTTGATCGACGGGCCCTGGGTCAGGTAGTTATTCGCTGGCAGGTGGTAAACTTCGCTAACGCTTTCTCTTGGTTCCTGTCTTATTTTATCTGCTTTTTGGGCACCTATCTTAGGTATTATTTACTCTGCTGTAGTACCTCCGTACCTCCTCCGTACGGAGTCGACGCACAAGGCTTTGCATTTTTCTTTTCTTTTTTTTTTTTTCTGTACGTACGCACCCCTAACCTTGCCCTCAACGTTTGTGCTACGGCCCGTATCCGCTTCTGCATCCGTATCACCACCAAGTGATCTGTGTGACGTCTGGACATTTGTCAGCATAGAGCAGAGTCTACGATATGGATTAGGTACCCAGTACCTCGCTCGGTACGAAGTATGGAGTACAGAGTACTCTATAGTCATTCAATAAGGAGGTAGTAGAGCTTGGGTATGGAACGTACGTTTGCCTCCCCCAGGCATGTGGCGGTGCCTGTTATCCCAACTCCCCGACCACTAATCATTAACTAGCATACATTAGGTACGTAGGTAGATACAGAGGACCTACTACCTAGTGGTATAGTTAACGCCCGAGTGACTCATAGATGATATGCAAGAGTTCAATTATCCTGGAAAGTTTGTACCTGGACATACCTCCTTTCCCCGCTCTAGCCATGTTGATACCCAAAAGCTCCAGGCTTGCAGGGCTCAAAAGTGTCAGATAGTTATAGTTAGTTACCTAGTTACCTAAGCTAGGTACTTACCTTAGTCAGACTAGTTATATCAGTTGGTAGTCCTCGTGACTGCGCTAAACCCAAGATGGATGGACCCGCGGACACGCTCCATATGTCCGCCTTAAGCCAAGTTCCAACATCATCGACGACGACCGGCTTTGACGCTTCACCGATACGATAACCCCCCCGGACCACCTCGAGACCGCTTTTCCCTTTCACTTTGGGGGTTATTTTTTCATTTCATCTGTCTACTACATAGCGTGATCTGGCATAACTGATTGGTAACGCTCTACACCGCCCCCAGTCTCAACCCGCCAGTCAGCAGCCATCGAGACACCATCAGGCAACGGGGATACTGCCAACACCATCCGCCCCAAGTCCGCTCTTGCAGCCTTGTTTCGCTGGTTTTCGAATCAGACTACAACCCAATACCCACCGGGAGTTCTTATTCACCGTGATGTCAGACTCGGCAAACGCTTCCAAGCCGAGTAGCAGCGTGAAGCTCGTGCTGCTCGGCGAGGCGGCAGTGGGAAAGGTAACGAACGCCTCTTGATACTGAAGAGGATTCTGTTGCTAATGCTGAACAGTCTTCCCTTGTCCTTCGATTTGTCAACAATGACTTTCAAGAAAACAAAGAGCCAACCATCGGAGGTACGATAAACTCCCATATTTACATCATATCCAGTACTAACGATTTAGCCGCCTTTTTAACGCAGAAATGCTCACTCCCCACGCGGACCATCAAGTTTGAGATCTGGGATACAGCCGGCCAGGAGCGCTTCGCCTCATTAGCCCCCATGTACTATCGCAACGCGCAGGCGGCGCTGGTCGTCTACGACATCACCAAGCCGTCCTCGCTGACCAAGGCCAAACACTGGGTTGCCGAGCTGCAGCGACAAGCAAGCCCCGGTATCGTCATCGCTCTGGTGGGCAACAAGTCCGATCTTGCCAGCGACAACGGGAACGGGAACGAGAGCAACAGCAGCGGCGGCAGTGGCGGCAATCCCGGAGAGCCCGGCCCGGACGCCGAGACGACCGGGGACGCCATCAGTGCCGGACAGGACGGAGAGGGCAACAACGATGCGATTGAAGGGTCCGGCGAGAACGCGGAGGAAGAATCGGATGAGGCCGCGGCTAGGGATGCGCGCAAAGTGTCGACGCGCGAGGCTAGGACGTACGCGGAGGAAGAGAGTTTACTGTTCTTCGAGACCAGCGCCAAGACAGGCACCAACGTCACCGAGGTGTTCACGGCCATCGCCAACGCCATCCCGGAGAGCAGCCTGAAGGGCGGCCGGGGTGCCGGGGCGGGCACCGGCCAGACGGGGCTGGGAGGGCGCGCGGCGGAGGATTCCAGAGTCAATCTGGGAGACAGGGCCACTGCCACTGCCAAGGAGGGGTGTGCTTGTTGATATCAATGTTTTTTTTCCTCTCTTTTTTTCTTCTTTTCTTTAGATTCTCCTCTTGTTCTCTCTCAGTGCTTTACTTCCAACTTGGCCTGCGACATGTCAGGCAATGTTCTATTCCCATGTTCTTCCAATCCGGAGTGTAACTTAGGTTCTACTGCTAGTGTCGTAGTGCAATAGAGCCTCATGATAATTGCTAAAATTAGGAATAATTAAATCCTGGAAGTAATGTTATTGACGTTCCTTGTACAGAGTGACTATAATGTAGTTTTACTGCCTGAAGTTGAGGCCTGAATGCTGAGGCCGGAGGGCGAGCCAAGTCACGGGACAGACCATCCCCTAACGGGAAACTAAAACGGCGCTAACCCCAATCCCTCCAAGCGCGACCAGCTAAGCGAAGCCCCGACGCTCCGATTCCCACATCCAAATTTGTGTGTGAGACGAGAAATGAATAGCGGCTAGGGCTACCCTTCTGGTTTTCTCCTTCGACGACCGCCCGCACGACAACCAGCACCCACGACAAACAAAAAGGCAGGACACTCGTTCTTCGCTCTCTTTTTGTCTTGCAATCATGGCTGCTATCAACAAGATCGCCCCCAACTCGCCGTCGAGGGCGAACCCCTCCGAGCTCGAGAGTGCGATCGCCGGCGCGCTCTTCGATCTCGAGAGCAACACGGGTGACCTGAAGGCGTCCCTGCGCCCCCTGCAGTTCGTCTCTGCTCGTGAGGTAAGACCATCTACGATTGGATTCCGGGACTCGTTTCGTTTTCGTGTTTCTGGGGACAGGTTTCCTGGGGGTGCATTCAAGTTCTGGCTTGCGAATGGCGATGCGAAGAGTGAAGGATTGGAGGATGGAATTGGGATCGAGGAAAGCCCATCGCATGCAGAGCCTGGAATCCGCACCCTCCCAGAATCCACGCCCAGAATTCAGTTACGATTCAGCCATTTCCAGAACTTTCGCTGATTCAAATGTTTAGGTCGAGGTTGGCCACGGCAAGAAGGCTATCATCGTCTTCGTCCCCGTTCCCTCCCTGTCGGGCTTCCACAAGATCCAGCAGCGGTATGAGACTTACTTTCCCTGGGCGAGAGTTGTTTTTTTTTTCTGTGTCTTAATGACTTCTCAAAAACTGACTATAACCAGCCTCACCCGTGAGCTGGAGAAGAAGTTCTCCGACCGCCACGTCCTGTTCGTTGCGCAGCGCCGCATCCTGCCCCGCCCCAAGCGCTCGGCCAGCTCCCGCTCCTCCCTTACCCAGAAGCGTCCCCGTTCCCGCACTCTGACCGCCGTCCACGACGCCATCCTCTCCGACCTCGTCTTCCCCGTTGAGATCGTCGGCAAGCGCATCCGCACCAAGGAGGATGGCAGCAAGACCATCAAGGTCGTCCTCGACGAGAAGGAGCGCGGCGGCGTTGACCACCGCCTCGACGCCTACGGCGAGGTCTACCGTCGTCTCACCGGTCGCTCGGTTGTCTTTGAGTTCCCCCAGAGCGGCGCCGCTGACTACTAGAAAGAGAGCGAGCGAGCGAGCGAGCGAGAGGAGCGAGAGACAAACACGGAGAATTGAGAGAGAAAGAAAGGAGTTTATTTTTTTTATCCAAATATCACACATAACCCCCCTGTTTCTCTCCAGTTCTTTTCCGAATGAAAGAATCAATTTAAAAAGTTCATAACTCTTGGTATTTATTCGGTACCAGACACTTTGGGAGAGCGGTGCTCTGTATGATGGTTTCATGGGTTTTTTATTTACCGTCGGGTTGTGGTTGGGTCCCCCCCCCTGGGTCTGGAGTGAGGTTATGATCTAGATAATCAATTTCACTCTACAAAGTCAAGCACTCTGAATCCACGATTAGATGCTAGTATATTCTGGAAGACAAGTACGTCAGGTACATTATGTCCAAAGTTGTACCATATCATACTACTAATATTCTATCCTTCCAACCCCCAACACCATCCAATACGCCAACTCCCGTTTCACCATCTCTGGTTTCCCCTTGGCGACCGGCTGCTCCATCTGGTTCTCCGAGTCCCATTCCATGCGCACAAAGACAGGAATCTCTAGCACGTCTTCGTCCGGCTGTGCAGGGGCAGGGGAGCTTTGAGTCTCGAGACCAAGCCCGTGGCCGGGTGGGGGAGTTGTTTCGTTCTCGTCACTATCAGACCAGCCTCCATCACTGGTAGCATCCCTAGCATGCCTAGCATCCTTAGCATCCTCCTCGTCCTTCTTCTCCTTTGTGTTGAGAGTCCCTGTTTTCCTCTCCAATAACCCGGGAACCACCTCCAGCACGACCGTCGTCCAGTTCCGCCCCTTGTCCCACACCTTGCCTGCCTCGGCGACCTTCTCGTAGCCGCCCGTAAGGCCGGAGCGCGACGACCGCTGATCCGCGGGGTTAGAGGCCTGCAGGGCTTCGTCCCAGACGTCGCTATTGGCGCCGATGTCGAACTGTGGACAGAGAATGGTCACCTTGGTGGCCACTGCGCCCGGGGTGACGGAGGGGGTCCCTAGCGTGACGCGGACGGGATCAAACATGTGGTTCTTGAGTGTGAGGAGGATCTGGATCGGCTGGAGGGGCTGGAGAGCGTTAAGGTCTGGAGTCGGGGCTGCCAGCAAGGTGGTTGATGAGGTTACTCCCGACGACGGACTGACGGCCAGCGGGCGGATCGTGGTTAGAGGGATGTAGCTGAGTGCAATGAGGCGGATGCGGAACCGGGTCGATTGCGGCTTGAACTCTGGTTTCACTAGGATGTGCTTGCAGGATTTGCAGCGCTTCGAGCGTTTGGTGCGCAGCAGAGTCGGTAGGGGGAGCAGGTCCTCCACGAAACGGGCCTCGGGGAACTGGAATACCCGCTGCTCACTGGAGGCCAGCCCTTCCCAGCCGCAGTCGTCGGACGCCATCCGTTGGATGATGGTATCTTCTGCGTCAGATGCAGCCAGCTTCAGGCCTTCACTGGCTGTCTGGGCCTCTCGCATCATTAGCGGTTTTGGCTTGGACTTTTTGCTGTTCCCGCCGTAAAGCCCGCTCAACGTCGACGAGGTGTACAGCGACATGATCCGGTTCAGCGCGCCTGGCGATGAGAACCCGGCCCCGAAGTCCGTTCCCAGCGGGTCATTGGGGGAGGCAGACGTCTCGGAAAGCTGGTTTCGGTAGAAGGCCTTGAGCGCGGCAAATCGTGCGTCGGGTCCCAGTACAGCTGGGTCCTCGTCAGCAGGTGGCTTCCCATCATCCGGGGGGACTTCCGGTCCATCAACCGTTGAGTAGGCCGTTGCCAGTGGAGACAGTGGAGACTTGAGATCCCCGTATGCTCGCGACATCTGTCTTCCGCGCGAGGACTCTGTCATCTTCGACAGCTGGTTCCGGATGTTTGTTGGCTTATCAAACTTGATCCCGATATCAAGCGTCGTCCACATGCAGTACCCACACGACAGCACCCAGGGCCCTTGCTGGCTCCCACTGCCCGAAACATTCTCGAGAGTACTGACTGCTAGAGGCGCGGTGCATATGGGGCAACTGAAACAGTTTCGTGCGCAACTATCCTTTAGTTAATGGAAAGACCGACATCAGAATTTCAAAGAAAGTCCACAAGCCAAACCCACCGATTTCCTTCACTCCTGACCATGCTGCTTGGCGTCTCGAAGAGACAGCTGGGGCAGTACCAACACACAATCTCCTCCGTTATACACCGTGGGCATTTGATCTGATGACAGTCTTCACAGTAGAGAAGTTGTTCCGGAGGGTATAAGGAGAAGTTCGCCCGGGGCGACCTCGGATCAAAGTCCTTCTCTTCTTCCTCGTCGTCATTATCATTGATTTCTGGAGCGGGCTGGCTGGAGCCTTTCCTAGGGGAGGTTTCTTTCTTGCGGGATGGATCAGAAACCGGCCTTTCAACGCAGGGACATGATATATATGTGTAAGGAAATGGACGAGACATGGCGAGACGATAAAATATATGAAAGTCAACGTAAAGTCTTAGAATGGCATGAGCTTATCGTTGTCCGTTTGAATCGCTTGGTCTTCGGTGTTGGAAGGGGATCGACGACTCAAAGCACGCAGTTTGCAGCCAATTCGTCAATAACGAGTAAACCGGATTGATTTTTAACCATTCCAATATAGTCGTCCTATAGTTAACAGGGAGCTCACGTCAGTAGAAGCTCAGGGGCCGAAAAGCACATACGGGGGGGGGCTCACTGACTCGAAGTGCTGCGGGCGATGACCTCTTTCAGCAGCTCAAACCCGATGAAGAACAAAGTACACGCTGCTTATCAATCTCTCAGCGATAATAGCATGCAATCTTCATCCTTCGACGCTGTCAACACGGTGTGTTTGTGGTCGCAAAGCCCGCGCGCAGCAAAATGCGGAGTTCGTTGCGGAACCCAAAGTCGAGCTCCGCAACGGAAATCGAAGAAAATCGACGTCAGAATCCAACGAAGACCAACTCCAGCTCGACTTCCGCCTCTTAGGGGTAGTTCTCGGTCACTGGCTTATCTGAAATATTTGCAAAATGTTCTAAATACACCCGAGAAACGGTACAACACCTACAATTGCAGCCCGAAAACCCCTCGCTATGTCTGTTCGTCATTTTCTACGCCGGGCTGCGCTGCCGCAGCGAACGTTCGCTGCGACGACAACAAGACACTACGCCAGCCAGAAGCCTGGAAACCCTGTTCTAGAGATCTTCAACCGCAAAGTCAAGCATGTACAAAAGGATCGCGCGGCTTGGAATGTGGATGAAAGTCGCAAGGTGGACTATCTCAAGGATGAGGTGGCGATGCGGTTATGCGAGCGGTTACTGGTAGGCGGTGCTTTTTCATCAATGCTTTAAATTGTTTTTGCATTTTTCTTTTCATTTTCTGACAGTTTGTTCTTGCGGTGGACAGGATATCAAGCGTGACTTTACCAATGTGCTCGATCTCGGTGCCAACAGCTGCAACATCGCTCGTGCCTTGACGACACCAAATCCGGACCCAGACCCGGAAGCAGGATCGTCTGCACCACTTGCGACTCGCATCTCGAAGCTCACATGTGCGGACACCTCACGAGCGCTGCTGTACCGCGATGCCGACCTCCCTTTCAACCAGGAGCTCGCCATCGAGCGAGACGTGATCCCCGACCTCGAATCCCTGCCCTACAAACCCAACAGCTTCGACGCGGTGCTCTCGTCGCTCTCGATCCATTGGATCAATGACCTCCCTTCCCTGCTGGAACAGGTCAACACCATCCTGAAACCAGACTGTCCGTTCATCGCGGCCATGTTCGGTGGCGACACGCTGTTCGAGCTCCGCACCTCGCTCCAGCTGGCGGACCTCGAGCGCCGTGGAGGCGTGAGCCCGCACGTGTCGCCGCTGGCGGATGTCCGGGATGTCGGCGGTCTCCTGAACAAGGCTGGTTTCAAGATGCTGACCGTCGATGTCGAGGACATTGTCGTCGAGTTCCCGGATACGTTTGCCCTCATGCAGGATCTGCAGGCCATGGGCGAGAACAACGCCATCATGCACCGTCAGCTGGGTCCCCTGTCCCGGGATGTCCTGCTGGCCAACGAGGCTATCTACCGCCAACTGCATAAGGAGGAGGATGCGCGAGGTATCCCTGCCACCTTTAGACTGATCTATATGATCGGCTGGAAGGAAAGCGAGAACCAAGCCCAGCCGCTACAGCGCGGAAGTGGGCAGGTCAACTTGAAGGATATTCTGGGCGGAGGGAGTTTTGATGGGACTTGATGTACCATAAGACTTTCATATATATTAAACCTTACTAATAGAAAGAATATGTGTAGTAACTATAGTTCTACGTAGAAAGAGGGACATGATGATATGATGTTTATAGAAAGCTTAGAGACATATAATAAGCACGGTGTAGAAGGGATGCCTGCTCCCGGCATGCTACAACAGAGTATACATGGTATTGATTGTAGTAACCTCACTCCCATCTGCGCTTCAGTTAAGGATATATGATCACAGTCTATGGCCCAAGATGTTTTTGTGTGCGTGTGCGTGGGTGCCGACCGTTGGTACAGCAAGTACAAACTAGCTCTCAGACAGTCCTTCGGTCCGTCATGACTCTCACAATCGATCCAGTCCCGGTCAGCTCGACCAGCTTCTCATGCCAGCTCAGCAGGACGCTCATCTGCTGGCCGCCGCCACCCTCACCCAGATTCCGGCCTTGGATTTGCGAGAAACCGGTACTTTGCGGAGACACCGATTTGCGGGGGGACTGGACACCGCTGCTGGGCGCGGGAGCAGCCATACCTTTGTAGCTGGATAGACGAACGTATTAACCCAAGGAAATGAAAAGCGTAAAGGTCGAATGGAAACTTACAGATACTTCATCAAGCAGTCTGCCCGCTCCGATCCGCCGTCGCCAGAACACACCCCCTCCAGTATGCGGGTCATTTCCCCTTGCCGGATCCCCTGTAGCACTTCAATGACAGCCGCAAGATGGACCTCCTTGGCGCGATCATCGCCGCCCAGCGGGGCGGTGTCGAGGACATGTCGCAGGGCACCCTCCGGGTCACCGCCCCGCAGCATCTGACGCACTTGTGTCGCGACATTGGCGGCTCCGCTGGACGTTGTCGGCGGGGGCAGGTTGCCGGGGAGGAGTGAGTCGAGGGGGAAGTTCACGGCAGCCTCCGGATCAAGGGCATCGACGTTGATGGTGCGGTAGTTGATTTGCGCCATAGTGGATTTGGGTTGGGCTGAAGCGGTGCGAGACGAGATGACGTTCCGAAAACGTACAACACGGGGAGTTTCCTCAAGCGTTCCAGGAGAACAAAGTAGCCCACAAGGCAGTGGATTCAATGGAACAGCTGTTGTGATCACCAAAAGGTTAGTGTAAAGTACAACCCAGGCAGACTGGGTACGCTGACGCACCCGGTTCGGAGAGGGAGCGGGGGAGGTCAACTTGCGCTGAGCGACGGCTACCGGTGAGGAAATGCAGTCAACAAACTATCGATACGATGCCCGAGGGAATTTTCGTAGACAATGTATTCGGATAGAGACAGCGTAGCGACAAGAGAAGAACACCGAGGGATAGCAATGGAGATGGCTCGTCGATAACAGCTGGAGGGAGAAAGCAACTGGCGGGCCAAACAAGGTCACGTTGCGGGCAGTGCGGAGAGTGTTTGTTTGCCTCAGGCAGAAAGACTTGACTGCACCGCATTCAGGACTGACCGATATCTAGGATTATTTAATTTGAATAGGAATGTTATAAGATCTCCTCAATTTCTATATCATGATCTTTAATCAGGAAGATATATATTCCAAAGTCAGCCTGTCCCCGAAAGGTCCTTAAGACAGCTAGTTCTCGTCATTTGCACAGCTCAAAACTTGGTTATTCATTCCTCTCCCAGAGAACCATTGAGAATGCCAAGGACCTCGAGATCCATTATCCATTAGTCTGATATCTGTTTTCCGGTGGTATGAACTGTCCAAAGGAGGTTATGTTGCAGGCTGCTTTTGCCGAACTTGCGCCGAGTGGTCCACAACCAATTTTGATATCAAGTGAGCGAGATGCACACTTATCTTCATCCGGCAGGCTTCAATCTAGTTAGTGAAGAAGCTAAGGTGCTGATAAATCAAAGATTAGGCGTATGCGCACTTTCCAGGATTAATGGACGTCTCTATGCATGTGGGGTAAAAGTGGCAGAATCACACATGCAGTCGAGTCACCTTTCATGCAATAGCTTCTCTGATCATTCTGCACACCTTAGATAACAGGGATTACTCGGCTGGCATTTCCCACATTGGTCCTTTTTTGACAGAGAAGACAAAATGGTATTGTCGAACGAGAACGAATTTGTCGTTCAGGACACTACCTTTTCTTCCCTCCACAATGCTGTGGTGGTCCTGACTGGTGCTTCATCTGGAATTGGTCGTGAAACCGCTCTTGCGCTTCATCAACACGGCGCACATGTAGTATTTGGTGATGTCGACGCAAATGGTGCGGCAGAGACGCTCTCCATGGCCGAGCAACAGCAGAACCAGTTGGGAGGGAGTGTCGAATACATCCAATGTGATGTTTCCCTATACGATGATGTCTACCGACTTTTCTCATCGGCCCTGGACAAGCACGGCCATGTTGACCACGTCGTAGCGTCGGCTGCTATTTTCAATCGTGAGAAATGGATCGACCCAGCACTGAGCATCGAAGAAGTCGCAAAGCCGAACACGAAAGCGTCGAAAATCTTGGATGTGGATTTGGTCGGCACGGCCAATACTAGCAGGATTGCTGGTCCTTTCCTCATGGCGAATAGGAAGGGAGATACCGAGAAAAAGACCTTGACACTCCTAGGCAGCGTGGCTAGTATGCAGCAGGTTGGAGAGGCTGTCATGTATCAGGTGGGTGAGATAGAATGATAAGGACAAATTCTCATATTGATATTTATCTGTCCTGTTAACGGTAATGTCTAGGCTGCAAAACATGGAGTTCTCGGGCTGTTGCGCGCGATGCGTACCCCGTTCTACCGCCATCGAATCCAGGTCAACTGTGTTTGCCCTGATATCACCTTGACTCCTATGGCCGCACCCTTTATGGATAGCTTCAAAAAGAATAGAGCCTGGACTCAGACTTCCGAGGATGTCGCACGTGTCATTCTGGGCCTGCTGGACTCTGATATCCATGGAAAGTCATTTTACCTTGGAGCTGGCAGGGCTTGGGAATTCGAGGACGGCCTTTCGGAGGCCATGCCTCACTGGCTTGGATCAGAAGGTTCACGACACTTCAAATGGAATCTGGAGTGTCTGGCTAAGGTTAGTCCTGTCCCATTCTCTTCACACACTTTCTCTAACTGCTTCTGTCAGGACCACTGATTTGTGAATATCTTCGTTTGGTTGCCCAAAGAGAGATTGGGCATGATAAGAAAACGAGTTCAAGGAGAACCCCGCTGTTCAACTCAATGGCGAGTCTCTTTCTCAAATTCTGATTGTTCAGCTCCTGTTAGACTCTGCATCCCCATTTTCCGAAGCTCGGTAAAGAGATCGACGGCCTGTTCGTAGGTCTCATTTGATGTCCATCCATCACGAAAAACAATGTGATCTAGCGCATCCCAGAAATCTGCTTCTTCATTCCAACCCTCTCCCTCTTCATAGTGTGTCTTCAACTCGTTGTCTGTAAATGTAATCGGGCAGGTGGTGTCTCCATTTATCTCGTTCCAATGCCTAAAGTGCCACAGTAAGTCATTGGACCTTGGAAAAGGCAGAATAAAATCAATATACCGTGCGATACGGATGAGGCACTGTCGGAAGGGGATGATGTCATCATCCCAAGTGTTGGTAGAATACAACACGGTCTGAGTTCTTGTCCGCCCATGAGGTGTGTTCAAGATCTCAGAAAGTACTGGATTTGTATTCGATGTGCCCAACTCGTATGCGTAGATCAGAATGGATCTTTTTACTTGGTCTCGGATTCGAGCTTTTTCATCCTCATCTTCAATGGACTTGAAATTCTCGGGCAATTCTAGCATTATCTCTCCATTATAGGCGATAAATTTCGGGCGTCGAGCTTCGAAAAAGAGCGGACCAACAAAGACATCTTGCCAGTCAATCAGTCCTGTAATTTCGTTTTCGTCATTGACAAATAGATTAGGAGCGTGGATATCCCAATGCCAGAGAGTGGCTCTGTTCAGATCTTGATTATCCGGTAATAGATGGTCAGAAATACTGAGGAATCTCCTGTAAAGATCGATATGGGCCTGGGGGGAGTTTTGGGTTTTCGGTTTTGATTGACTGTCAGTCTGTGTTTGAGTAGTTGCGTGACGGCTGATCCATGCAATCTCTCGCCGAGCGATTGCCTTGAGATAGTCTGTGTGGCTCTTCCCTATGGGCAGGCTTCAGCTACTGAAGGTTCGCAGTCTAGAAGGATAGGGAACCTACAAGGACCACGATCGGTTGCCAACGAAGCCCGTTCCTTATTCCAGAAACTCTTGTTGGAGACTGGTCCTATCACAAAACGAGTCTCTACTTCCATCCTTTGTGATATTGAGACATCGTTTGCAACTGCAGCCTTCTCGCATCCAGAAAATGCTTCTTTTGCAAAGTAAAGATTACCATAACTAGATCCGTTGGGTCAGACTTTATGGTCGTTTCTGGTACCGAGAAGCCCAAGCATAAACATACCGTGTAAATGAAAGAGATAGGAATTTATTTTCAATGGAGATAATGTTCTCTACAATCTTCAACTGGTCACGAAGATCCATATCGTACCAAACCTCGTTAAGTGGTCTCCCCACAGCCTCCTCCGTAAGTATGTATTCGGACTCGACAGGGTTGTCTGCTTTACCACTCCAAGACAAGACTTTGGGGACAGGGATCTTGAGAATGGTACGTGCCTTTTAGCGTTAGAGATACACCTTTGGGCCGTTCACAGACAGACTTACAAAGTCCATGGTTGCGACCTCTGATGCAATACTCAGACATGAAGAGCCACTGATAGGATATGGTATACGCGCAATAACGACCGAGTAGTTGTCCATGATGAGCCGGAAGACTTTATTGGATCCTCCTTCGGCAAGTTTTGACATGGATACGCACGCCTTTGCACCAACACTTCGGGCAGCAACATCTTTGAGTGCGGACACATTGAATCTTTTGTATCGGTCACGTAGCTGGGTCTTTTCATTCCATAACCACCTACCACCGGTGTACCGGAAGAAGTCCTCATCCTTCCTGAGAGTCTGTATTTGCTGACTTGGTGCAAAAAAAACTTGAAGCAGAGCAGCATACCAGGGGAAAGGAAAGAGGGGCCCAGAGCAATGAAGTCCTTCTGATAGAATATGCCGAACGAAAAGTCAGAAATGAGAACGAAAGATGCGACATGACTTTCAAAGGTTGCCTTGGCCTTTGGGAATTTGTGTTGTTGATTTGGAAGAGCAGGGATGGACTTTTGGCTTGGGAGTCACATGGGGGGGTCACATGACAGTTTATTTGACCTCTCCTTCCTTCTTCTCCATCTTCTCTTCCTATCAACAATCAAAAATTTCTTCGTTGGCTGTTATTCGATCTCCAGCAATTTGTCAAAATTAGCCAGGCTTTTCAAGATGAAAGTACATTATGCGACGCTTTCGCCTCGAAGATACTAGAGCTTGTTGATCTAGACCCATACTGTGAAGGCGAGAACGACGACGCTGAGCCAATTTCAGTACTCAAAGAAAATTGGTAGGCCGTCTCCTATAGCTTTTTATGGTCTCAGGCCTTGAATTGTCAGTTGAAAATCTAATTCTTGAGTATTAGGTCATCTCTATCGGTCTTCAAACAAAAGTCGCACTGTTACTTGGCAGTTTCAACATCATAGACGCAAGAAAGGATCTCCATAAGCATGATGAGGTGGAAAATTGTTTAGTTCTAGATTATCTATGAAGAGATACTCGGACATTTGCGCTATAAATAGCACCTCGGATCCTCTCGAGCATATTAAAACTCCCGCTGGATCAATGCCATGGCCACAGAATACCACGCTCAGTTTATTCAAGGTCTAATTGACATTGAAAGATCCTCATTGAGCAGCTTTTTGCGTAAACTAGCCCCCAGAACAAGATCCTACATGCGTATAAGCAGCTGGTACAAGACAGAAGGGTATACTCCAGTTTGTTCTCGGGTAAATCAGCTGAGATATTTCACCACCAGCCTCAGCCAATAATGTGTTCATTCCATTAGTAAAGAAAATATGGAAGCATTTAAAATAGAAATAGAAAGACTGGGGTCCAATTCTATCCTTCTCTGCCCACCGTAGCAACTTAACGGCGTTGCTCAATCACCCGCCTGGCAGCACATCGAGCTTGGTCCGCAGACCTGGCGGCCCTGCAGAGAGCTGTGGCCTCCTTCAACTCTATTTAGTGAAACCAAGGCTATTATATCTATAGATTTAGCACTTAGAAGACAATAGGAGACAGTTATCCTAATTTATATAAGTATGAATTTATTAATATTTACATCCATGAGTATCCTGATATATTACTTAAATAGGACTAGCGGATGCTGGGGTATGTGGAGCTGTGTTGTGGGGTTGAAATTATTTTTAAATATAATGAAATTTTAAATTGCTTATTCCGGCAGGATGAAGTTCATGCGATGTACTCTATACAGTATAACTAGCAGTAGTAGAACTTACTAGAGTGTCTGTACAAAAACATTATATTAAACAAGTGGTAATACACAGGTTTAATTTACTATCATTCATAGGCTTAGTTCTGGTCTTTTCTAGGAAATACTAGCTAGCATAAATGAGTATACTTTGAGATTATAGCAGAGGGGGAAGTATTAACTAGACCTATTCTTTATTTTCTTTACTATAATTACCTCACCTACATAATACTAGAATAATAGATTATAGTCAAGTCTCTCCTACACACAGAGCAATATGTACTCCTGGTACCCTTAAGTAGGTATCTATAGATGTTGGTGGGCAGCTCCTTTGGGCCTAGTGGTCTCTCTTGACAGCCACCACCAAACTGATCCACGCCTGTTCCTAGTCAGCATCGCATAGAGACATCACTTCTTCACCAGGTCTACAGGCCTCCAGCACTATATATGGCTGTATATTAAGCCCTTACTCTCAGCAAGTCGCCTTGTTGACGAAAATAGGTGCTTAGGAGTGATAAGAAGCGCAAGACTAGTAGTCTAGTACCTCTGGCAGAAGACACAGAACCAAATAGGTATTTCTTATTCTATGGACTACAGAACAGGTGCTGTTAGCTATACATATAAACAAAGTACTAGGCATCCTCCAAGTGAGATGACTGTCCAGCACCCCCCTCGATCGCCTTCTCCTGAACATCTCCCGCAGTGGCAGCAGCAGCAGCAGCTCCAACCTCGAGGCGGATGGAGTTGGCCCACAGGTTTTCACTTTTCGCGACGACCTCTCTAATATCCTTAGAGGAAGAGAACAGGAAATCAACCGACTCGAGGGTAAGAGACGAGGTCTCGGGGAAATACAGATACACGATGATGCAGGAGGCGAAGTTGAGGACCGCCCAGATGATATACGTGCGCCAGCCGATATTGTCGATGGAAACCGGGGCGATCTCGACGGTCCAGAACTGGTTCGCCCAAAGGAAGAAGACGGACAGGGCTAGTGCCTTGCTGCGGACATGGAGGGGCAGGATCTCGGCCGGGTACGTCCACATGTTCGACATCCAGCCCCAGGTGAAGAAGGACAGATAAAGGAAGAAGAACACCACGGTTGCCGTGTCGGAGGGTTTGGTATCTTTCCACAGCGTGATGCAGACGGCTATCATGCAGGAACCCATGCCGATGTTCCCCAAATAGAACAGCCGTCGGCGCCCCAGTCGGTTGATGATGAACCAGGTCAGAAAAGAGGACAGCAGGAACCAGATCTGCGAGCACCCGGAAACGAGATTTCCCGTGTTGGTGCTCAGGCCGACCGAGTTTTTCAGGATGAAGGGGAAATAATATTCCACAAAGTTGATCCCGCAGTAGGATTGCATCGACTGCGCGGCACAGGCGACAATGACCCGCGTGCGCACCTTGCTCGGGCCTTGCTTGAAGAGGGCAGTCCAGGAAGAGCCGTCGGTCTCAAGCTCGATCGCAGAGTTGATGTCCTGCATTTCTGCTAGGACCAGTTCATGGTCCTCTGGTAGGTCACGCAGCGCAGACAGCGCGGTAATGGCCGCATCGGTGTGGCCGTGAGCTGCGAGCCAGCGCGGGGACTCGGGAAGGAACAGCGTGAAGCCCAAGGCGACAATCGGATAAACCGCCTGCAGGGCAAACGGGACCCGCCAGCTGATCTCATTATTCAGGAACCCCAGACCATAATCCACCCAGTAGGCCAGGTTTGTGCCGATGATCAGACACGTCAGCTGAACGGCCACCATGACGGCTCGCATCTCCGCGGTGGCCGTTTCAGCCAGCCAGACGGGCGAGGCACTGGTGAATAGACCGAGACCGACACCCAGAATGATCCGAGACACTAGGACCTGCGCGAGCGAGAACGAGGACGCGTTGATGACGTCGCCGACCAGATGTACAGCACAGGCGAGCATGATGGTGCGGCGACGGCCAATCTGCTCGCTGACCAGCACCGCGGCCAGGGCGCCCAGCATGCATCCGATATCGTACGAGGAGACCACGAAGCCCTGAACGGCCGCATTGGGGTTACCGATGATGTCGAGGAAGTTGGGCTCCGAGATGATCTGGCCCATCAAGCCATTGTCGTAGCCGAACAGACAGAAACCCGTCGAACTGACCACCGTGATCAGGTAGACGAGCCATTTACCGCGAAGGTTTAACATGGTATAGTTCGTTCTTAATATTAGTGTTCCCACTCTTGAGATTAATTAATTAACTGACTAGTACTGTCTTCTAAAATGTTTCACTCCTCCCCCAATTTATATCTATATCTTGGTCTTGGCCTTCCCCGCATCGTCTTGCTGATCTGCTGGAGACAACCAACCAAGGATTCCTCTGTACACCAGTTTACTGGTGGGAAATCGAATGCTGAGAGAAGGAGCAAGGGAGTCAGAATCCTTTCAAGTATACCTCGTAAAAAGAAATATCACCAGGACTTCTCTCCGCAGCCTTACGGGGCTCTCGCCGCTCGGTCAAAGTCCGAGGAGATCATCCCCGGATTTCCTGTGCTCGGTATAAACCCGAGGGACCACCCCGGGGGGTATCCCCATACCTCCCCGCTTTTGGTGGATGTTTTCCCGCCAGTATCTGTGAAGAGATACTTGGACAGTTGGACTATGAAATCACAGAAACAGCAGCTTCTGTGGACATCATTTTATCTTGCAGGATGAGATGATGTCGGTGTTGTTTACTGCCCAGGTGTGTCCCATATACTTGTATACGATATTATCTTATTTCTTATCGATAGAGGGCTTAAGCTCGTATCTCCAATCGCACATTTTGATTTCCGTTTCTTTCCCGGATTCCGTATCTGAGGAGTCTGTAGTTATACTTGAAGGGTCGGGAGGTTATAGCAAAGTAACTAGCTACATAGTCAGGTATGTATCATACAATAAGTCCACTCCAATTGTGTTGTATCGCTAGACATATGAATTTAGTCTAGAAACCTTTATACTCTATGCCGGGTTCTTTTCCGCTCCCGCACTGGAGGAAGAAATCCGAGCGGAAATCCGAGCGGAAACCCACCATGGAAAACCCCGCCATACAATCGCATAATACAAGTGTTGTATAAGACTCTGGGTTCACCCCATAGATGTGTAGTTGTAGTTAGTAGAAATTCAAACAACCATGGCAACGGCTACTATAACCACGACGACCACCCTCACCGCCAGCGCTGCTCCGGCGATGCCCTCCAGGGCAGCGGACATTGCGGCCCGCCTGTTGAATGGCACGCTGCACGCCGGATACCCGCCGATCGAGCAGTTCATGACCCTCGATGGCATGCTGCGCTCGCACGCCGCGCAGCCAGACCAAGACACCAGACCGCTCATCTGTTATCCTGTCCGTGGAGCGGCGGACTTTGAACTTCACACTGCAGCGGATCTGGACCGGTATACAGATGTCGCTGCTCGGTACTATATAAAGAATGGGCTTCCGCCGGCGGTAAGAGAACCCCATTTGACACACACGCACTCACCCGTTCGTCACTAATGTGTTAAGGATCCCTCCCTCGAACAATCTCCAGTAGTTGCCCTGCTGGCTGGGTCGAGCTTTGAAGTTGTGCTGACCTTCTTTGCCCTCAATCGACTGGGCTATGCGGTGCTCTTCTTGTCTCCACGACTGACGGCGCCGGCGCTTGCTCGTCTACTCGGACTGGCAGATTGTCGCCAGCTAGTGATCACGCAGCAGCATCAGAACACGGTAGCAGAAATCTGCAACGAGCGGCCAGGATGTCTAGATTTCCCCCTCATCCAGCGGGGAGATTGGTTCGGTCAACATCTTGTCTCTCCTCGCTTCATGCGTGAAAGTGTAGACCCTGCACACGAAGGTCGGAAGATGGCCTGGATCCTGCACTCCTCTGGCAGCACGGGCTTCCCAAAGCCAATCTTCTTGACGAACCTGCAGACGCTGGCGAATTTTCGCAAAAGCTTCGGACTGCGCCTGTTCAATATCAGCCCACTATTTCACTCACATGGCCTCATGGAATTGGGACGTGCACTCTATACGCGTGCACCGGCGTATCTGGGGAATCACTCATTGCCAGTCACTTATCAGAACCTCTTTGATGCGCTGCAGGTCGCGCAGCCCGAGCAGATCAGTGCCGTTCCCTATGTGATCAAGCTGCTAGCCGAGAAACCCGAGGGCGTACAAGCTCTAGCAAAGCCGTCGTTAGTACTATACGGTGGCTCAAGCTGTCCCGACGATCTAGGGGACCGTCTTGTCGCTCAGGGTGTCAATCTCGTGGCTAACTACGGCGCCACAGAAACCGGTCAGATTATGACATCCTTCAGAGAACCGGGAGACACCGAGTGGCAGTACATGCGGCTGCACCGACCCGTCGCAGATCATGTCTTGATGGATGAGATCGCACCGGGAGTCTTTGAATGTGTTGCTCTTGACGGACTGCCGAGCAAAGGACCCTCTAACTCGAAGCCACCGTTTAGTATCACAAACCCAGAAAACAGTTTCCGGACGGCTGACTTGTTCACTCGTCACCCCTCTAAGAGCAATCATTACAAATATCTGAGCCGATTGGATGACCGCATCACACTAGTTAATGGGGAGAAGGTGCTTCCGATTCCAATCGAGGGCCGGATTCGTGAGGAAGAAACCGTGAAAGAGTGTGTTGTCTTCGGCTTCCAGCGAAATGTGCCAGGGGCCCTTATTTTCCGCTCAGCGGGCAAAGCGTCACATTTGAGCGATAACGAATTTCTCGAAGCCATCTGGCCAGCTGTGGAGGCTGCCAATGCTCGTGCTGAGACGTTTTCCCGCATCCCCAAGGAGCTGGTCGTGATCAAAGGTGTTGATGTCAAGTATCCAGCGACAGACAAGGGAACGTGTATCCGTGCCCAGGTCTACCAGCAGTTTGACGAGGACATCAAGCGAGCATATGCTGCATTCGAAGGCAGTGGAAAGAAAAAAGGAAGCGGTCTCCAAAAGAGCATACCAGAGCTGGAGGAATGGCTGCTCTCCAAATTTCGCGATGATCTGGGCGTTCCTTTGCTGAGCGTGGAAGCCGACATTTTCTCGGCGGGTGTGGACAGCCTGCAGACGACGCGAATCTGGAGATACATCGTTTCCGATCTGGATCTCGGCGAGGAAGGGGGGGAGCTGAGCCAGAACATTGTCTTTGAGAAAGGGACTGTCAGTGCCCTGGCAAGGCATCTCTATCAGATGCGAACCGGTCAAGCGGCAGAAGAGGAAGATGAACTGCAGGTTATGCGCCAGCTGATCGAGAGGTACTCTTCCTTCCCTCAGCATACTCCGACTATTGAACAACGACCAGAGACGGAAGTGGTAATGGTCACTGGCGCCACGGGCAATCTGGGGGCGTTCATCGCTGCGGAATTGCTCAAGCGGCCAACTGTCTCTGAGGTGTGGGCAATTGTACGCGCCTCGGGCCAGAAAGAAGCCGAGGATCGCCTGAAAGGAGCGCTAGCAAGCCGCAGCATTTCTCTCACAGACGAAGAGTCTGCAAAACTGAGAGTCGTTGCCGGTGATCTCTCCCAGGAAGATCTAGGTCTCGATGAGACCAGCCTTCAACACCTCCGCTCATCCTTGACCTGTGTCATCCACAGCGCCTGGGCCGTCAATTTCAACTTGGGCGTGCGGTCCTTCGAAACGCATCATATCAGAGGTACTTACCATCTCATCAACCTTTGTCTACGCTCAAACCTACCGAGTCCTGCCCGGTTCTTCTTCTGCTCCAGTGTGAGCACGGCAAGCAACACGCCGAAACCAGCCTCCATCTTGGAGACGGTCATTGAGAATTTAAGCCACGCGCAGGGTACCGGATACGGCAGGTCAAAGCTCGTCACAGAACACATCACTCGTGCCGCGATGCGGGCAACTGGCATGCAGGCGCGAATCTTGCGTATCGGGCAGCTCAGTGGCGATACCGTCAGCGCGAACTGGAACGACACAGAGGCTATAGCACTCATGTTTCGCAGTATCCTAACAACCGGCGCTCTGCCGGAGTTGCATGAACGACCGAGCTGGCTGCCTGTCGACTCCTGTGCAAGAGCGATTGCAGACATCGCAATTGACACTGTCTGTCCGGATGTTGACCTGGTGTATCATCTTGTCAACCCGCACACGTTTAGCTTCACAAACGATCTGCTTCCTGCTCTCAAGAAGGGATCGGCCTTTCCCGATTTTGAGACCGTGACGCCGCAGGAATGGCTGCAGAGGCTAGCAACGAGCGAACAGGACCCGGAGAAGAACCCAAGCATCAAACTCATCGATTTCTGGCGAGGAAAATATGGTCAGGGAGGCTCAACAGAGGAGAAAAGTCTAGTCTTCGAAACCCAACGTACCCTTCGTGACTGTCCGTCGCTGGCTGTGGTAAAAGACCCTGTTTCTGCAGGGCTAATGCAGAGATACATTCAGACATGGATGGCGAGATGGACAGGACAGTGATCGATTTTAGAACCATCAGACAGTCAATGAAGGTGTAACTCATAAATTTGTCAGTAGAAGAGGAAAGGAGGTTCGATAATCACCTGACCTGTCATGTGCCTGCCCAACTGGGCCTCCGTATGATTTCTGTCCTTTGACAACAAACCATCATTTCGTGTGTCTTCAGAGACAATTGATTTGAAGAAGACATGTGATATATCCATCTCCCATCTCATGCTACTCCTCATAGGGTCATAGCATGAGGTATGCCCGACATCTCCGTTCCTATAGGGTCAAGGTAGGCCAAGGACAGCTCTTCCTAGCCATCTGAAGGATAGGCATGAGCTACGATTCACTGATCTCTATTAAACCTCAGCCTTTGCTCGTGTTCATGCGGGGAAACCGATGTGAGCAGTAGACAGACTGTCGAAATGGGTTTCGTGGCGCTGGGCCAAGGGCGTAATACGAGGGTGTTGCAGCGACCTGACCTCGAGCGAAAAACTGCTATTTCAGGACTGCTATTTCACCCTGGACTGTCCACAGTAGAGTCTAGTGGCTCCCTCTTGTTATTGCAAATGCTGACGTATACTCGGTTATCAGGAGATTCCCATCAGCTTTTTGGTCTCAGCTAAATCCACTATAGGCTTGATTCTGATTCACTGAAAGTGGAGGATGAACATCCAGGTCTTGATACTTGCTTTATCTTTCTATACCATAACTCCTGCTCATGGCAGCCTGCACCTCGCAGCGGTACCCGTCACCCAGCTTTTGAACCAGGGCCTTCACGATATTTTTGCCCGCCAGACGACGGAATATTCGTGCCCTGAAGCGACACAGACGCTCTGCGCGGATGGCCATGGATGTTGTCCAAGCGGAATTGCATGTACCACGTCGTCCGGTATTCCTGTCTGTGATGAGATATGTGACGGTACAGTGATATGTGCCGATGGCGGGTGTTGTCAATTAGGATATACCTGTGATCTATACACATCGACTCTCTGTATCCAGGAAACAGGTGATGGTGTTTCTTTGACATATGTTTACACGGCTGAACCGACAACCGCATTCAAATCGTCGTCGGCTGCGAGTTCGGTACCATTCCCGTCGAATACGGTCACCTTGGAATCTGTTTCGTATTACTTGAGCGACAATCCAGAAACTTACGCAAGTACGGAAGTCTCTTCTACTAAAGTGCCCTCCACGGAAATATCCTCTCAAGAAGTCAGCCAGACTGAATCAGTGGTTCCCGCAAGCTCATCTACCAATACCCAAAGTGCAGGGTCCCATCTTCCAGCTCTCTCAGGGTTTTTCATCTGCTGGATACCGTTGATCATGGTTATTCTAGCTGTTTGAGAGTATATCTTAATGAATATAGTTGAACTTGGCAATCTCCCCACATGTAGAGGCTAGGCAGTAGCAGCGACTGTTGTCTCTCGTATAGATCCTAAGTAGATACCAGGTATCCCCGAAAGTACTAAGAAACCATTTGTACTCCACATCTTCAGCCTTGTCAGATGGGATGTGAGTGACTCATTGGAGCCACGTCAACTGACCCTCAACTCAGTTCAGCCTCATCTCGTGTTTAAGCTGAAAGTGAGGCTGATCACACACTTGAGTAATATAAGAAACAGATATAAAACTCGACACTTCCACCTACACAACCTCCCAACACGAACAACCACTTCTTTATCTTCAATACCACACCATGGGCAGAGAACAGATCGTGTCGAGTAAAAGCCCTCGCAAAGATGCCATCGCCTACGTGAAAAACAATGGCCAGCACACGCTGGAGGTCGACAAATTCATCGAAGCCGGTCGACCCAGCGGTGGAGACGGACACGCCGCCTACGCGACACACTATACCTCGAATGTAATCATCTCTTCCACATTATATACATATATATAAATTTATTAATTTAATATTAGGGCAGAGAACAGTTTGCCCCCGCCATGAAAGGGGTGACAGGCCGAGTCGTCGAAACAGGGGAATCGTTCTATATCCGCGACGACTACGACTTTGCGAACCCCACCGAGGAGGGGAAAGGGTACCACGTCAATGTGCAGCTGGGGAAAGAGACCAGAGCGTATGTGTCGGGGAGGAATAGCCAGGCGGAGTACTTTGATCGTACGAACATGACGGGGGAGAGGGTTCATTTTGATGGGCCGGAGAAGGCGGCGAAGTGGTATCTCCAGGGTCATTCTGGGTGATATACGCCCTGAATGCTTCGAAGATCAGATATTCTGTCTTGAGAGTCTTTATATCTAGGTAGGATTGAGTTTCGGGGTAGTCTAGCAGCTATACTTAGGACTATTAGTTAGTACTCAACTAGGTAGTTACCTGGTTATTGAACTACATATAATAAGCTGGTTTATAATAACTTGGTTTATATTATATTATATGATTATATATGATCGTTATCATGGCAAGGAATCATCTAGCTAAAGAGGAAAGACGCAAAGTGCTACAGCAAGAAAACAAGGACACCCATGATGCAAGCTGTGAACAGCGAGACACCGTAAGCCAGTCCAGATGCCGCGCCAGTGTAGACAGGCGAGACTGCACTGGTCGTTGAGGGAGTCGACAGCGTCGTGCTGGTTCTGCTGCTGTTTGTACCCGCCGCCAGGGTTGTGAAGATAGAGGCAGAGCTGGTTTGAGTGCTGGTGTGGTTACCAGAGCCAGAGCCAGAGCTTCCAGTACCACTGTCAGAACCGCTGCCAGATCCAGAACTGCCGGAGCCAGAGCCAGAGCCAGAACTAGAGCTGCCTGAACTAGAGCTGCTAGAACTGGAGCTGCCGGAGCCAGAACCAGAGCCGGAGCCAGAGCTGCCTGAACTAGAGCTGCCTGAACTAGAGCTGCTAGAACTAGAGCTTCCGGAGCCAGAGCCAGAGCCAGAACCAGAGCTGCCAGAGCTAGAGCTACTAGAACCAGAGCTGCCAGAGCTAGAGCTGCCGGAACCAGAGCTACCAGAACTAGAGCCGGAACTGCCGGAGCTGCCGGAGCCGGAGCTGGAGCTGCCACTACTGGAGCTACCAGAGCCAGAGCCAGAGCCTCCAGAGCTTCCAGAGCTTCCACTGCCAGAGCTTCCAGAGCTTCCACTGCCAGAACCAGAGCTACCAGTGACGGTAGCAGGGAGAGTATAAGTAGTCTGTCCAACAACCAAAGTCTCAGTCGTCACAACAGTCACACTTTCCGTCGCAGGACAATGCGTGTGACCGGACGGACAGGCAGTAACGGTAGCAGTACGGGTACTCAACAAAGCAGAGGTGGTGGTGGAAGCCGTTGACAAAGTGTTTTCGCCATTACTAGCAATGTGAGTGGCAGTAGCGCGTTCGGCAGTGACAGGGCAGATAGTGGTAGAGACGACGAAAGTTTCTGTAGTGAGGAAGGTGGTCCGTGACTGAGCCGGGCAGTTGGGCTTGTGTGAGGGGCAGGCGGTGGTGGTGGCCGTGCGAGTAGAGAAGACGGTTGAAGTGGTGTACTTTTCGGTGGTAGAAGATGAGACGGATGTAGCAGTCGCCGACTCGGTCGCTGTCACTGGGCAGACGGTGGTCGAGACCACCACGGTCTCTGTAGAAACATAGGTGGTGCGCGACCTGGCTGGGCAGTCGGTGACTGTCGAGGGACACGCTGTGACGGTGGAAGTGCGAGTGGTAAGGATGGTGGAGGTGGTCAATTCAACCGTGTTTGTATGAGCGGTGGTCACGGTGGTAGCAGTTGTCACTGTAGTAGCTGTTCCCGTGGTAGACTCAGTTGTGGCTGTAGTAGACCCAGTTGCAGCCGTAGTAGCAGCTGTCGCCGTGCTAGATTCGGTTGCTACTACAGTGGACCCGGATGTTGCTGCGGTAGACCTAGTTGCTGCGATAGACCCAGTTGCTGCGGTAGATCCAGTTGCTGCGGTAGATCCAGTTGCTGCGGTAGATCCAGTTGCTGCTGTAGTAGAAGCTGTCGCAGTAGAAGTTACCACTGAGCTAGATCCCGTCGCCAAGCTGGATCCCGTGGGCGTAGTAGTAGCCACAAGACTGGAAGAACCAAACGGTACAGCGGAAGAACTGGTACAAATGGTGGTAGTCGAGGGAATAGTCACAGTGGTGAAGACGGTCGTGGTGGATCTGTGGTACGGAGGAATGATACTCGAGGAGGGTTTATGAGTGGAGGAGCTTCTGCCGAGACTGGCTGAACTTGTCGGACGAGATGACGCCGTCAGGGAAGAAGTCTGGGAGGCAGTCCTCTGCAGGGATGCACTGGAGCTCAACACATGAGACGATGACGGAGTGGCACACGGCCTACGTCTTGAACGAGTGGAACGAGAAGAAAAGGAAGAAGAAGAAGAGACAGCTGCTGAAGAAGGAACTGAAGTTGGAGAGACCGGGGCCGAAGAAGTCACCACGACTGAGGAGGCTACAGCTGAGGAGGTGACAGACGAAGCCGTGGCCGAAGGAGTCGGGGATGCAGTGGTACAGGTCTGCACTGCGGTAGCTCGGATGGCTTGGAAGTTATCCAGATAGATATCGCCAATGTTGTCATTATGGAAGGTGCTGCAGGAGCCCGAGACCCCGAACAGATCTTCGCTGGAGGTGGGTGTCCAGGTGCCGCTCAGCGTGAGCCACCCGTTGGTTGATGCGGTGAAGGTGACGCCGGTGAAAGAAGCGATGACGTTGGAATCGGCGAGAACAGTATGGTATAGGTGCATGGAGCAGGGCCAGTGGTACGTGTTGGATGAGCTGACCCAGACATAGTAGTCAAAGGAGATATCGTAGGTGACGCCAACCTCCAGGCTGTCCAACGTTTGCGTGATGGCCCATGAGGAGAGAGATCCGGGGACATAGAGCGAGTAGTCGCCGTCTGAAGCATATTCGGTCGTGGTGGTCAACGAGGAACTGCTGACTGACCAGTCGGTCGTGCCGTCTTCAAAGGACGGGTTGGCGACCAGGTTGGTCGAGGGCACGTCGGAGCAAGTCACTTGCTGTCCCCTGGCCTGGAGGCCCAGGGAGGAGGCGAGGGCCAGAGTCAGGAGGAAAGCTGACATGCTGGTCTCAATTATCATTCAATTAATCAACTGATGATGGAGAAACGAGTGACAGAAAGAATGACAGGAGAAACAGGATGAGAGAGGGAGGAGAGAAGAAGAAAAGAGGGGAAAAGGGTGGGCGTGATGAAGGTCTAGATTAGAGGCTAAAAATCAAAGTCGATACTACTACTACATACACAACTAGTTACTACAAACTATTCAGGTCTATACTACAAACAGTAAGTACAACTGAATAGTTCAACTTAACTAATGGTCTGTTAGTCTCTTCGTAGTGGCTGAGCCACTGCCAAGTTCCTGAAAAGCTTTGCTGACGGAGTGGCCGAGAGGCAACTTAAGACAGTGTAGAGAAACTGGGCGAAATTGCCGACACATTGGCAAACCACCAGACAGGATTCGATGTACTAGAATACATAACTAGTAACTAATAGTCAACTACCCTGAGTAACTAGTAAACTAGTTTCTCCGTATGTTTAACTGCAAGGTAACGCCACTACCGCCGGCATTTGATGGATTCTGGCTGTGGAAAAGAATTGAAGCCCAATAAAAATCCTCTTGTGCCTGAGGCATACTGCTTAGTCATAATATTGTCCTGACTAGTCCTATTCTGGATTCCTGTTCCTGACCCCACTTTTCGCCTACACTTCCTAATACAGAATGACCACTAAACTGCTTTGAGGATGATACTGTCACCTGACCTCAACCTGGCACTTGCCTGTTGTTGACAACCTCCAGCTTGACAATCCCCAACAGACAAACGCAATTAATCAAGAGAATCTGTCCGGACTGGCTGCATCAAAAAGTCGTCATAGGCCAGTTCTTCGGCAGAAGGTCGCGCCTCAGGTACCCAGCATAGCACTCGTCGCAGGAAGCTTAGAAAAAGCTCTTTATCGTCGCCATGATACTGCTCTGCTCGACTTTCCAATGATTGTTCCGGTATGGGCACAGAGCCTTTCCAATTCCCTATATTCTTATCAGATGGGTATAAAAGTGCGAGAAAAAGGGGGAAATATGCAAGACCTTCGCTATCCCAATACCGGAGAGATTTAACACTTCTCTGCAGAAACTCGGGAGGTGGAGGTCCCATGAGTGATACCATTTCCGCCAGATGTTGTTCATCATTAAGAGTGCCTCCTTTCTTTGCGAGAAAAAGATGACCGCCTGTGGCCATATCCCAGGCCTGATTTTTCCATCAGAATCAATAAATATACTTGAGGGTGAAGATGAAGGGAGCCTGGAGCAGCTGACCATGACACCTATTGACCAAATATCCACCTTGTTATCCCATTCCATATCCAGAATGACCTCTGGAGCCCGATAAATACCTGGCATTATATCGCCTCTTTGGTTGGATTTGCTAACTCTAGCTTCTCCAAAGTCAGAAAGCACGGGTAATCCCGCGCTGACAGGTACTGGCCGAGAAAAGTAAATCTGGCGATCATTCAGGATCTTTCTAGCAATTGGCCTCGCCAATTCATCTTCTTCGATCTGGCGGAGAACCGAAGTGTCTTCGATTCCTTGAAGGATATTGTTTGCCGAAATGTCTCGAAACACCTGTTAGCCAGTCGCCGTACTTATTCCACGATCAGTGATGAGAAGCTCACCGGTATGCACGACATCATTCTCGTGTATAAAAGCCAAGGCTATAAGAACGAGCTGGACACCCTTTCGAAGCATATCCACTGGTAGCTTATTGTCAGGACATAGGCTCTGGAATTCAGTAAAACTCATTCCAAGAGGTCGGTAGACCAAGCAAGTGTGGTTTCCATCAGGGCCGGAGATTTCGAATGAATCAAGGATAAGACGAACTAATCGCTTGCCAAAGTGATCATCGCTGGCATTTCTAAGGTGATCCGAGACTGCAAGCTCACGAACTGGTCGCTGGTCACGGACACAGATTTTCAACGTATTGAACCCATGGCCACTCGAGACGGTTAGACAAGACAAATACCTACTACTTACCTACCTATTTCTGTACTTACTCAAGGTCACGGCAAAGCCAGGTGGTAGAAGACATTCCATAGCCAAGCTTCGAAACAACCTGGTACCTCGCTGCAAGAATCTCGCCAATGGCCACAGGATAGTATTTCTCTGCAACATATGATGGCAGCTCCTCTTCTTCAATCTTCTCCGCAGAGTCAATGGTCACAAAGCCTGAGGTCAAGAACTGTCGGGGGGGAAGATTTGATCCCGATGCTATTGTTCTTGTCAACGGACTCCGCAATTTGGGCACAACGCCAGTTACGGAGAGCCCGAGGCAAGAAAGCACTCCTGTCAATTTTCCTACAAATACTGGCATGTTCAACAGCTGGAAATGGCTGGTTGGATGAAGCAGATTGCCCCTTGAAGTCGCTTAAAGGACATGATTCTTGGCGTAACCAGGTTGCCATTACAGTATTCATACAGTATTTATACTACTATACCACATAATACTCCGTACTAAATTCGAATTGGAAACTATATTTAATCTTATAATAAAATATCAATAATAACTATATATCTACCTTTATATATTATGTAATGCTGTCACTCTGCGAGAACCATGGAGCACGTGGGTTTTGCCAGCCAAAACCCGACTTCATGATCAACTTCTGATCCTACACCACTCATATTTACAGGAGCAGAGCTTGCTAGACGCCATCAACCTGGCCATCAATATTCCACGATCTAGAACTATTATAACACCACGGAAGATGGTAGAAAGTCGTCTCCTCCTCCTCCTCCCAGCAAAAGAAAGGGCGAAATGAGAGTTCGAAGCAATTCGACCAGCAAGCAAAGAAGACATGTCAACGGCTCACAGCACGCATTGAGATTGATGACCAGGTATCGTCAGCCTGTCTTTCAGAGAGGGGAAGGGATCCCACCGAGCTCTAGCAGATGAGACGCTGTTATCTGAGCTGGGAAGCATGAGGGCTGCGGCCATCTCCGTCCTACGGCCCTCTCCGCCAGCCATGATGCTATTATAATAGTATGTTCGTTTCTCTCTCTCCCTTTCTCCCCCTCCGGATATCGGCATCCAGTCTCGTTGACAATTATTTCGGCTTTGTCTCCGAGGAGGATTTAATTACTAATTCAGAATTAGTCAACCAGCTTATCTCCGAGCGACGCGCTAATCCATGTTTCAATGACTGCGCTGAAAAGGAGGAAGAAACAGACTTACACAAAAACGAAGGCCAAGATAGCGAAGTGCGGCTTCCTAGATAACATTATATCGACATGTCGCCAATTGGGCTCGGCGGCGATAGCAAGGAGCAGCCGAGCACGGCTCCCGATCCGGACTATCTCGTCAAATGGGAAGACGGAGAAGCCCAGAATCCGCTGAACTGGTCTATCCAGTACAAAGCGTGGGTGACCTTTCAGCTGGGCATGTTGGCCCTGGCGGGGAGTCTCGGCTCCAGCATCATGACGCCTACCGACAGTATCGTGGCTGAGTATGTTGGGGTGAGTAGTGAGGTTGCTGTGTTGGATGTCAGCATGTACCTGTGAGTCTTTTTCTTCTTGTTTTTTTTTATTTGTCTTAGAAGATCAAATCAATAATAGTCAATTTTAGCATCGGCTTTGTGTGCGGCCCGATCTTCTGGGCCCCGATCTCCGAGATTTGGGGCCGCAGAGTGAGCATCCTCCCCGCCGTCTTCTGCCAGGCACTCTTCGCTATCGGCACTGCGAGAAGCACCAACGCCGTCTCGGTGTACATCACCCGCTTCTTCACGGGCTTCTTCGGCTCTGCCCCGATCAGCAATGTCACAGCCGCCCTCGGGGACATGTGGAGTCGAGAGACACGTGGGATCGCAGTCAGCCTGTACGCCGTGGCCGTGAATGGCGGACCCTCCCTGGGCCCGATTATCGGGGCTGCTGTCGTCCTCAACCCTCATCTCAATTGGCGCTGGACGGGCTATATTCTCGCCATCTGGGTCATGGCCACCTTCGTGTTTACCTTCTTCTGTCTGCCCGAGGTGTACCCGCCGGTGCTGCTGAAGCGGAAAGCCCAGCGCCTGCGGAAAGAGACAGGCGAACAACGGTATTACCACCCGCAGGAGCACATCCAGCTGGATTTCCAATCCATCGTCACCAAGCAGCTGTCACGGCCACTGCGCATGCTCTTCACGGAGCCCATCGTGACGTGCATCGCGTCCTATGCCTCCTTCGTCTACGGCGTCATGTACCTCACCCTCGAGGTGTTTCCAATCGTCTTCGAAGACATCCGAGGCTGGGATCCGCTTGTCGCCTCGCTGCCATTTCTGGGACTCCTCATCGGCGTGATCTCCTCCGTCGGTCTTAATGTCTGGAACCAGTTCCGCTACAACCGCATCGCCGAGGCTGCAAACGGCCGGCCCGTCCCTGAAGCCCGGCTACCCCCGATGGCCTTCGGAGCGCCTCTATTCGTGATCGGCGCCTTCTGGTTCGCCTGGACCGCAAAACCTCCCCATCCATGGATCTTACCCTGTCTGGCTGCCCTCTGCCTGGGTGCCGGGTTTAACTGCATCTTCCAACAGTGCCTCAATTACCTTATCGACATGTACGGCATCTACGCCGCCAGCGCTACCGCTGCCGTCACCTTTCTCCGCAGCATCATGGCCGCGGGGCTTCCCCTGGCGGCTAAGCCTATGATCCGTGCGCTGGATGTCGGTCCCGCCGTCTCGATCATCGGCGGCGTGGCCGTTTGCTTGCTTCCCATTCCGTTCTTGTTTATGAAGTACGGCCAGCGACTGCGTAGGTACTCGAAGCTTACGCCAGAAAACCTTAAATAGATGCAAAGATACATATAACTATAAACATTACGTTCTGTTCGTACTGTCAATATTCATCATAACTTTGAGATATGCTTTCGAAAAGGGGTTTTCACCGGCGCCCCCAGCCAACCATGAGTATCTTGCAGAGCTTAGCTCTGCAAACGAGGCAGATTATATACATTGTGAGGATCATACTCCTCCTTCAACGCAAGGATCTCCTTGACGTGAGTTCCAAAGAACTTGGCGAGCGGAACTGGCTCCGCAAAGTGATACAGAGAAATATACGCGGTGGGCAGGAGGTTACCGGGATCTGTGTCGTGGATCTCCCTGGCCGTCTGCGCCGCCCATTGCTCGGCGGCCTGCCTGTTTTCCTTCGTGACGGCAAAACCCAAAATCTCCAGCATGAAATGAGGCTCTCTCGAGGCAAACACAGAATCCTCCCTCGGCGCCGCAGAGGGACCTCGCAGTGGATGGATTACGAACATCGTTGCCGGGTCAAACGGCATCTGCGCCAAGTTGCGGCCGATTGTCTCTGTGACTTCGGGCGTGATGCGATACAGATTCCCGGAATGGCTGAACCCGTAGCCACTGCTTGCAACGAGGGCCTGGTTCCCTGCTAGCCAGGTCGGGATGTCGACGACCGCGACGGTGTTCATGATCGGGTTTCCCAGCCCGGCGATCTTTTCGCGCCAGCGCTGCCCTTCCTCCACGTCGTCTGAGCTCCATGCAAAAATCACACCGAACACCCTGCCCGTGGGTGCGTTGAGCGCTGCTTGTTGGATCGTCAAGGCGGGCGGTAGTCCGTCGTTCAAGATCTGTCGATATGCAGCATTGAATTCTGTGAATGTCTTCTTGATATCCTGGGATTCAAACAGGATGGATCCTGCAAGAAACTAGAAGAAGTCAGCATTTATAGCTCAACTGAATCTTCCTCCTTCCTTCCTCTTTCCCCTTCTCTTCCCCCCTTACCTGTTTGAGAGGATACACTTTGACAGTGAGATCGACAATGACTCCCAACATCCCTCCAGCACCACGGATCCCCCTCAAAAGCCGAGCATCCGCCTTGACAATCTCGCCCTCCGCATTCACAAGCGTGGCATGCAGGATCTGATCGACTCCGAGACCCCAGTTCCCAGAAAAAGGCCCGTACCCTCCATACATGGCCCAGCCCACGTATCCCACCGAAGGAACCGTCCCCGTAGGCGTGGCGAGTCCCTCCTCCCACAACTTCTTCGCCAGCTCGCCCTGCAGAATCCCTCCTCCAATAGTAACAGACTGCCTGTCTGCAGCGATTGCCACGCCCGCAAGTGCGCGGAGGTCAATCACTAGAGCGCCCTCCACCATCGTCGACCCGACGAGGTTATGGCCGCCTGTGCGGATGGTGGATCGTAGACCTGCCGTTCGCGCGTACCGGATCACCCGGCACACATCGTCTGCAGACTGCGGGTGCACGATTGCCAGCGGGGTTCCGGCGTGGCCGACATTCCATATCTCGCTTATAGAGGGGTACTCTGCTGCTGAGGGGGTGGTGCATTTGATGTCTGGATGGTTGTGTAGAAAGGCCTGTAGGGCGGCGAGTGGTGATGCCATTGCTTTCTTCTTCTTACTTTTTCTTTTTATATATATCTCAACTTGGTGGGAAATAGTCGGATCTTTTCAATGGATAAAGTAGACTCATTTATACCCATGTACTAAGTATCTACTTCGGAGTATTCACGGGGTATATACGAGTAATGCTTACTGATTGACGCGCCAAGATGCATTTTGGACGAAGGAGCCTATCATGATCTGACCGGGATGCGCTATAGTCTCTTTGCTTATTACTAGATAGATCGTCTCACAGGACACTATGACGTATCGCAGACAGTGCATCGGGAGGTATTGGCTTACTGCCAGGTTTGAAGATTCCTCAATATCGCCATTTTGAGGGGAAATTTCTCCGGGTCCACATGAGGGAATCCAAGATTCATCTATTGTTTGCCTAATGGTAGATGAAAAGAATAATGGAGGGGTGAAAGACGTTATCTGTAGAATCGGTGATATGAATACTACTAGTAGTATTAGAAGGATAGTCTGGAATACTCTGAAGATTCCTTCAGACATCCATCTATTCCTCAAGTAGTCTTGATAATATATAATAATTCAAAATGCTGTCTCCTGTGAAGTGTATAAGAACAGTCAAGTAAAGCAGACCATGTTCATGATGGCCATGAAGAAAAGCTCTAGGTAAGTCATTTCAAAAATCCCAAACCATCATAGTGTACAGTATCCAACCTGGACTGGATAACAGATAGAAGAAGAACTTGTCCTGAAAGGAGGTATATGTCTAAGCTCTTTGCTAGAAGCGCAGATAGCACTTTGGCTAGTTAGTAGCGTGGTTATTGCCCAGAACGTATGTGGTGGTTGGCTGAAAACCGAGACAGCCTTGATAGCCATTCATGTTCTTCCGTTTATCGAATCGAATTGACTTTCTTCATAATGATAACCCGCGTGCACGCGGATAATCAAGACTTCTGTGAAATGTTATATCTTCAAGCAAAGCAAAGATGAGAGCTCAAGATGGAGTGATTGTAATAGGAGGCACGGCAGTTGGCGGCCGCACAACTGCATTCTCAGGAGCAGGAGGAGACTCCAAGTTCATACTCATACTGACTGAGACAGATGCCTCTTCGTCAGAAAAAGTATAGAGCTTGGTCTGCTCTTTCTTGCGAAGACGCGAAGTGAACCGCTGGACAGGGTATACTGTCATCTCCAGCGATTTCTGGAACGGCCACAGGATTAAATTGATGCACTTGACAACGCCGTTGAAGACAACGGCAAAATGTCTGTCGGGGACTATTCGCAGCACAACAGCCCAGGGAAGGCAGCAGATGGCGCAGAGAATACAAACCCCCCACTGCAAGCCGGTGAGAGGGGTCACCTGGAACGCGTCACCGCCGACGAAGATGATCATGATCTGGCCACCGACCATGATGGCGTTGATGCTGAGAAACCAGTAGTTTTGAAAGATGCCTTCGAAAATGTTGAGCTTGTTGTCCAGTCGACGGTTGTTGAATCCGTTGAATATCTGCATCCACACAAATGTATTGAACACAATCGTGTCCAGTTCGCGTTGCTGGTGGGCATCACTCAGGTCAAAGCCAAAGAGACGGGCTCCGGCAAAGTAGAGCATAAACGTGATGGCAAGCTGGTAGACGGCCTGTCCCAGGATCATCTTCCACATCGTTATGGTGAATAGGGAAGCATTCTTGGAGACGGGCTTTCGGTCCAGAATCTTCTCCGTGGGTGCGTCGGTTGCCCTGGAAGAACTTAATGTTAGCACTCTATCTGCAAAACAAAAATCGGGGGAGGACGACGTACAAGGCCAGAGCGGCAAATGTGTCCATAATCAAGTTCACCCATAGGAGCTGCACGGCCGTCAACACGCTCTCATTCTCATTACTGGAAAGCGCTGATACAAAAGTCAGGATGACCGCAGTGATGTTCACAGTTACTTGGAACTAATAAGTGTTAGCAAGAGAATCAAAAAAGAAAAAATAAATGAGAAACCAACCTGGAGAAACTTCGAAACTGCATCGTTGACAGCTCTCCCCCAAGCAATTGCAGTGACAATTGACTTGAAGTTATCGTCCAGCAGGATGATAGAGCTCGCCTCTTTGGCCACCTCCGTCCCTGCGATTCCCATGGAGAAGCCAACATCAGCAGCCCGTAAAGCCGGACCATCGTTGGTACCATCACCGGTGACGGCTACAGTTTCACCTATCCGCTTCAGTTTCTCGACGAGAATGCGCTTATCATCCGGGGAGGAGCGTGCCAGAACCTGCAGACGGGGAACAACCTCGTCCATGTCCGCGTCTGAAAGCTGGCGAAAGTGGCAGCCTTCCATGACCAGCCCATCTGGAGTCTTGATACCACAGGACGTGGCAATCGCCGTCGCGGTCGCAATGTTATCGCCCGTGACCATCTTCACCTGGACGCCAGCCGCGCGGCATTTCTGAATTGCAGCGGGGACTTCAGGACGCAAGGGATCCTGGATGCCAACGACGCCAATCCATGTCATGTCGCCAAGGATGTCCTCGAATCGGACCATGCTGGGATCATCCTCTAAGGTCTGTGCGTTTGGTGGAGGCCAGCAAGGGAAATCCCGGTACGCCATTCCGATAGTTCGGAGAGATTGATTGGCGTATGAGCCTATTGCAGCGTGAACTTTCCGTCTCCTCTCGCTCGAGAGCTGTGAAATGTGAACGCCCGTTTTCTCTGTATCAGCAATGATGGCAGAGCAGCTCGCTAGCATCAGTTCAGAGGCTCCCTTGACAAGTAGACGGTACCCCATTGATGGTTCGCGATAGACAATACCCATGCATTTGCGGGACGAGTCAAATGGAATAAACTGGACGGTTTCCGCAGACGCACGCTCAACAGCAACATCCATTCCGAAATAGTCTTTTGCAAGTTGTAACAAGGCGACTTCTGTCTTGCTGCCGAGAAACTGTTTGCATCCATCCTTCTCTTCCTCAAAAGCAGTCGAGTTGAGAGCAATGCTCTTGACAACTAGATCCTTGACGGCCGCGGAACAGTTCTTGAGGAATCCAGAGATGTGCATGGATGCAGGATGGCCTTCCTCGAGCTGATGAAAACTCCCATCAGACCCCCAAGTGCCTGCGACTACCGTCATCTTATTCTGCGTCAAAGTGCCAGTCTTATCCGAGCAGATGACCGTTGCGTTACCCATAGTCTCGCAGGCACGAAGGACTCGGACGAGGTTATTCTCCTTTACCATGCGAGTTGTGGCAAATGCAAGAGCTAGAGTCACAGCCAATGGAAGACCCTCTGGATTTGTTAGTTTCTCGAATGGTGTCCTGCAATAGACTGTTTACTAACCTGGAATAGCAACGACAATAACCGTGACGGCAACAATGAGGATATCTACAAACTCTTGTCCCTTGGCTGCCGGGCTGGCCGAGTTATTCGGCAGGTGAACCAGGAATCGAACCAAGAGAGCAAGGAATAGAACGGTAGCGGCACTAACAATATTAGTCACATCAGATTTTCTTTATGTTGAGAAATCATACCCAGCTCCCAGCCATCCAATCCAGTTTGCCAACTTTCCCAACTTGGCCTGCAAGGGTGTCGGGTCATCCGACTCCTGCAGGGACAAGAGAATTCGACCATAGGTAGAATACGGCCCAACGCTGGTGACGAGATAGGTGCCGACGCCTTCAAGCACCTTGCTGCCGGAGATCAAGAAGGGATCGAGCTTGCTGGTGGCTGTTCCATCCAGGAGACGCTGCCAGACTTCGTGCCCGCTCATCTTCTTCATTTGATCGGATTCCCCAGTGGCAGAAGACTCATCGCACTTCACACCGTGGCCGGATATCAGGACTCCATCGGCTGGAATCGCATCGCCAGGCTCCAGATGGAGGATGTCACCGACGGTGACGTCAAAGATAGAGATCATGCAAGACTTGCCCGAGCGGATCGTCTTGACCGACCTGTCATTGTTCTACTCGATTAGCCTTCCCCATTATATTGCCTTCGTTAGCGAGAAAATAGATAACTTACCCGCTTGTTGAGTTTGGAGAATTGTCTTTCCTTTTGCCAATCATTCGCAGCTGTCACGGTTGTAACAATGAGAATGGCCACACATATCGCAACCCCCTCAATCCAGTCAACTCCTGAGCCGTCGCTGACAGTCTCGTATATCCCCAGAGAAAGCGAAACTATCGCCGCTATTGTTAGTAGTATGATGATTTTATCATTATATGCTTGCCAGAAGAGCTTCAAAAACCCGTTTGTTTTCCGGGCAGGCAGACGGTTCTGGCCGAAGACCCGGATGCGATCCTCGAAAGGCGAACCGGAAGATATGCTTGTGCTATATGTCAGGTTTGCTGGACCTTTGCTCGAGGGTGTCGTTGCTTGGTCGAATGTGACTCTGCCATGAACTTGTTTCTCGTCAACCGATAGCCCCGCCACCATGTTCGTCTGAAGACCCTTCTCCAAGCCTGGCAGGCCGCCCAGAGCCTTGAAAGCTGCAAGGGACTTGGGGTTTAACATTTTATTCAGCTGCCCTGGCGAAAACGCAAACTTATTATCCTCTATCTGGAAGTCCTGTTCATATTGCCGGTCCGGGCTTAGTGCTTCCGAAGGGTGAATGCCATCATATACAGGCAAGTCTGAGCCTGCTCGAGACCTGACCACCGTGTTAACAGATGAGTTGAAAGAGCCTGATCTCGAACGGAGCGTTTCTCCATCGAGAAAAGACTCTGTCGTGAGTCTTGTTGTGCTCGGCTTCAGTGTCGAGGTTCCAGATATTGATTCCGAATGTTCCGGAGGCGACAATACCTAGATAGTCAGCAATCCTGTATCCCTATTTTCAATCCGAAAACACCAGGCAATGGTATCCTTACTTCTTCTTCAGCGAAAGTGAAGGCCATATTCGATGATCTGCTATCACTCTGTTGCGGATTTGGGATAGACATATTTGCAATCAGTATGTTTCTGTCCGAGTTTGTAGAGTATAATATAGTCTTTCCATGGGTAGGATGCTTTTAGCCTGCGAGACAAGACAAATCCCCCCTGCTGTGATCGCGGGGTAGGTCATTGTCTCATCCTAATATGTTTTTTTGTAGGGAGGCTGTGCGAAGGTAGGCATCCACCCACACCCAAGCTTATACCCTTATACCTTGCTCCAATCAGAAAACCTTTTATCAATTAACCTGCCACAGCCTTTTTTCAATCTGACTTATTGCAGGGCTGCATGCAGGATCTGACATGTCCCGCATGAATGGTCAAAGACCGAGTGAAGCGCCCAAGATACGCGCCGATCTAGCCTTCCCCCCCTCTCTCCAACGACGTCTCAGCCTGTCGACTTTCTGTAACGCTCCTCTGACGATTATCAAATAGCCTGTTTTTCAGATGCTGTTACACTCATGATTTCTGCTCCCCCTCAACTCTTTTGCCGCCTGATTAGCGCACGGTGAAAAGTATGCTTGTTGCTGCGCCTCAATCCGAACCATGACAAGAAAGTCTTGGCCATATATCAAACATTTCGCTGCTTGTGGGCTGTTTTCGATTAGCGAGTTCTTCACCGACCAATCTGGGTAACATCTTGCTGGGCTATCAGAGCCGTGATCTTCTTTCCTTGTCACCGGTTAGGGCTATCATCTTGGCCCGTCACCCAATGATAAAATGATGATGACTCGCTAGTAGTAGCAAGGCTGTCGACGTGAAAGACCATAGCTGAGAGGCTCTGCCACATCTGAATCTGCCGTGGAATGCAAACAGGGTGGAGAGAACTACCCAGCTGGAGCTGCCTCACTCTTGAGGTCCAGCCTTGGGGGGGGGGGGAACTTGGAAGACGCGGTTGGTCACGTGACCCAGGCCAGAGAGGTGGCTTCAACCTACCTATCTAGGTAAGGCGTCTGGACCATGTGGCGGTGTGGTCATCTGTGGCGGTGCTAGGCAGATTCCTGGGCAGGTCACATGGCATTTTTCTTAGCAGGTCAGCCGAGGAATGCCAAATTAAGCTTATTTCAGCTCAAGACTTTTATCTGTCTGATGGCGAAGTCAACGTGCAGGTCAGGATTGCCCAGAGCCTAGAGTGGCAAGCGAAATGGCACACCAGGCCCCATTTTATTCTACCTTTTATTTTGCTTCGCCGCAAGGCTGTGAAGATGACGCTGACTCCTATAGGCAATACAATTCTTGAACCGGTTTTTATTGAAACAGACTAAATCACTATAGACAAGATGATCGATCCATTATGACATTATCATGCCCGTTCAAGGGCGACGCTAACGGGAACAATTAAGACACTCGCTCATTCACTGGGGTTTTTCGAGAACAGTCGAAGCTGCTCAGAGGAGAGAGAGGGAAAAAAAGGGGGGAGGGAAAATAAGGAGGAGAGGAAGATCGTGGCGAGGTGGTCAGGGGAATGTTCACGGCCAATAACAGTTAAACTGTACATATGTTCTAGGTCGAACGGGGTCACCTCATGTGAGAAAAAGGTGGGAAAAATAAGACCGGGGGGAATAAGAATACTATCAACATGAAGCCTGACTAGAGAGAAAGGCTAGATGATATATAAATAGAAGGAATGGGAAAGAAAAAAAGGGGGGGGAAGACAATGAAAGGGTGAGATCCGGGGTATCCATGAAAAAATAACAGCAATTCAAAGTACAGGGTAAAAAGAAAAAAAAAAAGGGGGGGGGAGGATGACGAGCAGATGTGACCAGGGACATGGAGCAGTCCAGTGTATTGAATGAAGAGCGGACAGGGGCACAAGGTCTTCGTATTCATGAACCCAAGCCCAAATAGATGGATGAATATCTCAAATATCCAAACTCTCCGTGAAGCGACTGCCTCGACTGCCATCGAGGCTCGGATGACTGCGGCCCAAGCCGTCGGGGCGCCGTGGCATCGGGGGAACAGGGGGAATCAAGGCACTCTGCGGCTGAGGGAAGGCTCGTGCAGGGACTGCTACATCTGGCGAGGCGACATTGACCGAGCTGGCGACGGGGGTACGAGCCGGGGATGGGCGAATGACAATGATAGCATCGTCAGACTCCTGACTCTCGCGAGTGTAGCTGGCGTCCAGGGGAACACCACGCGGGTTGGTCGTCGGAGCAGTAGCATAGGGACCGGTTCGGGACTGGGACGGAGACAGCGGTACAACAATGCTGGGCTCGGTTCCCGTCGGCGAGTCGACTTCCATTCCACCACCGTATCCATCACTGCCTGGCTGAAAGACGGACGGAAGCTTGCGGCCGGAGATCTTTTGGAAGCCCCGTTCACTGGTTTCCGAGCCTAATGTGCTCCCAGTCAAAGTAGTCTGGTTTGATTGCCGCCACCGTTTCATGAATGAAGGCGAAAGCGCTGCTGCGAACAGCGGGTCATTGCTTGAACGCCGTGAAGTCATCTCTGCAGATCGGGGGATTGACCCTTGTCCAGTGACAGACCCTGCAGTACCGTGCTCAGAGGAGAGGGAACCGGCGGCTTGGATAGTCCGCAAAAAGCTTTTGCGGCGATGAACCAGGAATAAAGCTGCAATGAGTAACAAAACAATGCCAGCAACGCCGCCAACAACTCCACCAACTATCTTGGCAGTGCTCTCGGTGTCAGTTGAAGAAGAAGATGAAGAAGAAGAACCCGAGGTGTCTGTGCCGTTGACAGATGACTGCACAGAATTTGTCGCAGATGTCGCGCTTTGTGTCGAAACTGTTGCCGTTGCACCCCATCCGGTACTGCTGGTCCAGCTGGTACCTGTTGAAGTCTCCGATGACTGGAAGTACCAAATAGACTGTGTGGTGGAGGAAGCGGTGTCAGTGAACGCGGGGAAGGTTGTATTTGCACTCGTGGTGGTCGATTCAGAATATGTACTGGAGGTAGAGATACTAGGGATGGTCGTTGAAGCCCCTGAACCGGCAGCAAAGGTCGTGGGAACACTGGTTGTAGAGATAGTCGCCTTGGATGAAGCAAGCGAGGAGCTTCCAGGATTGGTATACGCCGCTGGGACGGCACTCGTCCGCGTTGTAGTGGGGGTCTCGCTCCAGGGCGAGGTGTAGGGTGTTGTTGAAGTAGTGATTGAAGAAGTATTGGAGGTATATGCAGTTGTTGGGGCTGTCGCCGTATCGGACTCTACTGTTATCGCAAGAGAAACGGATAAAGAAGCAGAGACAGACAGATAGGGAGTGGACTCAGTGAGCGTTGCGGTGTCGACGGTGGTCGGTACGCTGACGGTCAGAACATCCTGTGACGAGACATCGGCTTGTCGCTCCCACAAAGGCAGTTGGGGCTCCTCTGCGGGGAGTTTAATCAATGCGACGCCATGCGGGCTACCAAAGATAGGGCTATCTCCGTCAATTCCTCCCAGTTTGTCCTCGTCACCGTGCCCATGAGAGTGCTTCTTTTTTGTCTTGCCAGACTGAAGGTGCCGGATATGGCCATGGCGCGCCATGGCGCCCGAGAAACGGAAGAAAAAGCGATTATAGTCACCCGCCGTCCGTGCGGGGATATAGATAGAAATGTGCAGAGAATGTAGAGATGGCCAGCAATCGAATGAGATGAACCTGCGCGAGACTGGCGCGATTGGATGTCGAAAGGAGAGAATGGACAAGCCCGGGAAAAAGACGACCCAATCGATGCGATGATGAATATCGACGGAGAAAAAGGAGATTCGCCTCTGCCTTGACAGAAAAAAGAGCGAGTCAGGCAGTAGTTATTGTGAGGGGAATGTTTTGAAGGAGTGGACGTCAGCGAGCTGACGAGAATCGATAACGAGTGACCAGGGGGGGGGGGGGGGGGGGGAAGGATAAAAAGAAAAAAAGAATTGATCTAGAAGAGGGTCAGCAATAGCAATCAACAGTTAGAGTATCGTACTCTTCAAGAGTATACCTTGTCAAGAAATCTCCATCCTGCCCATCCTCTTCGCAACGGGTGAGGAGCGGCGAGGTGAGGTCGCGAACGTGAGAACAACCAGGACCAGGTTTGTGGTGGACGCCGTACCTGTTTAGCTGGTTAGTGGACTGATGGGAGGGGGGAACTTGACGGTGGACACACGGGAAAGGATCGCTTCTGCTAATGGCTAGTTACTTTATTATTATTATTGTTGTTAATGTTATTACGGCCTCGCTTGCCAGGGTCCACGGTGGTAGGACCCAGTTCCAGACCTTGTGGCCGTATGTAGTACTCCGTAGGCAGTGGACACAGTGACGACACTTTGAAGAGGGAGAGCGACAGAAATAGAACGGGAGAGAACGGAAATTATTCTGAGTCGAGGAGGAAAGGAGAGAAAGAGTAGATACTAGCAAGTTAAGTAGATGCTCAACTGCCATGCACTCGCTGTCTCCTGGCTCGTGTCCCCTGGAAACGAGATGAGATGAGCAGGAGACGAGCGTCGTGGGAAAGACAGGCAGAGGCAGACGCAAGACCCAAACTTCCACTTGCGACCAGAAGCAGCTCCTTCCCCCTCCGGCCAGTTCGACGTGCCAAGACGCTAGCAAAAGCCAGCTGACGAATCGTCGGCGCCGGTCAGATGCCAAGCTGCTATTTCGGGGCCCGGCCCAGCTTCGATGGAGATGCGCTAGGCTCGAGGAGGTCTAGTCAGGAACACTAGACAGACCGTTTAGTGTTGGGACACGCAGGCGCTAGTCCCAAAGGGGGCTTTTGTTTAATTACTGTGCCGTCTAGGAAAATGAGAGGCTGCAAGGAACGGAGGCCAGGATTTGGTAATAATTAATGCACTCTGTAACCAGCCATTAACCTACTTTAATTACTATCTAGTTATACTCTGTAGTGAGAGCTTAGATTCTAATTAGTCCTTGCTGATCATGTTGCAATTTCAACTGCAGAGCAATAGTAGTAGGGTCCTAGGTACTTATGAACTAGTAATTGGTAGATAGGAGAAAATCAATAGTATCAGTATCATCAGTACTATGGCTACCTAGGTACTAGGTAGTTTCTAACTAAGTACCTAGTACTAAGTCACTAAGTGCTATACTGACTAGGGTATCAATACGAGGTACTACATGGTTAACCATATGTACTCCGTCGAATGTTCAATGTACTACTATGGTCATGAGATTTTATCTTACTAAGCTTTGCAAAAGCTTTCCTATCGAATAACAAGCCAGTATTATTAACCTTTACCAAGATGCTTCATTAAGACTCTAAAAATGTCTACTCCAGTATTTCAGACAGCGACATCCATACAACTTCAATATGAGCTTATTACTGATTTTAGCATTCAACCAAATACAATTGCATCAGCTCTCCATATATAAATGTCTCTAGCTAGATAAGTGAAAACTGCTATTAAGATAGGCTATAAAATATTATCTACCCTAACAGTACTCAATATAATAATGTTAGGAACATACAGAGCAACTATAGGTAATCTGAAATACCTAAACACTATAGGTGCCAGGTACCTAGATTGGAAACCTAACCTACTAGGTACCTACCTACTACCTAAGGTAGGTAAAGTACCTGGGTATTAAGTCACAAGGGTCATGATATCAGGCAGTTCTTATGCTTATAATATCAAAGTAGTGACATTAATCAGTCTACTTGAAGATATAAACTGGCAGTGTCAATATATACTATCAATATAAACATGACAGATAAGTGGCACTACATACTATTTAGACAGTACTTATACTTCCATAATCGACCATCTTATACAGGTAATCACTACCTACTAATATACCATCTCCATCTATAGCATGGATCAAAGTAGAACCTACCTATTCATGACAGCTGTCAAACAGCCACGCTGATCTTACCCCTTGCATCCTATGGAATGCTTAACAACATCAGAGAGAGAAAAAGTATTACTGAACTACATCGGTAGTACACCGCATGGAACAAACTGAGCATTCTAGTATTTACACTGGGCTGTGTTCTGTCTTCCGGAAACCTTAAAAGAACTACCGCAACCGCAGCCACGACTAAGGATGGGTATTATGAAGAGCTCAGAATGTCTCAAGGTCATCGGCACCAGCTCCAGCCTCGGCCTCGGCCTCGGCATCGGGGATTTCAAAACCCTCCTAGAGAATATGTTAAATAAGAAGAGAAAGGGAGAGAGAGGGAGAAACGTACCTCCGTCGAGTACAGAATTCCTTGGATATGCTTGATATAACTATCCTCATGGGACTCGAGCTCGGGATCGGCCTCAATAGCGCTCTGAAGCAGCAGCTCAATGTCCCGCAGTTTGGAAAAGTAAAAGTCGCGCTCCTTCTCCAGGCCGGCAATGGCCTCCTTTTGCTCGGCGATCTGGTTCTGCAGGGCCAGCACGTTGGAAGGGGTGGCTTCGCCTGCCCGGTGCGCAGAGGGGCCGCGGGGGCCACGCGCGCTGCCGGGAACAACCGTCGGGGTGGTGCCTCGTCGTGTCGCCGACGCGGAGCTGGCACCCGAGCGCGATCCAGAGGCCGGGGGGGCGCCCGACGCCTTGCGCCGCGCGACCGCATCGTACTCGCCGCCGGGGTAATGCTGGTCCCAGTACCGCTTGGTCCACTGCAGGAACTCGAGGTTGTCCTGCATCTTGCATTTCGTGAGCATTTCGACGGGCACGGGCTTGTCAACCTGGTGGCGGGAAAAGATGTCTGCTATGTCAGAACCGGTTCTGCTCCTTTCATATCCACCCTAGTTATTCTTCCCCCCCCCCCTCGCGCGCACGTACTTTGTAGAATCTTGAAGTTTTGGAGGTAAGCGTACTCGGTGTTGACGTTAAACTTGACACGCGCCATGGGGACGTCCACTAATCGAGTTAGTATCGTAGAAAAAGACAAGAGATACACATATATATTTTCCAAAAGAAGAGAGACAGAGAGAGGAATAAGGCTCACTGTATATCGAATCAAAGATCTGACACAACGCAGCACTACATCATCATTAAACCGAATCCAAATCTTTCTTGTTGCGGAACGACAGCGCGACGTACCCAGTGCCGCACTGCTCGATCTTAGTGAGATTCAGCTGCAGCAGGTTGTTCAGCCATGCCAGCAGCTCTTGTCTGGGATCATCAGTATATACACCTCATCTAATATGCTTTCAAGGTATAGTAGCTAGGGGCCAGCAGAGGAGAGGCATAGCATACCTGGATTCACCCATGGTGGGGTAGTGATAAATTCGAACGCTGGAACGAAAGGAGAGAGAGCAAAAAAGAAGAAAGACTAGAAGCAGGAAGACTGCAGATCGGGGAGAAGCCTCAAAGACGAGTAGACAAGTCAGACGACCTCCTCAGACGGTTTGTCTGGAGTGTGTTCGAGATGGGAATCGAACAGGCACAGATTCAGTTTGTTTGTTGCGTTGCCAAAACCCACGGGTCGTTGGCGCTAGTGTGGGCCAATCAGGGGATTGATGGCCTGAGGCAGAATATCAGGCACAGATGTTCCTGCCTAAGGCACGAACGGAAGGAGAAAACTCGAGTACCAAAGAAGAAGATAATAATATGCTCAGGCAAGTACCTAGGCAAGACCTTGATTGATCTAACTAATTAGATGTCTATCGCTAATGTACTCTATCATGCAATCGTAATAGCCAATAAATAACAAAAGAAGCCAGGCAAACAAAGCTACCACTCCTCCAAAAGTTCGATTCCATCCAGGCCGTAGCCGAAATCCATGATGACGGCACGCGAGTCCTGGCTGGTGGCGACGATACGGCGGTAGTCGGACTTGACCGAGAGCATCCAAGAGGTAGTCCATCCTGGGAGATTGATGGAGAGGGCACCGGTGTTGACGTCGAAGACCTTGACGCTCATGTCGTAACTTCCGCTGACGATGCGGCCGTTGAGGCTGTCAAGGTGCAGCGAGCGGACGAGCCCTTCGTGGCCCTCGAGCTCCTGGACGAGATCGCCCGTGTTGGCGTCGAACTGGTAGATGACCTTGTCGTTGCCACCGGTGAGGATGGTGCGGGCATCTTCGCTGAACTCGATGCATGCCAGGCCGCGGTCCTTGCTGGGGAATTCCTTAACGCACGTTCCCGAGGTGATGTTCCACAGCTTAGCCACCCCGTCACCGCTCGCCGACACGATCAGGTCCCCGCGCAGCTGCACCGCGTTGACAGGGCCCTCGTGGCCAAGCAGCTTCTTGACCAAAGCCCCCGTCTGTCGGTCCCACACACAGATCGTGCTGTCCTTGGAGCACGAGACGATGTACCGGTCGTCGAAGCACACGTCCAACACCCCAGCCCGGTGACCTTGCAGTCGCCGGATGGGCCGGTAGTCGTTGCGCACGTCGTACACGATGCAGGTATAGTCCGAGGACCCTGTTACCAGGATCTCGTCGTCGAACTGCAGGCACAGGATCGATGCGCTGTGGTAGTTCTCTGCGCCAGGCAGCTCAAACGGCTCCGCCTCATCCGGAGCGGACGAGGGCGGGGAGATGGTGAGAAAGGGAGCCTTGCCGGTCGACTGCTGCGCCGGGTTGTTCATGGGACCAGCGCTAGACGAGTTGCCGGGCGAGGGTCCAATAATCTTGCGGCAGGCCCAGGGGTAGTGAGCATCCCAGACACGGATGGTTCGGTCGCGGGAACCCGTGATAATTTTGTCCCTGAATCTGTTAGCCAGCGAGAACTTTTTTTCATTTATGTGTCTTTCAGGCAGAACATACTCATCAAACTGTGCACAATAGACACTATCTTGGTGTCCATTTAAATAGATGGCGGCCGCCTTGCCTTCTTTCCACCGATATTCAAGGGCCCGGCGCACGAGGAACATCTTCTTCCAGTCCTGGTTGGGCATTGTCTTTCCCAGGCCTGATGACTGCTTCTTCTTGGTAGCAGTGGCGCTGGCCCGGTGACGGCCATGAGCCTGGCGGAACACATGTCGCCAGACGTGATGCGACGAGGCTTGGTCGCGCCAGGCGGATGAGACCAGCTCGGCACGCATCAAAGAGTCGGGGTCAAGATACGCCAGGACCTGTGCCATGACCTCGGACGGTAAGTACGCCACGGGGTCTAAAGAGTTAGCAGGAGAAACGAGAGAGAGAGAGAGAGAGAGAACTGACCACATCGGGACATGGATGGAAGACCAGATAATTCCGACCTATCACGCAAATCGATTCCGATCCCCGACTCCGAGTCGAGCGCGACTCTCTGTTCGGCGACCTTGGCTGCATGGCGCTCAGCGCGAGCCAGCTCGTTCTGGGCGGCGGCGGCGGCTCGAGCCGCGGCTCCGGCGGAAAGAGAGTTGGGAAGAATGGGAGGCTGTTCCAGCCCGCGTCCGGGGATAGGTGCGGTGATCAACGTGGTGGGCGCATAGAAGCTGTGCAGGGCGGACACACTGTTGAGCGAGGGGCGTCGGTTGATACTGGGCTCACGGCACCAGGGGGAGTGCGAGTCCCCGCCATTGCCAGACACATTCCGTCTGTGACCGGTTGTTCCCTCCTCATGCGCGGCATGCTTGGACGACGACTTGTGACGGATCGAGACGGACAGACGGCGGCCCAGCGCCCGCAGGCCGCCGACCGGGTGACGCAGGTGCGAGAAGCTCTTGGCCGCCCCCCGTCGTCGGGGCGGCGGCGGCACAGTGTGGTCTTTCTCTTCTAAAACGCATTCTTTGTTGAAGACTTCCACCAAGGTTTGTTCTTGTTCATCGCAGAGACTGGCATCCACATCCAGGTTCAGACCACAGCTCGAGCCTTGATGGTGGCTCCAGGGGATGGAGGGGGCGGTCGGGGGGTTGGTCGCCGTGCGAGGCCGTTGTCTGCGAAGGGTGGTCTGGGGGGTCATGGCGAAAGGCGGCACCAAAAGAAAAATAAGTAATGACGACGTCTAGCCCAAGAGATTCTTTCTCATCTAATAATGACTGGCAAGGTCGGGGGTATTCGAGTGAGGAGTACGGAGTAATGGGAGGAGACAATAAGGCGGATCTCTGTCTGTACGAAGCAGCAAGGGGTATTATTGGAAAGCCAGAAAAAAAAAAGCAGAAAACGAATAGAATTGACGAAAACTCCAATAGATATAAAAGAAAGATATATAGCCAGACCACGCACACACAAAAAAGAAAAAGAACAGACTCCAGAGTATCCAAATGAAAGAGAAGAGAGAGTTGGGTATAAAAGGCAGCGCAGAGACCGACCGTTCCTATTTTTTTTTCCCCTTCCTTCTGTGTGGTTGGTGCAAACACACCCAATGCGGCCACAACTCAGGGGTGGGTGGCAACAGCGAAAAAAAAAAGAAAATTCTTAGCCTTCCATGGAAGAAAAAGAAAGAAAAAACTTTGATATGTCAGGATGATCCGTTTATCCAGAGATATCGGCTGAAATTTGCTGGTCGAGACCAAGAAACGAATTCGAGGGGGGGAAATTATAATGCTACAAGGTTAATAAAATAAAAATAAAGGAAAACTCTGACGAGCAGAGATAAGACCCAACGTCGGGCATCATTCGGTGATGGATTTGTATACGGAGGATTCCGGTCAGTCCAGGTACGGAGTACTGCGTAGGCGTTCTGTTGAATAGTCTGCTCTACGGAGTACAGGACTCTTTCAGTCAATATCTGATCTGCGTGAGCCCTGTCTCCACTACCCCGTGGGGTACCTAGGTGGAGGAGTTCCGTGGACTATACTAAGTGTTTCATAGTATAATAATAGACAGCTAACTCGCAGTTGAGATGGTGTATTTGAAGTTGAACTATGACCAGTCAATGATTCCTGAGATATGGATTGATTTGTGTGCGCCCTAAGACATTTGAGGTTAGGTGCATCACGGGGGGTCGAGAGCCCTGATTCCGCTCTTCCGAACAGGACCTGAGGCAACAATTGTCTCTGACAAAATAAAATAAAAAAGAAGGGTAGAAAAACAAGAACGTCAAGGAAACAAGGTGTATATCTATACTTCTATCTAATATCTATAAGACCCTTAGTCATCGAGGACCTTGTGACAAAAGTCGAGGACCTTGGAGACTCGACTACAAGCATGTCGACACACTCTCTAAAACACCTTGTCATATCCCGTGAGGGTGAAGCGGTAACGCACATCCCCCTTCTTCATGCGCAGCATGGCTTCCTTGAGCCCCTCCTCGCCGATCTGGATGGTCTCGACCCAGCTCTTGATGCCCTTATCGGCGGCGAGCTGCAACATCTGCAGCATCTCCCGCCGACTGCCCAGATGACTTGCCCCGATGAGCACGCCGTTGGCGATCAGGTTCTGAGCCTTGATGACCTGGCCCTCCTCCTCGGGCAGTCCGACACTGACCCAGCGGCCATGCACGTCCATCATGGACAGGTACTTTGCGAGATCGAACCCGGCCGACGAATTCGCGCAGTTGACGATGACGTCGAACGAGAAGCGATGCGGCACCTCCCAGTCCTGCTCGGCGGTGGCGATGAACCCGTCGGCGCCCAGTTTCCGCGCGTCTTCCTCCTTGGCCCGCGTGCGCGAGATCGCCCACGTCTCAGCCCCCAACGCCTTGGCGAACAGAACCCCAAAGTGTCCGATGCCGCCTAATCCGACGATTCCAACCTTCTTGCCTGGGCCCGCTCCATTGCGCACCAGCGGGGAAAACGCCGTGATCCCGGCACACAACATGGGGGCGACAAGGGTCGTGTCGAGGGCGTCAGGGATGGGAAACACCCAGTGCTCGTGGGCGCGGACGTGCGACGAATACCCGCCCTGCAGGACGAGATCGGTGCCCGGCCAGGTCGAGCCGTACGTGTCGAGGCAGAGGACGGGGCAGTAGGTCTCGTTGTCGTTCTTGCATTGCTTGCACTCGCCGCAGGAGAGACACTGTGCCCCGACGCCCACGCGTTGCCCGGGTTGGACGCTGGTCACTTTCGGGCCTACACGGACCGCCCGACCGACGATTTCTAAAGATCAGGTTTTAGTTTTTTTCTCTACTCTGATACCTTGAGATATATGGCTGACAGCTTACCATGTCCCACGCACAGAGGAAACTTTTGCTCTCCCCATCCACCTAAAAAGTCAATATATCTATTTTTTTTTTTTTGCGCTGAAATACTAGTTACTAACCACTCAGTGTGTGCACGTCACTGCCACAGACTCCGCATGCCTCGACCTTGATATCGATGTCTGTATCATGAGCGCTGTCCGGTTGACTCTAGCTACCTACTCAGGGCTCACCATGTTCGCCGAACGGTTTCAGGGGAAACTATCATCGTCAGGGAAGAAAGAAAGACTAGCAGATACAACGAGACCTACCGATCGCTTGTGGAAGGTGGTAAAGGTCTCCGGGCTGTCGACCTGGAACCCTTGCGCTTCGTCGGGGTACGGCATGTCAGATGGTTGAAGCAATACTAGCAGAAAAGCGACAATTGATGAATATTGAGAATCCTTTGTAATGAGAATATGGGAGGGGCTGTCTTTAATACCCACTCAGTTACTAGAGACATTCAACAGATAGTACATACCAGAAAATAGTCCTACTGAGTGGATCATCTTTCATTCTCTTCTCCATTCTCCTTTTTTCTTATTCCATTTATCTTTCTGTTCTATTCTTATTCTATCAATCATTCTATCAATTGTTCTATCAATTATTCTATCAATCATTCTATCAATTGTATTCTATTCAATTATTATCTTTCCCTCTCACCCCACTTCGCGTGGGGTGACCCGATATTCTATTATCAGACTCCACTGAAAGTATCGGAGGGTGAATCTCAAATCCACCTATTAGATTAGAACAGGTCTGTTTATGCCGAACGGAGTACTGCCGATATAGTTATACCTGGTCTACGTAGAAGAGAGCGATATGAACATCGTATATACTAATAGTTATAGTAGGTATTAAAAAGCATCCGGCAACGACCTCTCCACCTCCATTGCCTTCTCGATCCCACTCGCCACAGCCTTGACCTGCTCCTCGGTCAATCTTCCCAACGGCCGTCTCGGAAAGCCACCGTACCCGTAATAACTGTGGATCGCACTCTTGGTGCCCGGGATGGCCGCCTTGGTAAGCACCCAGTCCGCCTGGCTGAGGAGTTTCTGAGCCTCAATGGCTTCGGCGATCTTGCCCTCGCTCCAGAGGGTGAAGATCTGCACACACAGCCGGGGGAGGACGTTTGCTCCGCCGGCGAGAATGGCGGAACCGCCCGAAACAAGAGTCTGGAGGGTGAAATCCGCGATTCCTCCAAAAGCGACGTATCCAGAGGTACTAGTATCGGAAGAAGAGGTAGGGGCTAACGGCGAGACGGGGGTGACGGCGTTCAAAGCACGAGCGACACGGGTGAGTTTCCCGGTGTTCGCACAGGTGAACTTTGTACCGACAATGTTCGGGTGCTGCGAGATGCGAATGATCAGGTCGGAGTCCATGTCGATGCCCGCCACGGCGCCCGGGTAGTTGTACAGGATCAGCGGGATGGGCGAGCCGTCGGCGACGGCGGTGAAATACTCGTACAGGGTCTCGTCGTTGCCCGTGGCGTAGCGGTAGTAGCTGGGGGGCACGACCAGGGCGTATTCGCCTCCTGCCGCGGCGGACTCACGGCACAACTCGATGGTGCCTCGGATGCTCTGCTCCGAAGACCCGACGATCACGGGGACGGCCGTGAAGCCGGCCTCGTCGAGGGCGGCACGTGTTTCGCGCGTGACCGTCTGGCGCTCGGCGCGCGTCAGGTGCACCGCCTCGCCGTTGGAGCCCATGGTCACCAGGCCGACAAGCCCGGCTTTGGCCAGGCGCACGGCGTGTTTGCGGATGGTCGGGATGTCCAGCTCTTCGGACTCGGTGAAGAAGGTCATGGTTGGAGCGTAAGCTCCGGGGCGGAGAGGCGTAGGCATGTTGGAGAAGATCTAGGTACTGGTAGACAATTAAAGGGTTTAGGGATTGGTAGATATGAATGATGAGAGGTATGAGCTGGTAATTGCTAGGTATATAAATATACCCTAAATACCCATCTATACTATCTATTCAGAACCCCGCCTTCCTAATCTGCTTCCCCGGCCCCGCTCGGGTATTTTATATCGGCGGAAATTATCCACCAATAGGAATTTTGACGGCTTTCCTACCAAGTATTACCAGAGTAATATACAGAATACCTAGTACCTACCTACCTACTAAGTACCTTAGGTAGGAGGTACCTAGTAGTCTACCTAGGTACCAAGGTAGGTAGGTAGAGAGTACTAGGTACTACCTGTTACCTAAGATGGTGAATGATCGGTAATTTACACTGGAACAGGGTGGAGGTTTCCTGTAGATACTCCTCCTCCGTACTGGAAATACTCCGTGTCGGCTATAGGACGGGTATATAAACCCCTCCTCAGTGAATACTACGACCAGGTAGAGACTCTAATTCAGATTTCATAGTAATCATGGCCCCTCCAGATGTGTTGATGGTAAGCTAGACTTTTATTGATCCCACAATCCTTTTCTAATATGGATGGTCTAGGTCGGCACCGGCGAGTACACCACCGGCTTCGTCGGCGGAGCTGCCTCAGGCTCCGACAAGAAGGTCGGCGTCGTGGGCCTGACCATGTTCGACCTGCGGCGACGGGGGAAGGTGGGCAAGTTGAGCATGGTGGGAGTATCTGGGAAGAAATACCCCGGGATTCGTAAGAACAGACTTACTAATAAAGCTAGGAGAAGTAAGAAGGCAATGCTGATGAAGAGACTAGGAAACCACCTGCACAAGAACATCTCGGAAGCGTACAACGGACTGGACGTCTCGTTCACCTCCTTCCCGGCAGACGACCAAACCGATCCAGACGCCTACAAGGCCGCGATTGACGCCCTGTCGCCCGGCTCGGCCATCACCATCTTCACGCCCGACACGACGCACTTCCCCATTGCGCTGTACGCGATCGAGCGCGGCATACACGTGCTCATCACCAAGCCCGCGACCAAACTGCTCGCCCACCATCTCGAGCTGCTGGAGGCGTCCCGCAAGCACAACGTCTTCGTGTTTGTCGAGCACCACAAACGCTTCGACCCGGCGTACGCCGACGCGCGCAACCGCGCAAAGTCCCTAGGCGACTTCAACTACTTCTACAGCTACATGAGCCAGCCCAAGAGCCAGCTGCAGACCTTCAGCGCCTGGGCAGGCAAGGACTCCGACATCTCCTACTACCTCAACTCGCACCATATCGACATCAACGAAAGCATGGTCCCCGATTATACGCCTATCAGAGTCACCGCGTCGGCGTCAGCCGGCACCGCCGCCGCCTTGGGTTGCGTCCCGGAGACGGAAGATACCATCACCCTCCTCGTTGACTGGAGACGAAAGGATGATCCCTCCAAGCTTGCCTCGGGCGTTTATACTGCTTCCTGGACTGCGCCGCAGGGGGCAGGCGTCCACTCGAACCAATACTTCCATTGTCAGCATTCTCTTTCCTTTTCCTTTCCTTACTGTTACCGTTTATGCAAGTGCTTACTCTTTAGATATGGGAGCCAAAGGAGAAATCCGCATCAACCAAGCCAAACGCGGCTACGACGTCACAGAAGATGAAGCCGGGCTGACCTGGTACAACCCGTAAGTAGATGAAAACATAATTCATGAGATTGAAACAGACGGAGTAACTAAATGAAAAAGCTTCTATATGCGCTACGCTCCCGACGAAGAAGGCAATTTCGCCGGCCAGACAGGATACGGATACATCAGTTTCGAGAAGTTTGTCGACGCAGTCACGGCCTTGAACGAGGGGCGCGTCACCCTCGCAGAGTTGGATGCCAGGCCTCTGCCCACCTTGCAAAATACGATTGCCACCACGGCCATTCTGAACGCGGGGCGTATCTCTCTGGATGAGAGGCGTCCGGTGGAGATTGTTTCCGAGGCTGGCAAGTGGGAGTTGAAGTGATATCTAAAGAATCAACTGTTACTATTAAACGAAGAATCAACTCTTATTAAATAGATTCACTGTATAAAACTGTAATTATCGACGCAGCTTGCGCACTTTCCGACAGTCCGGACAGTACCATTTCGTCGTCCGGGAAGGGACCTCGGACAGCCCGACGCAGTCGAGATGGAACCACTCTTTGTCGCACTAGAAAGTGTCAGCTAGATCTTAAACCCCATTAGAAGAAAAACATACATCCTGGTTCTCGCAACAGATCATCGTCCCGAAACTCACGTCGCCGCATAGACAGTACCGTGGCTCGTTCGGGTCAATCTCCTCCAGCACCCCGTCTTCGTCGATCCGGATGTCCTGATTCCCCGTCATGGAATCCATCTCGCGCAACCCAAACCGTTTCTTCGTCGGCTTCGCCTTGCGTCGTCCGTGGCTGATCGCGGCGCCACCCCCGGGCCCAGACTGCACGATCCCCGGCGCCGGGCGTTTGCGCCGTCGAGGCGCTCCGCCCCCACTCACGCTAGGCGGTCGTGACGACGACTCGCCAGGGCCGGGGGCCTTCCATGCCGGCGTCATGCTGCGCGGCCGAAGATCGCGTCCACCGGCGCCCGGAGCAGGAGTGCTGGTGGTGGTGGTAACGGTAAGCATGCCGGTCGGTTCGGCGGACGTGGCCTGCGACCGTCGTTGAGAAGAAGGCCGCGTGGCTGGTGGTGGGGTAAGCGTCGAGGTGAACACTGCAGGGCCGGCCACCACCAATCCCTTCGAGGCCACCGGCGACAGCCGTGGGGACGCCGCTTTCGTCAGGTCGGTCTCGCCGACGGAGGAGGTATTGGCGGGCGTGGTGAGATGATCCTTGCCGGATTTCCGTCGTTTGGCGGCGCTGCGTAGCGAGCTCGCCGTCTCAGACTCTGGCTGCTGCGGCGCGGCGGAGGCTTGGTCCTCCCCGACGGTCACCTCCTCGAACTTTCTCTTCTTCGACGACTTTCCTTTCTCCTTGCTGGTAGATGGGGCGGTGGTACTGGCGGCTGCCGGACCAGCGGTAGAAGGACGGTCAGCCGAAGTACTGAACAAAGTCTTCATACTAGAACCCACGTCACTCAGCCGTTTTGTTGCCAATTCTGCTTCCGCTGCGGCCTGCGCCGCCTGCTCACGAGCCAGGTTCTCCCGCTTGAGCTTCTTGGCCTCGTTTAATTTCATGCCGCGGTTGCTTAGCTTGGTCTCAGTCGGAATCATCGCGTCTTGGGTGGCGTCCGTTTTGCGCATCAACTTGCCAGGTACATAGGTGTTCATCACATCATCGCAGTCCACAAATTCAGTCCCCGCAGCCTCGGCGGCCGATTTGGCAGCACGGTATGCCTCCCATCCGCGGCCACGCAGGGCCAGCTCGCGGTGGATCATCACTTCGCTTGGCTGCCAGACCGCGTTCTTCTTCATCTTCTTGCGCAGCTTCGTCATCTCCCAGTCCGTCAGGCGCAGCCAGGGCAGGTCTTCACTGCCCGCCTTGGCATCCTCTGGAGGGGGCTTTAATAACGCTAGAGCGTTGCTGGTTGTGATTCCGACCACCGAGCGCTGTCGAGACGGACCACTACCGCCGCCAGCACCGGTGCCTCCTCCGCCTCCTGACACTCTCGGTCTTCGCGCAGTAGTGTTGTCTTTACGATTGGCCGAGGATTTGGGAGTAGGTGCTGTTGGTTGCTGCACGGAGTCAGAACTCCGCAGTTTGGGGTCCCCTTCGGCATCGGAATGTTCTGTACTATCGATGGGGGAGTCAGGGTGTAAGCCAGCGAGGTGTTCCGCGACGATGACGGATCGTCGACTTCTCGAAGACTTTTGTGGAGGCGCCGCGGTGGCAGATCGACGGCCATCCAAGCGTAAGGTGATACGCGGCGTGGTGGTCTGGACGGAGGAGGTGGCCGTCTCCTTCTTTGCGGTCCGGACGCGTTTATTGTCCGACAGGTCCGGGGCGGCGGAGGTCTCGCGCGAAGGGGGTTTCGGCAGGGCGTGGAGCTTCTGTCGGATGGAGTCGAGCCGGTCAAAGTGACGGTCAATCACGTCGTAAAGGCGACAGGCCTCGGCGTAGGAGGCCTCGCGGGCGTTGATGGCCTGGTCCAGCTGGGCGGAGATCTCCTTGCGCAGGCACGGCGGATCCGGTCGCGCGTCCGGCGGCAGATCGGGCAGCTGGCCGTAGGTGCGTGTGAGTTCGTGGATGGTCTGGGCAGAGTCGAGGTAGCGCTTGTCCAGGCCCCGGATGAGGGTGAGGGAGCGAATGAGATCGGCGGGCAGGTATTCGGTGTAGTCGATGTAGTCGGTGACAGTGGCCTGGGCATCAGGATCAAAGGGGCCATCGAGAATGAGGCCCCCGCCATCGTCGGCGTAGTCGGTCATCATGGATTGCAGGAAGCGCAACAGGGGCACGGCAACGGTGTCCAGGCGGGTGGGAAGGGCTGCTGCTAGATGGTGGGCACCACCATCCGCGAGGCCATCGGATCGCAAACTCAGCGCTGATGCATGCAGAGCCGCTTGGCACAGACCGGAGGGGCCTGTAACAAGCGCACTGGAATGTTCTGTCGTCACGTCGTGGCGATGGACACGGCAGGGGCCAGGGCAGGGGGGAGGAGAGAGTCGCCGTCTGTTGTCGTCGCGACATGGAAGGATCAACATTATTCCGTATTACTATTACTATCACTCTTACTATCACTCTTGCAGTATTATTATTATTATTATTATTATATTATTATACTATTAATATTAATATTTCTATACTATTACTATCATTATTATCAAGGTCATCTAGAGTTTCCTAATAGTAGGAATCATGGTAGGTTACAAGTACAACAGTTGTCAATTATACTATGAGTCACTAATAACAGTTGAAAGTATTAACTACCAGGCTACAAGAAGACAATACAGTAATGAATAGACAGAATATTAAAGAAGCACACTATTTCATTCAATATTCCTCAATATTCCTCAATATCTCTCTTCACTATTTCACTGCTGGTTTGCTCGGTTTGCTTGTCATGGCTCTTACCCGATCTGGACACTGACAAACGACCCTCACCGTCTCGTTTCCCCTCCCGACCTCCTTCTGAGTTTTCTTCCCTGTCGTCTGCTTGATGGATGCTAAGACTGCAATATGGGCCGATCAGAGCGTCTGAAACTTCTCTTTGCTGGAGATGAGGCTCTTCTCCAGGTGGACACGCAGCGAAATATTGCACCTGTTGTCGGAGACGGAGACAGAGAGAAAGACAAAGACAAACCCACTCTCTCTGAAAAAATTCCCAACGAAACAGTGACTCATGTTGCAGAATCAGACTCTAATCAGAGCGGAGGGGTTCAACTGACGACTCAACTACCTCAGGTTCTCCAGTCAATTGAGATGCTCCGTGTCGATGAGCCCCTAGAAACGGTGAATCAACAGCAAGGGAAGTGGGAAACAGACCCAGTTCTCCATCCCGAACAGCTCCCTGTTGAAAATGCTTTCTCGCCGCTGCTTGCAGTGTCGCGTTTCCCATACAAATACATCCGAGGGGACCTGTCTCAAGCGGTGGCCAAGAAGTTCTTTGATGGAGGAAAATTCTGGACGCGAGGCTGGGATTTGTGAGTGCTGATTTGTCCTTCGTATCAATTTTCTTTCAAGTTAACGGTCACGCTTCAAGATATTACATTCACGTTCCCCCCTCCGTGGGATATCGTCCACTGCTTTTAGTACCTACTTCGCAGGCAGAACGTTTTCTTACCGAGATTAACGAGGCTCTGGAATGTGACCTGTCAATGAGTAAAGATGGTCGACTCGGCCTGGTTCTCGTTTTCTCAAACAACAATGCCCCGAAACCGACTTACCTTGGCAAATCCACTAATAAACAGACCAAGGACGAGTTGGAACAGAGCATCCCTGAGTCTGTTGAGGTCTACAGTCAAGATGGCTATCCTGTCGACTGTGAAAAAGACCAGAGAGCTCTATTCGATGACTTCTGCAAGATGATTGAAGCAGGCGTCGACGCCACAAAGAACAAGAAGGCGAGCAAAGCGAGAAAGCAAGAATTCCGCCTTCAGTTCCAGCACGGCTGGGCCCGTTGTCTACGCCGCACACAATGCTACTTTGGCCTTCGTCCCCGCTGTTCCCGCGATGAGCTTGGAGCTCACCACTCAAGCAATGAGCCGCTGCCGCCCCTAAACGTCAGGGAACTTGTTACCTTGCCGTTCTGGAACGAGCCCATCTTCATCAGCATTGATGTCGAGTCTAATGAGTTCTGCCATAGCCAGATCACGGAAATTGGCATTTCGATTCTCGACACTCTTGACCTCGTGGACAAAGCGCCTGGGGGGAATGCGCAGAATTGGGTCTCGCAGATCCGCTCGCGCCATTTCAGAACAAAGGAGTACGCGGGTGTCGTCAACATGCGGTTTGTCAACGGCTGTCCAGACAAGTTCCAATTCGGGGAGAGCGAATGGGTTTCCCTTGCTGATCTTCCCACTGTCGTGGACTCGTGTTTCCAGCCCCCCTATTCTTCTCGTCCAGACAGCCACAAATTGACGGAACGTAACCTGATCTGTGTCGGCCACAACACAACCAGTGATATCACCTATCTGCGCAATCTGGGCACTCGCACATTTAAAAATGATCCACCCACTCCTGGTGACGGGGAGAGACGCTTCCTCGACTGTCTGGACACGGCGGAGCTGTTCCGTACTCTGCGAAACGAGCCCCAGAGCCGCTCACTGGCACACATCCTGTCCGAGCTGGGCATGGTCCCCTGGCATCTGCACAACGCAGGGAATGACGCGCGATATACGATGGAAGCCCTGGTGCAGATGATAGTCCAATCTGCCGTCTTTCCTGCTGAAGATCGGAGTGGCGAGTGCATGGGTGGGGTGGTCCTCGTCGATGGAGAAGGTGTCACCCTGCAGGAACGTCCTCTTTGCGCAGATGACATTGACGGAGGTGAACCTGGAGGTCTAAGGGGGAAGCCGGTGGTCTGATTAATATAGTATTCTGAAGATAGCCCACAGAAATCTCCATCTCTCCCTCTCCACCATTCCATCTCTGCACTCTCTGCTATATCAACCTCAGGCCCACCTAAATGAGAAGCATAGTATAAGTAATTACTATACTCCGTACGTGACGAGTTTGATATTGAATCATTGATTGATTGTTGACATGACCTTGTCCCTGTAACAGCAGAGAAGAACATCTATCCATCCACACAAGAGATCTCCTGCGGTTCCTGTCAATAGTGGCGATTACGTCGACTCTAGGACCCTCGGAATCCACCCCCGCCCCACCATGCGTAAAGACATCAGATCCTGCGAGAAGAGAGGGGGAGGGGAAAAAAAAAAAAACAAAAAAACTTCAAACCAAGAAACGCAAGAATCGAATTCTGACTCTCTTAAGGAAATGGCCAGCCAGCAGCCGCTAACGACGTACCTCCGACTCAGCTGCCCGCGGGCCCTGTCCCAAGCAACGACGCACCCATTCCTCCGACTCGCGGGCACCGGCCAGCTGGGCAAGACGACGCTCTCGCAATGGCTCTCCCAAGACAGACTGTACGCGCAGTCCTACGTACGCTTCACAGGCCTGCTGCTTTCCAAAATCCGCCTCCCAACGCATAACCCGGACAGCAGCAAGCCACGACACCCGACAGTCGAGAACCGGGCGTTCGACCTCCTCACGGACGCACTGGTGAATATCCGACGGGAACTGGCTTTCTTTGAATCCACGGCGGACGGGTACGGGCTCGACCTGACGGCTTTGCCTGGCCCACAATTGAGAACAGGACGAATCCTAGTACCTTCTAATGGTGAGCAGGCTAGGCCGTGCTCCGGGTCCTCGGCTGCAGAGGGGGGTGCGGACCTCAAGGCCGTGGAAACGGGGTGTTCTGTTTTCTTTGGTCCGAGTCATGTCACGAAAGCGTATATCGATCTGTTCATGTCGGCGGGGAGTCCGGCTATCACATTGCTGGAAGGGTTTGTTGTCCTCTGGGCAACGGAGTATTGTTATCTCCAGGCATGGAAATATGCAGCTTCGTTTGGAGAATCATCTGTTCAAGAAGAAGGCAAAGAAGATGCAGATGGTGGTGCGTTGCGTGACCACTTCATACCTAACTGGTCGAGTGCGGAATTCGAGGCCTTTGTCGATACCATCGGCGTCGTGCTGGATGAGATGGCCGCGCAGGTCAAGGGGGCCGAGGAGACGGAACGGCTGCGTGGCAAGTGTCTTGAGTGGTGGCGACAGGTGCTTTGGCTTGAAGCCCAGTTCTGGCCGGATGTTGACGAGTAGATAAATATCTTAACTTCATTCTTCGAAAGACTTGAATCATGGTTTTTACAGCTAGAGATACATACAGCAGAAAATTAATCTACCCATACCTAGTCCAATAGACCAACAGCAGACCAAAAAAAATATAAATATAAAGCCAAGAACAAGAACCTGAACAAAAGAGCAAAACTCCAATTCTCCATGACCACCAGAACACCATTCACTTTTGAAAGGGAATGCGTATGACATGGATCTCAATGACTCGTCACCGCCCACACTCGGAGCGGAGGGGAAGGGCGGATTATAAAGAACAGAACAAAAAAACAGATTATATGTGTCGAACAAGAGGCAGTAGTCTTTCGACACAGCAGTGTCTTTCAAACGCTGATTACGAAGTCGCCGCGCTGGCTCGAGCGGCGTTGCTGAGTTGTTGATGGTAAGAACCGATAGTTTGGAAGCCCCTAGGTAGAATGTTAACAAAAAATAATAAGAGAGAAAAGGGAAAGGAAAAGGGAAAGGAAATGAATACCTCGCAAGGTCAAACCCTGCGCCCTCCTCTTCATCATCATCCACCACGCCTGCAACAGTGTTGACCGAGGGAAGCTTTCCCGCGTCCTCGGCTTCGCGCTTCAAGGGGGGCAGAGTGCGTCCGTGGACGAGGCCGGACGAGGTTCCTAGCTTGCTGGGACTGGCGAGGTTGGGCGGCGGGGGGCTGCTGCTGGGAATGTTGTCGCCGGGATCGCCCTTGAGCGGGCTCATGTCTGGCACGGGTCGCGCAGGAGTGCTGCCAATGTCGGCGAACTTCCAGAACTGCGCCGGAGAGCTCATCGGCATGAACTTGGACGGGATCTGCGCGGTGCTTGGCGGGGGGAGTCTCGGCTGATGCCGCTGCGGCGCGGGAGTGATCATCGACGAGGGAGCTTCGTCATAGTACGACGAGGAGAGCACGGGCGGCGAGTTGACCACGTTGTCGGACAGCCCGTATGAGCGGCTGGTGGCAGCCGTGGCGCCGCCGGTGGTGGTGTGATTGGAGTTGTTATTGTTGGTGGCGGTCCGACTGGGCAGCGGCGATGGTTCTTCGTAATCGCAATTCGTGTTGTTGTTGTTGTTGTTGTTGTTGTTGGTGGTATTGCGCAACGGATGGTCCGGACCCCGGGCGGCGCGCGATCCGCGCTCGGGCGTGTAGGCTTCCACGGGAGCAACGGGGAAGGAACTGAAGCCGGGCGACGAGACGGGCGGGGACTTCTTGCTGGCGGCGGTGGCCGAGAAGACCGATGTATCCAGACCGTTGAGTGGAGCCGGGCGAGCCGACGAGGGCGGCGGCTCCTTGGTGGCAGGCGACGAAGGGGCAGACGACTGGGCGCCGCCCTTGCGCAATTGCTTCTTCCAGTACTCCTCTCGGTGTTCCGGGGCGATTTGCCATTTCATACCTTTGCCGGGCTCGTCGGTCCGGCGCGGCACCTTCTGGAAGGCCTTGTTGAGAGAGAGGTTGTGACGGATGGAGTTCTGCCAACCGCTCTGGGAGTGTCGGTAGAAGGCGTACTTGTCCATGATCCAGTTATAGATACTGTTGAGGGTCAATTTCTCCTCTTCGCTGGAGAAGATGGCCTGGGCGATCAACGTGGCGTAGCTGTAGGGTGGTTTGAGGTCCTTGGCGGCATCTTTACTGTAATCGATCTCCTCGGTGCTCTCCATCATCATGCCACGGTTGTAGAGGGGCGACTGCTTGGCGGTGCGCGCGCCGGCAGTGTCCGGGGAGCGCGGCGGCGGAGTGACCTGGCGCTTGAGGAACTGCGGTGCGGGGGCCAGTGAGGGCTGGCCGTTGGCTGTGAGGGGGTTGGCGACGACCGGAACCGCAGCGGCATAGGCCGGGTCATTGGAAATGGTGTTGGTGGTGGTGGTAGTAGTAGTAGACTGCGAAGGGTGGGCGTGGCGCGAGGCATCCCAGTCGAGGGTCTCCTCGCCGTTGGCAATGCGTTGGGCGCGGTCGACAAAGCTGGGGTGGATGTTGGCCTTGTCGCCCGGGGTGACGAACATCATCTGAGTGTTGGCGACCTCGATGATGTCACCGCAGGAGATGACGGCGTCGGTGCCACGCTTGAGGATTACATTGTTCAGGCGCACACCGTTGCGGCCGTTGACACGAATGTGCCAGGAGGCGGTGTTGGCGCCGTCGTAGAAGATCTCGGCGTGCAGGCGCGAGACGAACTTGCTGGGCCCCAGATCGACATGAACCTCGGGGAGGGCACGGGCGGCAATGGAGACGGGACTCGACTGCTCGTCGGGCTTCTGCTCGCGGTCGGGCTCGCGGCCAATGTTGACGTGCAGCGATTTGACGTAGAAGGTCCAGTTGCGACCGGCGATCTTCGCGTACGCTTCGATGCTCTTCTTCTCCGTCTTGTCGTTTGCATGGTCACGGATGACCCGAACCTCCTCCCGAGCAATGGTCAGACACGAAATGACCAGGTCCACCAGATCCTGATTTGCAGCGAGCTCGTTGTCCGGCGACGAATGGTCCGCCTCGTCGGCAGACACGGTGTCTTGTGTCTTGATCTGCGCCTGGGGGGTTTCGGGGGGTTCAACCTGTAGAAAACAACACCGTCAACAAAAAAAAAAAAAAAAAAAAAAAAACAATCACGCCTTGAGAAATATTGTTTCCGCCCACCTTGCGCTTCTTTGCTGACGGCCGACTAGGCGACGAGTCTGGAGCCTCAGCGTCGGACGTCTCCTGCAGTTGAATTTCCTTGCGCCGCGCGCGACGTCTGTTCGATAACGGCATCTCCTTCTTTTTGATTATGATTCTTGTTATTTTTTTTTCCGTCTGGAACCTGATCTTCCCTCCTTCGTTCAGCCCTTCAATCGTATTTCCTCCTACTTCAATCGTATCTTCTGGTTGTCTGGTCTGATCTTTTCACTTGTACACACACACACACACACACACACTGAAACCGACGAAGGCTGGGTGATGTTTTGGCGAGACCCGGCGCGGGCACGCGATTTGTTATCGAATGCCGGGTAGCGTGGGCGATAATGGCTATCGATAGGTGTTGTGTGGACAGAGGGGACTCCGCAAACCGAGGCGATCTGCCGCAAAGACAAGGATGTAGACGGTTTGACTGTGCAGCAGTTCGAAGGGAGAAGTTTTTCCTGGTTTGCAGAAAGAGGTGCGAAGAAAAGAACGGAAAGGTTCGAGGCCTGCTTGAAGGGAACCAAACAAGCCCTGCGTCCAGGGCGTGTCGCCACCGACGAAAGGCCAACCGGGGGGAAGAAAAAAAAGGCGGCCAAAAACCGTGGGCGAGCGCGGGTCTGCGGTAAGCAAGCAAGCAAGCACTGGGGGGGGGCGCAAGAGGACAAGAAAGTAAATAAATAAAAATCAGAAATAAGAAATAAGAAAACCCACGAAGCAGGTAACAATGTCGGGCAAGAAGCGATTTAAGTAGAGGCTCGACTCTGGCAGACGGTCGCAGTCGGGCGTTTGGAGTTGTCGTTGTAGTTGTAGTAACGCGCTGGGAAAGAAGTGGATGTTGTTTGGGAGACCGCTTCCGCAAGGGGAATAGCGCAGAACAAGACCGTACATAATACATAATACATACATACTACCTAACTACATACTAGTTAGTTATGGCAGTTACCATGTAGGAGGTACCTAGTAGTTACCTATGTATACTACATACTACCTACCTAGGTATGTTGATGAGACTCCTATTAGGTGCTGATACTACCTAGTACCGACTGGACCGAGAACAGCGATTCCATTCCTTGCTTTCCGCGCGCGTCCATCAGTCTCACTTACAGAGTCCTCCGTACCTAGGTACCTAGCACACGTTGTAGCACACGTTGTCGATGGTCAGTCACTAACTACATACTAACAACTCCAGAGTGCTATAGTAATATCCTCTGAGTCAATATCGCCATTCTGCATGTTTGATCAACGCAAGACTCTGGTATATATCAATAAACCAATCCCTCCAGCCTGCCGGATTGGCGTGGCGGCATGCTGGGCTCGACGTCATGGATGCCGCATTTAGTTAGCGTTTACCGTACAGTACCGTACGGATGGTAATTATGGTCTCCAGCCTGTGCTGGCCTGGTAACTACCTACTAACCTAGCTACCTAGTAGGTACTCCGTCGTTAAGTAGTTATACCTAAGGTACTCCGTAGGAAACTTGCTATACAAGCAAAAACGCAGAACGCAGACTTGACTTTAATCCTCAACCAGTTGATCATCTGATCATCAAGTGACAAGTCATGTGAGGTCATGTGATGCATCATGAGAGCAGTCAACGCTACTCCGTTGTCCGTATTTGAACAAACTGAGACATTGCCAGCTTGCGTAGTCTATAAATACTACTCAAGTTCGAATCTACATGTAGGATCAAATCTCTTTTGGCTATGTAGATAATAACAGGCTGGGTGCTAATGGAAAAAGTCACAGAGTACAGTGGAGTCAATTCAAACAGAAGAAGAGAATATAACAGACCATGCTTTATACGACCAGAAAATCCAACGGACTATAAGAGGGGGTAAACCACCAAGGAAATGAGAGAAAAAAAAAAAAAAAAAAAAAAAGAAAAGAAAAGGATAAGATCAAGGCAGGAATGGAGTGTGCAATTAATCGTATCTCGTTAGGCCACCGCCTCCGGCTTGGCATCCTCCACACCGCGCAGGGCGGGATACAACCCCGCGCTGCTGGGCTCCTCGGGCTTGGCAGGGGTCGAGTCTGACTGCTGCTGCTGTTGTTGTTCCACTCCGTCCATGGGCCCGTCGGTTCCGTGTCCCTCGGTTTCAGAGCCGGAACCCTCGCTCCTTTCGCGGTCCGAGGCAGGCCGCGACTCCGATTCGAACTCGCCCGAGCGGAGTCTCTGCGCGACAATGTCGCGCAGCCGCTCGATAAGTCGTACCTGGTCCACCCACTGGACATCGGCGCGGTCGGCAACCTCGGTCGCCGCCTGGGCAGTGCGCAGGACTGCCTCGGGATCGGGCGACGTGCTCGAGTGCAGCGCCGGGTCGATGAGGCTGGCAGAGAAGCGCACTGGCGATGCCGACTGCTGCTTTTCAGGCTCAGCAGACCGCGGCTTGGCAGGCGGCGTGCGGTCACCGTCTTCGTTGCTGTGGTGATCCGGCGAGAGATCCATCGCGTCGTCCGCGGAGGAGATAGCGGCATCGTCTGGCCGGGCACGCTGCAGAGTGCCTCCGGTATATCGGCGGCGGTCATCGTGGTCAAAGACTCCACTAAGCGTCGAGGGTGGCGCGGCCGTTGAGGCGGTGGGGTAACCGGTGGCCATGTGTTCCGCGCTGGTGGACGGCAAGCGCGGGTACATGCTCTGGCCGCTCTCGTGGGGCGGGGAAACACGGTGGTGCACCGCCGACACAGAGATCGGGGAACGGCCCGAGGTGTACGATTGCGCGCTGGAGGGCGGCGTGAGAGCGGGGGTTGTGACGCTCCCTCCCGGAGAATGTACCGAAGCTGCACTTGAACCCATAAGCGGGCCGTTACCAGTGGCAGCAGCGGCAGCAGCAGCAGCGGCGGCGGCGGCGGCGGGATGGGTCGAGGCGAGTTGCGTCGGGGGCGAGTTGGTGGAACGGTAGTGCACACCACTGGGAACATAATGGGCACCGGGCTGGGCGATACCTGCGGCGGCCACATGGTCTTCGCTCTCATAAATGGTGTTTTGCATCTGTTCGAGGAACTGATCGATGTTGATCAGGTCGTTCTTGGTACGGACGTTGCTCATAGGCGGCAGCTGGTAGGCAGGACCAGACGGATGAGCATGGTGATGCATGTGGCCGGGGGCTGGGCCAGGAGCGGCGGCGTAGCCTCCCCCACCTCCACCGGAGCCGCCGCCAACTGCGACAGGAGCAGCCACGGGAGCCGGCATGGGCTGGTACTCCGGGACGGGGGCGTTGAGAATGGGAAGGTTTAGACTCTGGAGGCCGAGCAAGCGTTGGCCGACGGCGGCGTAGGAGTTAGGGTCGAACTGACGACGCTTGAGGTCGCCAAAGAACTCGTTGAGGGCATCATAGCCGCGCTTTCGCGAGCTGTAGGCCTCATTTTCGGCGCCCTGGTTCAGGGCGTAGTAAACATTGCCGTAGGTGGATGGATTAGGGGGCTGGTGGGGTTGCGGATGATGGTGATGATGGGACTGGTAATACGGGGTAGCGCCATGCGGGTACGCCTGGCTGGGGACGGGGTTCAAAGCGGGTTCGAAGTAGTGGGTGGCAGCGGCAGCGTAGCCTGGTAGATCTAGTGAGTTGGAAACGTTGAACAAAAGATAGATTGAACCACCCCCCCC